TATGAATTAAAGACTTGAATAAATCATAGAAACCTGCCCATTCATTATAATTTCCCGTAAAAAAAGGGATTTCAATAGCTGGTAACTTAGCCCTTAATACTTTACTTTGAGGTATTGTGACAGATACTTCTCCCTTTTGTACAGATATTAATGAATTGGCAGACAGTTTACCTAACTGTTCTTTCATCAAAGTTTTTAACTCCAGATAAACATTTTCACATAAATAATAAGAATCATCTTGAAAATATGTTAAGCTTTTCTTTTCATCAAGCGTTCCTGTTGTTACAATATTAAAATGGTTACCTTTAAAATTTTGAAAATTTGTTTCTAATAATTCTAATCTTGCTACAATATAAGCTTTAGTTTTTCTTGCTTTTGACTTTTTGTAATTTGATAATGCTCTTGTGATTTGCATGGATATTTCATTTTGCGTATTAATACGTTCTTGCACAGTCATTTTGTTTCGCTTACTTACTTTGACAATCAAACTTGAAAACTTTTAGTTCAATTGTGAATTTAAATAATACCGCGTAATAATGGTACTAGATCATAGTCTATGCAAGCTTTCTTCCGTTATACTCTTTTGTAAAATGTCAACAAAATTTTCGTATTTCCACTATTGAATATTTTGGCGAATTTACTGGTTTTCTTGAAATTTATTTAATTTTCACAAATTTCGCAATCCCAATGTATGTTTTATCGCCACTGATCTTTATCCGGCGAGTAATAGACCAAAATGTACACATATCACACTATTAAAAAATGAAACTTCCAATGTTCGCTGATATTACTAATTTATTTGACATTTTACTTCTTAACAAAAAAAGATTAAACATTGTCATAGACAAACAAAAAAGACAAGCAGGTCATAGACTAAACTCATACAGCCTATCCACTCTTTTTCTAAATTTAAGAAATACACGATGTGAGGCATGACCGTACAGCCAAAAATAAAAAAAAATATCGATTTTGATATCTGATAATAAATATCGAAATCTAATATGTCGCGGGAAAAAATGTCGCCCTTTTATATCGATTTTTTTTAGATAAAATATCGGTAGTTTTTGCCCAATCCTAATGTTAATCTGTCTGTGATCATTTCAAAGAATACTTTTATATGGTACCTATCACGGCCCGTCAACTCCGTACAATAAACCAATCGCGTAGGGGTCAGTGATGTATGACATTTCCTCACGCCCCTCACCCCTGTCAGTAGATGGAGACATGACACCTGACAGAAACTGTCATTACAACAAAGAGTAAATATACTAATGTTTTAATTAATCTTTAATTAATTTTACTTGTTGGAATTAATTTATTCATTTCACATTGGCAAAATTGTGTGAAATGCGCTGATATGCCATTAATAAAAGAAGAAGAAGACTAAAGTATGATTAAGTAAGTGATTGAGTAAAGTTTCTTTTGTGCTTACCCTGTTCCCTTTATTTGTAATATAAACTCTCCATTTTTCGAATTATTTTTATTTGTAGAAGATGCCTAAGAAATTGGTGTGTTATGTTATGGTTGTGTTAAACGCATTGTTAAAGTACGAACAGGACGCTATTTTTTGTAAGATTCTAGTGAACGAGAAAAGATTCTCCAAGTGGTTACAATGTCTTAGTGCTGTGTGTGATACTGAAAATTTAAATCCAGGCAGAAGTGTCATTTGTAGCAAACACGATGTACCAAGATTCATCACTCCAAAATCATGACTCTTGGGTGATGCATATCCGTCATTGTTTAATGATGATGGGTTCTCAATCAGCCTACCCTCTTCAAGCAATACTGGTAAGGCTGGTTTAATCTGCTATTACCTTTAGATAATGTAATTAAAATGATATGTATCTTCACTTTATGTTGTGTTTTGGAATACAGCTATTCTTCATTACATTTTTTTTTATTACAGAAATTATATTCACTTGGGAACACAGCTATGCAAGAAAAAGTCATGTTGACCACACATATTAGAAAGTGGAACTGAACAGAGGTTTGTTATTAATTTATTTTATTTAGATAACAAAGTTCATACTGCAGTTTTGGTGTATTTTAATATAGATTTTTGCTTTAAAAAAGTCTAGTAGATCTGTCTTTCTTACACACATAAAGAAAAATTACATTAAGTTATTTAACTCTAGCGGGCAAGCTAGAAGTGATTTTGATCAAAGAAAAAATTGATAATATAAATAACATATTTCTAATATCATCTAAGATTATATCCTGTTTTTTAATCTAACACATAATCAATATTGATTTCATAGGTGGTGTAATTTTAAAAGAACAAATTGAGACTCCTGTGTCTACAGGCACTGAGTTTACTCAATTAGTTGCTTGCTCTGGAGATTAAAATATGACACAAACTCAACTATCTGGTAAGACCTGTCTCTTTCTTTAGTGTATCATTATTTCAATCAAATAGTAGTTCTAATAGAGAAATTCACTGAATACTTTTGATGTTACAGACCCTGTGAAATGTACCCAAACAAAAAGGAAAAGGCTTATTACCAAATAAAGCCAATTGTCACCTTTATACCAGAGAATTTATGAAGAATATAACAAGCCAAAGACGTAGTTTAACTTTCTTAAAAAAGTTAAGAATACTTAAATACCTTTAAGTTTTGTAAAAAGTTATCATTTGAGAAGTTCAGACAAAAAATGAACACAGTTGCAAAAATGTTTTTGAAATGCAAGTGAGCATGTGCTCTAAAAATAAACATGAGAAGTGATTCACTACCGAAGAAAACATAATTGCTTTATCAATATCAAAGCAGAGTCCAAAGTGTTATTGATTTTTAAGCAAAATTTTTTATTTTATCATCCAAAACTACACTGAATACTATGATTAGAAAATTGATCATAGAACCAGGCTTCATGTAAGAAGTAAATATATTCCATATAAGTTTTTTCATACTACTTTTATAATTTTATGTATTACTACCAAATAATAATATTTACTTTTTCTACTACTATTTGAATTTACTTTTTCAGGTGGACAAATGAAACTCCAAAAAAATATGCTCCATTATATTTGATGAGATGTCATTAGAAACAGCACTTTCGTATAATAAAAGTAATAAGGATTAAAGATAACATTAATGGATTTGTAGAACACCAAGAAAAGAAAGTGGATTTTGCAGATCATACTCTTTTATTTTATGTTGGTGCTGTTTACAAGTGGCAACAGCCTTTATGTTTATTTATTTCTGTCAAGGAGCGACATTTACTGTACATCAAGAGTATTTTAAAGTTAGTAGTAGAAAAAGTTGTTGAATTGGACCTTAATCCCATCGCAATAATATATGACCAAGGCTCAGCTTTCCAATCAGCACTCAAAAATCTAAAAGAAGACACTTAGTGTGATCCAATTTTAAACAGGTTGGTACAGAGAATTATATTTATATGAAAGAAAACTAATAGATTTAATGAAAGTAGTGAAGGTTCTTATTTTTATATTGTTATCTATGTTTTAAGAAGTTCTTAAATTTTTGTTTCAGTTGGCATTCTTAAAATATGTGGGGTGGATTTGAACATTATGATTCTACACACTTTATAAAATGTATCAGGAATAATTTTGGTGGTAAACTTGCAAAATGGCATGATATTATTTATGTCTATGAGACAGACTGTCAACACACTGAAGCTGGGCTACGTCATAAATTAAATGACCAATGAGTTATACCTGATAAAATTAAAAAGATGAAGGTAATGCATTGGTTATTATATTAGTATAACTTAAATTAGTATAAATAAAATAAATAATTTGTATTCAGCTTCTATATTCTCTATCAGAGCAAGTGTTGATTCAACAACCTGTATTTTTTATTATGTAACAAGTAGTTAATATAGTTTACACTTAAATTACAATAATGATTCTCTAATGAAGATAATTTTAAATATGATATCTCTTTTTGCAGGTAAAAAATTGTGTAAAAATATGTCTGCAGCTTTGTCATACACTGCAAATTTGAGTGAGTACACAGTGAGTATTAGATGAAATTTACTAACAGTTAATTGTTTTGAATCAAGTTTCATACAATTATTATATGAATATTTTAATTTGCAGCAACTTATGAGGATGTGCACAACATTAAGAAATGCAGCTGAAGTTGTTTCATTCTTCTTCTTCTTCTTCTTTTTTAATTCATGGCCTATTTGCATTTAGTTGTTTCATTCTTTGACCAATTATTTGATAGTGTCAATGGAGCATCGATAAACAAAAAAAGCATAAAGGAAAAGAGCTGTGACAGATAAGACACACCATCATTCTTTCTGGCCAAAGGCAATTGAAATTTTAGAAAAACTTAAATATGTGTATAAAAAGGTATGCAAAATCAGTGCCCTCTTTAAAAAAAATTGTGATTACCTTGAAAAGTTTTATAAGGTTGTGCCACTAAAAAAACGTAGCTAGGAATTGCTAAGAATGCAGAAGAAAGCTGTGAAAAATATAATAAGTTAAAAAATAAATTATTCAATAAATAATATTGGAAAAATGTGTGTTTTATTTACGTGTTCATTTTTCCTTTTTTGTTTTAATACAACAATAATAATAAGCTAGACTTATCAGTCTGCTTTATTATTATTGTTGTATTAAAACAAAAAAGGAATTTAAATTAAAGTAAAAATAATGTGGAAACTATGAAGACGGCTAGGTACCTACCCAAAACAGGGCTGTATAGCTAAATGCCTTTGCCGATAGTAGATATATATATTTAAAACGAATGAAGCTGTCATGTATCACTGGCTCCCAATCACGTTCTACGAAGAAATTTTTTGTTAGGAAGTTGGTCGTCTGATCCCTACTAAGTCTGTGGTACCTATATGGAAAGACCATTCATTGAATTATTTGAACGTTTTGATTGCAAACAAAAATTGAACGTTTTAATAATGTAGGTAATTTGGAATGTAATATTGAGTGGTCGCTTTTTTTTATAAGTATGGTTTGAGTGTAATTTGTTTGATTGCGATGCGATAGAAATAATATTAGTTATATATTTGGGTTTCAGTGACAATGAGTAGTGAAAATTCACCCGGAGACACTGAGAATCACATTAATCAAACTGTTACAGCTCTTAGAAATTCATGGGTAGTTTGCAAATCTAAGTCGTATGTTGGACGTATTTATTATTTTAACACTTTAACTGGTGAAGCAGCGTGGAACTTAAGTGAGGCAGAAGTAAGTATGTTTTTTCAGAAATTAAAAAGTTTGAATTCTTTTTAAAACTTTTAATTTTTTTTCATTGCAGATTGAAAAGGCTAAGAAAAGGACTAGAATTCTTCAAAATCAACCTGGGACTTCTTTGGAAAGTTGTCCAGAGCCCAAAGACCCTCCTTCTCATTGTCAGAAGGAGGGTCCTTCATACAATAAACATTTATGTAAGAAAGATGGTTCTGACTTATGTAATGCACATCCTAACAAAAATCAATTAACAAAGGATTTTTACCCACATCAGCAGTACACAGTAACTCCTTTTTTAAACGCTCAATGTGTAAATTGTAATACTTATAATGTATCTAATGGAAGTGGCATGACTATGCATCCTCCGTCAGTTTTTAATCCAAATGTTTGGACTTTTCCACCTAATCATCAATTTGTTATTGCTCCATCTACACCTTTAATAAACCAGAGTCATGCACCATTGAATATGGCTTATGATAAAATGGAACAGCATGTATCAGTACAAAATCCATCAACACCGTTTTTGAGGAGACCAAGTTTTCAAAATGACATGTTTGATAGTAGCAATCAAAGATTTCGCCAAGGAACTTCTAAATACACTAATAGGAAAAATTTTATGAATGTTTACCAACGAAGAAATAATTCAAATTATTTTAAGAAATTTATTGAACCTTCTACATCTAATGATTTACGTCAAAAAATATGTGCAAAAAGAGGTTTCGGCTACAACAAAATAAATGAAAATAATTATCAAGGTTTGTATATTAATGTATATTAAATTTGTATATAAATATTTAATTTAATAAATCATAAATATTGAAATACTACATATCTTTAAAATTGTTTTAGATTGCTCATTTCCAAGGCATAAATGTGAATATGAACCAAAAATACAAATATACAAACCATCTGCAAAAGTGTTGTGCCCTATAGATGCAGATGATAATTGGTTAAAGGTAAGTATTATTATATTATATATATTTCAGATGAAGAAAGAAAATATGAGCTGGCAGGAATAACATTCAGTATTGCTTAATATAAATATACTCAATTGTACCTAAAAGAAGAAAATCAGTAATAAACCAATTCAAGTTTCATAAATGGAATAGCTAAAGTTACTACTTGAAATATAAAATAGGCATTTTTAAAATACTAAATACTTTTTGCCCAATTCAATATGATTCATTTAATATAAATTACTATACTCTATTCATTATAACATTAGAAAAAAGAGGATCACAGAAGCAGCAGTGCAGAACATTTAATTTTCAAGATAAATTTAAAAAATATATATTATAGTTTTCTTGAAACTTTGAACGTTGGGTAGTCTGAAAGAGCTGGGCAATTTTACATTTTTTTACGATACTTAGGGATTCAGATGAGACCAGTATTTTCTAAATTCACCTTTTACTCCCAAGCATACATGGAACTGAAACTAACTATCTGTTCTTTTGATAAATTGTTTTTGTTTTTGTTTTGATAAAGAAAGGTAAACAAAATGAAATTTTTAATATTACTTTTATAAAATAAATTCAGATATTATTAGACTATTGATGAAGACATTGGAAAAACTTCCTTAAATGTCATGGGTAATTGTTGTAGGCCAGGCACTCGGGCCAGCACCGGCATCATCCATATTGAACAAAACTTAACAACAAAAAGATAACAACTAAAACAAAACTATAAGAAAACAACAATAACAACAATAAAGGCAGTAGCATTCACAATGAATGACAATCCTAGATTATGTATTTTGACATTTATGAATACATCATAATCTGACAGAATTAAAAAGCTTTACTGCTGAAACGTTTGAAGGGATTAGGCAATGTTTTAAATTTGGTAGAGTTATAGTGACATGAGATTCGTGCCGAAACTACCCAACCCTGCTTCTTTAGGTTCTTTAAGATGGACACTTTTGATTGTGTTAGTTATTAAATCATTTAAGTTAGTCAAATACTCATAAATTTGTTCAATAGATAGCTTAAACGACTACAGTTAAGTATAGCAGCTGGTATTTAAGTGGATATGTAACAAATTAGCCATCCTTCTAAAGAGTAAAATGATTATTGATATTGTGACAAAGTATATCATAAAAAGAACCTTATTTAATTTCTGTCTAATGCTATAATGAATGGAGTATAGGTACCTTAATCTTATTTATTTATTTAATCATCATATCATGCTCCAATGCAGTTGAAAAAAATTTAATCCCATAACTATAGAAAAGATCTTAACACTGGTGCTGAGATGGATCACAGATCTATGTGCTAAGTAAAGATGCACAAACGGTAGTGGTGAGGGCATAAAATATTTTTATATAATGTGAGTCAGTAAATATCAGTGTTACCAATATTGAATATTCCAGTTAATTTATGCATTGAAAATTTGAAATGGAAAATATATTTACGATTTTACAGTTGGGTAAGCTTTTAATGACGTTAGCCTTGTGTTCTCATCTTTCAAATTTTCAAGAATTGGTGCTCGTCATATTAGTTCAAATCCAGTCCAGTCCAGTCCAAATCCAGTCACAACTTAAGTATGGACTTTGACTGAGGGGTGTATGTACGGCTGCGAGTCAAGCTACACACCACCACTGTATGAGCAGACCACTATTTGTAGGGAAGTTCTATACGAAGAGCAGACATATAAGGTGTATAATGTATAGCCTGACATGCAGCCATGTGTAAATCATACATCTTCTCCGTTCTCACTAACAGGAATAGTGTTTACATATGGCCCCTCAATTAGTTGAGGGGCTGTATGTAAATGTCAGATGTAATGGCTAACCATGCATTGTCATTTAACTTAATTTGTATGTAAAACTTCAGCTTAATCAGTTGAAGATAAATTTAAAATTTGGTTGCATGCAGTGTTTGACTAACATCTTACATCAAGCGTTATATAAATTATATTTGCTTTTTCAGGAGCATGCTTATGTTGAGGGAACACAATTGAAACTAAATGTAGATCCACTTAAACACATTGTGATGTTGGATGTAGAACTGGCTTGCTGGTACATTGTAGCAGACTCAAACACTTTACTTGAACACTTTAACTTTATAAATGTTATAGTAAACTCTGGTAAGTGGCCACTTCATATAACAATAAATATTGGTATTTCATGTAGGCTTTGATTTCGTTTTACTTATGATTTTCTTAATTCTTGTCAATGATCGTAAGATCAACACATGTTTTAAATGTAACATAGTAAAGATTACGCTATATTATAAACTGACAACATTAATAGGATCGACAAGGTCTAGTCAAGTGCTAGTGGCGCAATCTGGTGATCACAAAAACGATAACTTCATTGATACTTATAAATAATAAAAATAAAATAAAAAAGCCTTTATTATTCCATTTGGCATGTGTACAGTACATGTTAGTAGGTTATCGTTAAGTATCCTCTAGTCTAATGCCACCTGGACCCCTCTACGGGTGAAGGCCTCCTCCAGAGATTGCCACTTAACGCGGTTTTTTGCCAGAATTGGCCAATTTCTTGTACCGAATGATTCTATTTCGTTCTTCCATCTCGCTTTTGGTCGGCCTCTGCTTCTATATCCATGGGGACCACTCCACATAGTCACAGTCTTTGTCCACCTCTTATCAGTGTAGCGTGCCACGTGGCCCGCCCACCTCCATTTCAGGCCACGAGCGAAGGACAAGACATCTATCACACCAGTCTGCTTTCTTATTTTCCCATGGCGAACCCGGTCCTTTAGCTTGATGTTTAGTGAACTACGTTCTAAGCCTGTTTGACACGATGTGAGTTTTCTTCTGGTTATGGTATCAAATATCCATGTTTGACATCCATAAGCGAGACAGGGCAAGAGACATGAGTCCATTACTTTCTTTTTTAATTTTAAGTCCATGTTAGACTTCATAACTTCTTTGTAGCTCCAGAACTTTCTCCACGTGATTGCTATTCCTTCTATTTCTTTCGCCTGTCTATTTCTTCTCTGTTGTTATTTTTGCGAAAGGAAACTTGTTTGCCTAGATAAATATATTCGTCTACATACTCAACCACATTATTGTTTATAAGAACAGGAGTTCTGTGATGATTAGACATGATTTTTGTTTTTGAGATATTCATTTCTAGGCCCACGCTCGTGCTTGCGTTGTTAAGTTCTGACATCATGGATTGGAGCTCTGTGGGGCTTTCTGAGAAAAGCACAATGTCGTCTGCGAAACATAGATGGTGAAGACGTTCCCTGTCGATTTTTAAGCCTTTGTTTTCCCAAGATAGATTTTTCATTGTGTTTTGGAGGACTGATATGAATAATTTAGGTGACAGTGGATCGCCTTGTCTAACTCCTCTGTTAATTTCTATTCTTTGTCCTGAATTTTCTAACTTGACTTTGCTAGTACTGTTTTCGTAGATGTGTTTGATGATTCTGATGTATTTAGTATTTATATTTTGATCATAAAGGGCATTCCAAATGCTTCGATGAGATATAGAGTCAAATGCCTTCTTATAGTCAATGAAAGCTAGATATAATAGTCTGCGAAATTCATAATATTTTTCAATTATTTGCTCTAATACTTGTATGTGGTCAATTGTGCTGAACGATTTTCTAAACCCTGCTTGTTCTTTTGGTTGGTAGTTTTCTATGTCATTGTTGAGTCTTTCCAGTAGGCAACTAGCGAAAAGTTTATATAAAATTAAGATTTAGTCTAGGTGTAATTAAAGTTTCTATATCTTCGTGGTATAAGTCTTTAGAGGCGCTATATAACCGTCTGTAGAATTCTGTGGCGGTGTTGATCACATCTGTCCTAGTTTGTTGTTTTGGAGAGTTCACATTTAGTGTTGGAATCCATTCCTTTCCTGTATTTAGTTCTTTAAATGCCTTTTTTAGACTACCGGAAGATTTTAGATGTCTCGTAAATATTGATTCCCTATGATCTTTATAATTTCTTTTTATCTCTTTGTTGGTTGTTTTGAATAGATAGGTAAATCTAGCTTTTTCATCCTGACTTAGGTGTTGCTTGTGTAGTAGTTGAATTCTCTCTTTCACTAGGTTTAACGTGTATTCTGAAAGTATATTTGGTTTTCGACGTTGACTGTAGCCTTTTTGTTTATTTAGGCAAGTTTTAATTGGGGTTTCAATTTTTTTGTAATATGTGTTGACATCTAGACTTTCATTTCCTTTTTCGAAAAGGTCAGGTGTAGCGTTTTTTAAGTTAGCAATATATTCTGATCTGTCTTCTAATGTCTTTAGTTGATTTTTCGGATTAGTGAAATTTTTCCTACTTAATTTCGGGGCTTTTAGTTTGAATGAGCCTCTTAGCATCTTGTGGTCTGTTGGGAAACCGGTGGATATAGTTTCAAAATTTGTAAATGAGCCAGGAGAATTTGATAAGATAAAATCAATCTCATTTTTTGTTTTCTTGTCGGGAGAAAGCCATGTCCATTTTTTCTTCTTATTTTTCTTAAATAAGGTGTTGATTATAGTTAGATTTTGTTCATACTTACACTCATCTAATAGGGTATTCTACTCTCTTTGATATAGTACTTGTAACTGTTGTATATAATTTAAAAAAGCCATTAAATAAATATTCCGGACAAATAAACACGTTTTACTTAAGATTAAATAAAAAATTTAACTTTTTTATATCTGTGAAAATGCTGTCCGTCATATTCATGAAGTCATTGTGATGTGTACACAAAACAGATGCATAGAGTAAAAAATTAAAGATGGCAATAAAACAAGAACTATTACCATTTAAAAATAATAAAAGCTCCATTATCCATAACAGGAATTTGATTTACAATTAATATGAATGGATATCTTTATGATTAATATGACAGCTATCGCCACAGTGACGTCACACGATGGCGAGTCGTATTTCAAGTCAGTGGCACAGACAATAAAACTCGACATGTAATTTTAAGATAATAAGAAAATCGTAAGATTGTAAGGCTCAAAATGTAATTCCGTGACTTATTTTTCAACTACCTTATTGCATTTGTTTTGAGAGTTACTGGATATTGAATCGGTTGATTATAATATATTGGATATGTGCTGGAAACCTATTAAATTAAGAAATTTATTATTGGGTTGTCTTTTTATTATAATACAAGGTCTGTCCATGTTCTCATGTTACTACTTGAATTATATGTATTTTTAGATGAGCAATGTCAACTAATGGTGCCTGACGACACAATGGCAGCACTACAAACGGCAAGTAGATCTGAAGATTCAAAACGCATGAGTCGCGCTCATTTAGTACTTCGACTTTTGTCCCAACAACTGACCACGGGTGGTGCTGTTATGGGTAAGAATTGCTCTTATGCCATTGATAAATGATTTTGTATGCACGCACTATAGTTATGTTACAAGATGTTGTAGATGATCATTATTAGGTACACTTTAACGGTCAAGGTGATATCAACTCGTTTATTAGTGTTATTATCAACATTAATCATATAATTTTACTTTGATTGTGAATAGGAAACACGCACATTTTTTTATAAATATTTTTCAACAATAATTTATATCGTTATATAACTGTAAAAAAATACGAAAAAATAAAATTTAGTAAGAATACTATACAAGGTGGAACAAAAATCATAACGAAGCCGATAACTGTGTATTCTATACACAAAAATGAGTATCATTAAAAAATTATAACTTGGAAACGACATAATTTTTTGACATAAATAAATAATTTGCGGCATGCAATGTAACGCGCACAACAAATCTGAGTACATTATCGTGAACTTAACGTGCGCGCGGGCCGCTCACACAAAGGTGTATAAACGACAGTATGTGATAACATTCAACTGTCTGTTATCTACCTACTTACCTATTGTTCGTCGACATCACCAAATGGCCTTTCCAAACGGACCAGGTGTGGTTCAAATTGGACACCTTCCACATGGAGACACATGTGAACACGGTACAAGATGTCCTGAAACACACGCTCCAGAATCGATAAAGCCGTAAAGCCTCTGAAACATTTCCATGCGCCATACTATAGCAGTACACCATGTTAATATACTCACGAGTACTAATCAAGTAATTAAGGCCGTCCATTAATCATGTAAGACTCGAAAGAGGTGGAGGTGGTTCTACAAAATATCACAATGGTAGGTGAGGGGTGTAACAATATATCACGTGTAATTATTTTTTCCTCGACGCGCGAAAAATAAATAAATCGAAAACGTAATCTACGCAAAATTCTTTGAAAGAAACGTTACCGCAGATTACTTTAGAATAAACGCCATCTAGAACACAGCGCCATCTATTGGGTGTATTTGCGACCTAGATGTCAAACGATATTGAAGAATTTTATCTATGAATCACGATACACCGCCATCTATGAGAACTTCATAAAACTAAACAGTAAAAAAACACTTGCTTAAGAAACAATTAATTCGAACATTTTATTTGTTTACATTCACGACATAAGCGAATAATAGAGATGATAACTACTCTATCCAGTAAGTTAGACCAAAATACGGCTACATTTGAAATTTGATAGAAATCGGTTTAGTACTTTTGGAGTTTATTGGCAACATACATCGTGACACAAAAATTTTATAATAACATTTTAAAGCGATTTTACAAAAAAATAGATTTTTTTTTGTTTTCACTTTGACATCCAATCTCAGTAAAACATGGTTTCCCAGGATTATTCTTGAACAAAAGTTGTCAGTATTGATGACCTTCGGCTTCGTTATTATGACCTTTGTTCCACCCATTATACGAGCTTGTTGTGATGTCAAATCAAAGTATGTGACTAGAGTTATGACATTTTAAATCAATATGGATTTTGAGTGATTCATTATTATTCAGTTATTCAAATCGATTAACTAATTTTTAAGTATAATCGACTTTTTTAATTATCACACGGTTGACCAAATTCTGGTGTTTTTTCTGCGACATTATATATATTGATGTTATTGCATCGATGTTATTTTTTTGTAACAACAACATCCCTATACTTGTACGTTTTCATAACTTGATAATTATATAAAAAAAATATCACATTTTGAATTTACCACATTTTTTAATAATGATAATGCAAGAATGCTCGTAATTAAACATATTTAACCAATTTTTCAACCCGATACGTATTATATTATGTGAAAAGATATGAAGTTAGCGAAATAATTTACTATTTATTATTTTGTAGGAAAATATTCAACAAAAAGCTCCGAAAATTACAGTATCCTTGATTTTACATTGAATTTGGCAGAACAGAACCATAATGTTGTAAGTACAAACCTTTGTTATTTATCAAGGAATGGTATTGAGCATTTTGAATTTTCTAAAGGCAAAACTAATTCTTAGGCTTACTTTCATCATCTATATAGAGGAAGCAATATAAGTATGTAAATATATATGTTGTTTGTAACTTTTCAATGATTTCCAGCACGGCATATGAGGTAGCTTTCCATGGGTGAAAGAATTTTTAAAACGGTCCAGTAGTTTCAGAGCCTATTTGATGCAAACAAACAATCAAAACTTTCCTCTTTATATTATTCGTATAGATGTAGAATAATGCTAATACAAACATAGTCTAGCAAGTTCTTCTAAAAGTATAGTTATAAACATACCCTTTTCATAATAATAACAAACTCACGTAGCAGCGTCACCCACTTCGATTTTGAAATAAATTCTTGATGCATCATCCTTTGTCATTACGAAACAGCCAATATACGTAGGTTCGGAGATAAACAATAGTATTTGTAGCCCGGCTGGATTGACAACACCACGGCTGCATCTCTGTACTTACAATGAATTCTAAAAACTTTCCTGGTCATCTTTTAGTCTCTTATTTATCTAAAGTAAATGCTTTTAAAGATAATTTAAAAAATATGTGGTGCTGCAGGGCTAATGTCAGTCTGAAACTCATTCTTTTAAAATATCAAGTTCTTATCTTATTTAGTTTAGTTCTTTTAAAATTAACATTTTAGAAACTCATTCTTTTAAAATATCAAGTCAATGCAGCTAGAGTTAATAAAACATTGAAAAAGTGATCCTGCGAGTATTCACCATTCTAAGGTACCAGGTATTATAATAATGTGTAGTGAATTACGCAAATTATCTTAACAATCACAAAGTATTTTACCGCTCTGACTATTCCAATCGATTGTTCTAGTCTCATATTATTGGGACGAAATACTGTTGTATCATGATCAAATAATTATGGAGATCGATCTTAAATAGCGCCTGCCGAATTCTATTAGCAGAAAGCAAACTGATGCTAAAATTATAGCAAAAACACATCATATCAAACTACAGTTCTGTAGGCTGTATGTGATATCTATACTTTCTATTTTTAATTGATCTCACGCAGATGTTATTTAGACAAGGTTCCAGCGTATTCACAATTTACGGGACTTAGACTAGCACCTATCTTATAAGCTAATGTAATATTCGATTATTCCTCATAAATATTTTTTTAATCCTTATTCGGGGCACCACAGCCACTTTAATGAAACTATTAATTGTTTGAATAAAATGAATTTTTTAGGTCCTTTTGTGTAACAGCATCGAATCAAAAGAAATAAATTATAGTGATATCATACCAGTTTTCACAATTCAAGAGATTAAAGAAATATTAGAAAATAGAACTAATCCAACTAAGCCTAAAGCCGAAGTAATCGATACGGGTCGTATAAAAATTACTATCCCTAATATAAATCCAGATTATGAAATTAGTTCTTGTGTGACAGAAAAACCAATTGATTTGGATACCGATAAAGTAAACCCACCGAAATCGAATAGTAACTTGAATACAGGAAAAACTACTTTAGAAATGGGTGTCCAAACAGAATTTGAATGTGGTATAGATAAAAATAAGGAAACTGTTCATACTGATAGTATCGTTCATAATTCTGTAGATAACAAATTTGTTGAATTCAATGACAGTAATTGTCAAAGTACTGAATTCAATTCCAATACTGTAAATAATCAACCTAAGAAAAGAGAGATACGCTTAAAACGTAATATATCTCAACAATCATCAAGTGTTAGTGAAAATAATACGATGAAAAAGCAATTCAAATGGCGAAGACGAAAAAAGGAGGTTTCCGAACCACCTTTGGAATCTAAACAAACAAAAAGAAATGACATTTGTACTGCTAATACTGACACATCACAAAGACATCCTGATATCAGTGCCGATACTGAAGATGTCCTTTTTGAGGGTGATCAAACAAATGAAAATAAACAAACACCCAATAAAGACCCTTGCGGCGATAACTATAGTGATACCACAAGTGGTTCGTGTTTTATTTATAAAGACGCTAGTAAAACAACTATTATTGAAGAAACATCTACTTCGGGAGTTATTTCAAACACTGCAAGTATTGTAGACTCTGAAAGCTTATACAGTATAAAAGAAAACAATTCAACATATATCAGTAACAATAATGGTGATCAACGGTCAAATAAATGTTTTATGTTTGAAGTTGAAAATTCAGTTATGGAGGAACATTTAAAAATGAAATCAGATGAATGGCTATCTAGGTTTGTTCAAATAATGGAAGATATTTTAACTCAAGTATTATGTCTCGATCCACCATATGATCATCCAAGTTTGCGTCCTCCTTGGAATTTACACGAAGCATCAGAATGTATCAAAAGAAAGTTTAACACAGATGCTCGTATAAATGACGCTGCAAGTAAATTATCTAACGTTTTATACAGAAATAGTGATGATAGAGGTGAGTAAAGAAACTTTTCTTTATAATTAGGATGTCGACTGGGTAAAAAAAATCTAATTAGTCCGTCAGTCAGATAATAGAAAAATATTAGAAACGTATTTTTTTTACTTCAATTTAACTAAAAATACGCCTAGATAACAGGTATTAAAGTTGATAAGTGGGAGCTCGCTACGTCACAGTTTTGTAGAAAATGTACAAAAGCGTGAAGTCATGTGACATTTTAACTTAGTGTATGTATCGTCGTTATTACGAAAAAAATAAGAAATACGTGTTTAATATTTTTTAACAATCTACCTGACGGAGAAACAAACAAAAATTGTCGTCATCCCTATTAAGAGCGAAATTGTAATTTAATTCGAATATTTTAGTATTGTCTATACTCCATTAATTATAGCATTAGACAGAAGTTAAATAAGGTTCTTTTTATGGTATACTTTGTGACAAAATATCAATAATCATGTTACTATTAAGATTGACCGCTAAATTGCTACATAACCGCTTAAATATCAGCAGCTATACTTAACTGTTGTCATTTAAGCTATCTATTAAACAAATTTATGAGTATTTGACTAATTTAAATGATTTAATAACTATTATAATAACCCCGAAGTATCGTAAAAATGGAAAATTGCCCAGCTCTTTCAGACTACCTAACTTTCAAAATTTTAACATAACTATAATTAATATAACATATTTTTAAAATTTATCTTGAAAATAAAATGTTCTGCACTGCTGCTTCTATGACCAGAGATGTACAAAATACCCTGTACAAAGTATCTGGAATACAAGATACAAAATACTTTTAAATTAAGTATTTCAGATACCAGATACAAAATACTTTCGCGAAAAGTATTTGAAATACTAGATATAAAATAGGTATCTTATAGATACTTTTTATAAATACAAATCCTTTCCAAAAAAAAGGTTTGAATTTAAGTTTGTTTATTAAAGACCACAAAAACCTAAATCTTAGACCAGATGGTTCCAGGGACAAAGTGGATTTTTTTTAAGCATTTTTCATTAGAAACAATTTTTGTAAGCTTTTATTTAGTTTTCTGTGTTTGTACTCAAATCTTACATGCTAAATTTCACCCACTTTTCCTCCGTTTTATTTGTTTGTCAATCACAATGTAACATATAAAAATGCAAATATTTAATACATCAGGTTTAAATTATTTTAAATTTTTTGTTCCTTTTTAATAATATTTTTTTTCAATATAGCATTGTGAATAAAAATTGCTGAAATATAACAACAAGAATAATTATTTAAATTTTATTATAAAATTATTATCTATTTAAAAAGCTGGTTTTACGTACGACGTACAATTACGGAGAACTGAAAATTCATTTTTTCCTAGTGAGATGAAGAGAATGGGTAAAAATAAATACAGTACTTGGTTTTTAAAATTAATGGCGTGACTTGTGACGAGGTGAATGTTCGATAGTATGTAACAGAACGTATATTAACTTTTTTTGCAGAACTACCGAAAATTATGCCCCTTTAGTGTGTTAAGCTAATTTGAAAATTTTTAGTAGAAAATACTTAGCTTCTGTGGTTGATTATAGTACGTTGGTTTGTAGGAAAGGCTTATAATACGTAGATGTACCTAAAAAGACGTAGAGTTGGTATTGCTGGTACTGTTGGTAATGCGCCATTAGTTACCATCTGATCGGATAAATCCGGTCCCAACCGGATTTGAAGTATTAATTAAGTCTTTATCTATGATATTTCCGTTTTTAATAAAATAAATGAAGCTTTATTTTCTTATTTTTATTAATCAAAGTAATCACCCATGCAATCAATACATCTTTGCCAACGCATTGGTAGCTTAATGATGCCTTCTTAAAGAAATCAGCTGGACGGGAGGCAACAAATACTTCAAAGGCATTTTGTACTGCCTCTCGGGTTTTTTTTTTCCCGCTAAGACGTTATCCAAATTCTGGAAGAATTAGAAGTCTGTAGGCGCATGGTCTGTTAAGTACGGCGGATGACGGAGAACTTTAAACCCCAGCTCTTGTAGCTTGGGTACCGTCAATTGTGTAGTATGAGGTCGTACGTGGTCGTGCAGGAGCAGTGGAACCGAACGATTGACAAAACCTGATTGGAGTTGTGCCACATTCTCCGTCATTTCTTCACAATACACACAGTAAATCTGCAGTAATGCTCGTCCTGTTTGGTAAGAAGCTGTGATGAAATCCGCGTTAGACCACCAAACAGCAACCTTTTCGTAAACCAATAACGGGCAAACCAATAACGGGTGGTGCGTTCGTTTGTAGTGTTCGCTCTGCAAACGTTGTAATGTTGCGTGCCGTTTTGCTGCCACGATGGCACACATACTCCATAATTACTCGAATTTTTAACTTATCCATGACGACGAAAAATATTCAAATCCATTGAAAACAAAACACTTACTATTGAACAAATGACGATTTATACAAAAAAAAATAGTTTGATTTTAAATGGCTAGTACAGCAGAACGGCAATTACATAGGTAAAGACCTAATATTAAGACAGGACTCCGCCCATTTTTTTGTTGTTTCTCAATAAAGATCCCTTGAATTAAATGGTAACTTATTAAAGCAAAATCTACTATACGATTACATCACAGATTGTGTTGTATTTTTGAAAAATAAAGGAGTATTAATTGACGATGTCAAAGAAATTATTTGAAGATTTTTTTCTATTAACAAATTTATTTTTATGATGAATTAGTTGAAAAGCAGTGGGTAATTATTTTCAATATATGCAATGACAGCAATCGTTTCCGAACTACTGAAGATTTGTCAGTATTTTTTTGTATTATGCCTCATAATGCGAATATTGATTTTTTTTTTCGCTCATGAATATGGAGTGGTCAAAAGATAGAAAAAGATTAACTGTTGAGTCAATAAAGGCAATATTGCTTTGCTCACGAGATATAATTTCAAGTATTTGCCATGTATCGAATTTCACAGTGAAATTTCTTTAAAAATAAACTTTTTGAATGCTGTTGTTAGTGGAAAAAGTATAATGTGCAAAAAAATAATAAAATTTAATAATGAGTTTAATTGATATACTGAGTTTTTTTATAGCATATAACCGGGTTTTACATAAATCAAGATTTTTTATTGCTTGTAACTGGTTATTCGATTTCAAGCCCTATGCGCCATCTATCAATTTTTACTAGGGAGGGTGTATTACACCGGTATAACCGTACGTTCAGTTCTACGCATTTACTTTTTAAATGACACCAACAATGTTTGGATTCGAGTTATTTTTAACTAAATATTCATTGCGTTGATAATTGAACACTTTTTTTTTGTAAATATGTATGTTTTAGGCAAAGAATGTTTTGTGATATTTATAAAATGTAAGAAATAATCTTTTTATAAAGTATTTTATCAGAAAAAGTATTTAAAAGATACTAAACAAAAGTATTTAAATACAAGATACAAAATACTTCCTAAAAAAAGTATTTTAGATACAAGATGAAAATACGTATTTTGTATCTTGTATCTGTATTTCAAATACTTGTATCTAAGATAAGTCACATCTCTGTCTATGACCCTCTTTTTTCTAATTTTGTAATGAATGGAGTATAGTTTAAAGATATGCAACAGAAGACTGCATAGACATTTAACTATTTAAAGCATACTTTTGCTGTAAAATTGTGACGACTTGTAATTTTAAAACTAGATAAAATAACCCTTTAATTTTTCCGAGCTTATGAAATTTTTTACCTTTAAGAAATCATACTATTTATTATATATTCTGGATTTTTCACAAACGTAATATATTTAATGATATATATCACGCCATCTATTGTGGTTTTAAGAACAAATATTTTTTTCTCCGTCAAAATTACTTTTACTTATCATGTTTTCTTTTTGTAGGTATAATAGATATCCAGTTAAAACCAACTTCATTTATGGAAATTTATAGCTATGGAGTTTATTTGGTCGATTGTTTAAAGGTTTGTTTTAGACACTTATTGAAATTATTATTATTTAGCAGCGACAATAAATGCTTCAATAATGTGTAAATAAAATGATTATGAATGTAATAATTAGTTTGTTAAATATTTTTTTGTGTATTTAGGCAGTGCTAAGTAATTTTGAAGATCTTAAAACAGCAGCAGAGTCGCTTGCCAAATTGTTAGAGGACATTCAGAGTACTAATAATTCCAATAACGACTCTTTCACCGATAATAGCAACGATCCGTCTGCAAATGACACACAGTGCAGTAGCGCAAGTAAGGATTTGATAAATATTTTTCCGTGATTTAATCTGATTATTTCCCTCTAATGTGACCAATTATTAATCGTTTGACGATTACAATAGCACTCCGTCTAAGCCAGTGTTTCCTAACCTATACGGTAATCACCCCCGCGGGTGTAAAGCTATTCTGTGGGGAGTAATAAAGATTCTAATAATTAAGTGCTTTATGCGAAACTCAACATCAAAACCTGGTGAATGTAAAACGTAGCGTGTCCTGTATAAAAATTTGTTGAAAGGTCCCTGTAGCCCGAGGGCCTTGGGGCGTAGCTACCTATATCATTGATACGGCTGTAGATACGACTCTGACGCAAAACATTAGGTAATAATCAATCATTAATATCAATAAATCATCAAATATCAATCATAATTTAATATTTGTATTACAAACCTTTTGAAGTTGGAATGAAATCAGTTTAATTTATAGGTCATACGGGTAATTGTAATGAAAAGGTTAGGAACCACTGGTTTAAGCTTTTTATTATTACGTTTTTTTAACATTCAAATAAGACACCTAATTAACTAAATATCTGCCTATTAATAATAAATTTGTTATTTGTGCCATCTTTACATAAGACAAAAAAAATACCATAAGTATAACTTGAAATTAGCACTGACTGTTGTATATAAATGTATGTAAACTATGTACAAATTGTGTTTCAGATAGTACTGAGAAAGGAATTTGTTGTAATAACGATACTAAAAAAAGTACCAGGAATAATTTGGAAAGTAAATCTATTGCAGATATTGACGATTGCGACGGGATAATCGATTTTGGGTCCAATCAAACACAAAACGATGCAGTAAGTTTATGGGTTAATAATTATACATTGACTTATATTATGATTTTTTAGAAGTTTATCTTTCAGTTTCAATACTATTTTGTATGTGTTTTTTTAAGTTATTCATATAATAAAACACATTTTCTTGTTTGTTTTCTGTTCTGTGCACATTTAATATTACTGTGTAGTGTTTTTTTTTTTAATTATTTTTACTTTTAGGAAATAGGCGCAGTGCAGCATGTCAAATTTGTCAGAAAGATAGATATAGAGTCGACATTCTTTTCAAGTTTACATCTTCAAAGAAAAGAAGGTGACATTGGTAGTAGAGCATCTGCAAAAAGTTTAGCTGAAGTAATTGAGTCAAATCCCGATGATGTAGTTCCAAACAAAGATGTGCCTGAGCCTAAAATTATTAGAAAATTTAATAAATGTTTAGAATTTGAAGAACGTTTAAAAAATAAGCAAAGGGAACTTTTAGATTTAGACTCATTAGATTACAGAGATGACAAGCTTGAGGAATTTTGTTATGATGAAGAGTATAACTCTGTTTATGACAACTACATGAATGATGAGAATGAAGATTTATCTGAAATGAAATCTGATTATCAAACTGACGAAACTCAAGATATTAATAACGAAGCCACTTACAATTCTAAGTGGATTATAGGTAAAACTATGAATGAAGTGCAACAAGCTTTGGCACAGATGCATGCTTTTTGGTAAGTTAAATATTGGAAATAATTTAAAAACATTCATATTTGTTTAAAATAAACACCGTGTATTCTGGTTATTAATATTTATTTATTTTTTATAGTGATAATACGCGCGGTGAATTAAATTCTTCCCAACCATTGTCTCCAATGAGAAAACTTAAAATTCAAGAACAAGCTGAAAATGCTCGAGTGCATTTAACTAATTTGTTCCAATCTTTAAGCAGGTAAAAATACTTACAAGTTTCTGAATGTAAACGTTAGTTTACATTAAACAAATAAACAATAAAAGAGAAGTTACATTACTTTTTACTATGAAAATCAGTATTATCATGATATTGTAATAGTCACAGCCAATTTATTAAAGTAGCCTTTTAATTGAACGGTAAAACGTCGATCAGCTTAGTAATTGTACACACTTTTCTCAACGACGGCTGGACGAAGCCAACTGGAAGTACGGGTCATATAAAATATATTCGTAGTTGCTTCGAAACAATATTAAAATATCAAAACAAATTCATTTAAAATAGCAAAACATCAAAGATATGTAGCGATTTTGATTTCAGTTCACAGCGATAAGACCGCGAATCTTGCCCTAATGTGTGAAGTTTAGTTGGCAATAATGTTATTATTTCCTAGGATTTCACATATGTTATTGTATTAATTTATTACTATTAATAACTTACTAATTTTAGTTCTTTCGAATTCTTTCACAATAAAATCTCAGTCAAAAATTTTAACGAACTATAGTTTCTCATGGAAACAGTTCCATGTACTAGTGACTACAGAGTCACTAATGAAAAATACAGCCATTAGAACGGCTGTTGTCACCATATTGTAAACAAAAAAATTGGCGGAGAAATATAAAAAATGAAAGGCGCGGCCTTTTAATCAGTTTTCGACTAAGAAAACTGCAATTTTGAATGTCATAGTGATTTAAATAGAAAAACAGTCATGCAATTAAATGCTTTCCAGTTAAAGGGCTAGTAGTCACAGCACAAGTGAGTAGTTGGTTTTTTGTTATGACTGATCCTTCATATCTAGTAATATCCAAATTTAAGTTATGCAAAATTTATAACTTTGAAAGATTATAGGTACATCGTTATTTAAAATATATATCTCAAAATGATCTTACCGAAACGCTATTGATTATAAAAAATTTAATCAAGTTGACCCATTCGTTAAAAAGGTATGTAATATGCTGTGAGTGCAAATAATTTAAATAATAACTACCTCCTGACAAACAGCTTGTCGCTCTTTAACTGCTAATCTGTTTTTTTTTTAAAGAACCGCTGCATTGATTAAGGCTTTAATTAAAAATCTCATTTAAATCGTTCCATTCATTCAGGAGCTATGAGAGCCACAGAGAGACTGACTCTACCGCCATAACACCCCTATTTATACATATACGTGGTGTGGTGATTGCTCGGTCAACTGTCGAAATTGAATTAATATTTTTTTATGAAGGCAAAACGATTTAAGAATTTAATTATTCAAATATTATTGTCCTATGACCTAATATTTGGATAATAAAATTCTTAGTTATGATCAGTGGTCGGAATTAGGTAGAGTTATTCATGTACTTACACTGATTTCATACAGCGAAAGAATAAAGTGGATATGCCATCCCGAGATTAATTTTAAAGAGCAGAAAAAATCCCGTGATTTTTTAAATAATTTTTTTTTTTTACACAATTTAAACAACTGCACGCACGACGTTGCCAAACTTACATCAATGACATCGGATGTCCAAAGTTGCAAAATACCAATACGCGCGATGTTGCCACGAAGGTCCACATTAATATCAACATTTCGATGCAAGTACATAAATAACTCTATCTAATTCCGACCTCTGGTTATGATTCATCCTCAGTCTTAACGTGGGGACATACAGGAAGAATAGGCCATCCCTATGGATGAAAATGAATCCAATAGGGAGAATGGGCCGTGAACAACACACGAACCCACTGCGGATCTGAGGGTGGACTTTCAATGCAGCCTTCTTAGGGGTAATCCATAAATTACATCACACGATTTTCATGATATTTTTGCCCCTCCCCCGTCCTAGTCACAGCTGGTCACATTTGTAAGAGTCCCCCCTAGTGTGATGTCACATATTTTGCAAGGTTTTCCTATATAAAATTCGTGTTTTAACACTTAGATTATAATATTTTTGAAATGTTACGTCACCAAAATTTAATACCCTCCCACCCCTTGTCACACAATGTCACACTTCGTCGACCCCCTCCCTCCCCTTAACGTGTGACGTAATTTATGAATGGCCCCTTATGATCAGTCCTTATCGATCCTAGCATTATAAAGAAGAAAGATTTGATTGTTTGTTTGTATTCAAAGAGATTTATAATTACTGGACCGACTTGCAAAAATCATTCACCAACGGGAAGCCTCATCATAGGCGGGTGACATAGGCTAAGCTAGTTCATAATAATCATTTATATAATTGTATTAATTATTGAAAAATAACCAACTGATTTCGATTGAACTTTGTTTTTAAGACCATTAGCTATTCATTTAAACAAAAAAATTGGCGTCGTTAATAGTGAGATTAAGTGATGAATGATCGATGTCAAAAGTGCCTTTTTATCATGAACAATGCATTATATTACTAAGATTATCGTCTAATATCGGTCATAAATTATCGACCTTTCCAAAATACCGGTTTTAGGGAAACACTGCCCCAAAAAAGCTGGTATTATTATTTCTAAATTTGACATTTGCATGTGTCAAATTAGTCTCTGAGATTAATGAACAGACTTTAATGTTGAAAAATAATTACATAGATTTTATGGTGAAGCAATAATGAGCCTAATAAAGTATATTTAACCCTTTTTTAATCAGACGCTTATTCCCTGTTATGTCAATATGCTAAATATATATTGTGCCAAAACGGTTATGCCAATGTATATTAAGAATGAGAACATTATGTCAAAGAAGGGGTTCGTTATAAAAACAGTCACAGTTCGTGTATCCGTTTTTTTGTTTGTGGCATATTTGCGTTTACTCAATTCCTTCAATGCCATCGTTGATGATTTATAAAACATAATTTTAAAACAATACATAAAAAAATCTCGTAGACTGTGGCTCTCGTAGGCAGGTAAACGCTTTTAATTTGTTAAAATTAATTGCTAAGAATTAAGATAAAATTTTTAATAGACCGGGGTTACTCCATATTCTGGATACATTTTAAATAAGTTGGTCAAGGAATTTTTGAAGGGAGCGATTTTTTAACGTTCTATGTATTGCAGTTATTCTATTGAAACATTTTATAATAACTTTTGGAAAAAGTCGATTGGTTATTACAACTATTCTCCTTGTATTTAGGTTTAAAATTAAGTTTAAACATTTTGGGTTAGACAATAATAAATTCAACTTCTTTTATTTTATTACCACGCATGGTAAAAATATTTCTTACACCAACACGTTTTTCACAGTATCATGGAGAGAGAAGATAAAGAAGAGTGCGATACTAACATACTCAATATTTTTAACGAGATTGGCATTTTCTTGGATCCTAGCCAAGCGGCTGAATACAGGTAAAATAGATTCAATGCGTAGGTATTAATTTTACTTTATTTGCAGCAGTACCGTGAAAAAGAACCCGTCTCTGATAATGTTATATTACAAGTCCAGTTTGTTTATTCTCTGTCTGATACTTTTTGAATTGTGGCCTGATTGTTTAATTTTTAGCCCGCTCCCTTTCAAAAGTATAGCAGTTATGACAGCGATTTATGGCATTACGCTTAAAGTTTACAATTTGCAATCGCTTTCGGACCGTATGATGATTTTAATGATCATGAAACATAATTAAAAACTAATAACTTTAAAATTATATTTGCGTCTAACGCTTGCTTTAGACAAGATGACGACTGGGTAAAAAAAAATGAAATTCTATTTAGTCCGTTAGTCAGATAATGGAAAAATATTAGACGTGTATTTTTTGCCATTATTTTAAACAAGAAATAGCTTAAATAATAGGCAATAAGGTGGAGCGGTGGTGGCTTACTACGTTACAGTTTTGTAGAAAATGTACAAAAGCGTGATGTCATGCGACAGTTCAACTCAATGTATGGCCCTAATTTATTGATTGCGAAAATAAAATAAAATATACGTGTTTAATATTATTCAATAATTTACCTGACAAACAAAGATTAGTCGTCATCCCTATTCTGATTAACGTCAAATTAACAATATTCGGTCAATTGCACAAACGTCAATTAGGGTTTTATGACGCCTTTAAGCTCTAATGAATGTCAAATTTGTATGGGTAATGTTGCTTTAAACTAATGATAATTCTAATGGACGTTTGTGCAACTGGCTCATTGTGCATTAAATATCTTTCAAAACAACGTCGCGATGGAAATCGTGAATCGTTATCACATGTCAAATAGCTGTAATGAGAAGTACGTGAATATTTTACAAATTTCATTTCGAAAGTTTTAAAATAAGGCTATTAGGCCCTTGTTTTATAAACAACCGCTTTTGTTGACTTCCTCGCCGGTTTTACTCAGTATCAGATTTTCTGAAGTAGATTCAAATGTGTGTGTAATAGTTATTCCACTTTGTGACTGTGATAAACTCAAGTTATGTAATTTGATTTTAGGAAAATTATTGGGAACAGCATAGAACAAACTTATATCCTACTTGAATCTGTCAACATTGTTCTAGAAGCTGTGAAATAAAAAATTGTACGGAGATGCTTGACAGTAGGTATACATGAATTGTGGAGGTGGACAATTTAAACTATTTTTTTTATTATTTTTTTATTAAAATTCTTAAAAATGTAAATAACATTTGTTGCATGTTTTAAGATATTAAAATAAGTTAGCTGTTTTACATTGTAATGTATTAAAAACATATTTTATAACCTTTTCTTTTATTCTGCATCAATGTAAAATTATCCATGAAGTATTTAAAAGATAAGTAAAGATAATAATTAGATGGCGCTAGTGTTCAGTTTGGTGATATTATGTTTATTAATAATGAAAATATCTATATTTATAATAATGTTTCGCTTTGAAATATTATTATAGTATTAAAAAACGGATTTGGTACATCTTAGGTGTTCTAATAACTATGTAATCTAAAAACGGAATATTTTTTAACCTTGACGAGTAGATAGTAAATATATTTGTAAAACTAAAATAAACCAATCGACGGTGAAATAAATTAACGATATGACGTTATTAAAAGCATATCGCTCACTGAATAGTACAGTGGCACAACTCAAAAACCATTATTTCGAGAAAACGCCACAACATTGTGGTGGCATCCCATAGATAATTTAAAGAAAAAATAAAAAAACTTATTTAACTGTTATGCTAAACAAATTGATTTTCATAATTATAAATATATTAGATTTTCATAACTTCGGAGAGCGTTTCTCGAAATTATGGTTTTTGAGTTGTGCCACTGTAGTATTCAGTGAGCGATATAATGTCGACCTCCGTGGCCGAGTGAGTAGCTTCCATGGCGGTTTCAAGGTGTCGCCATCTCTGAGATCATCATCGATTCTCAGTCGCGTCAATGTTAAATATTAAATTTTAATAATACCAGTATTTTACTACTTATTTAGGATCTGAGCATTGTATCTGATTTTGTCAAAATATTTATTATTTATGTGTAGGCATATCTTCATTGATAAATAAAATAAAAACATAAATAAGAACAGCGCCATCTATTGATGCTCTAAATGAACCATTACATTCCATCTTATAAAATATTTTCGAAAATAATAACAAGTATTGAATATGGCACTGAAGAAGATAAATATTTAATCGACATTAACAGTTATTATAAATTATTAAAGATAATGTAGTAAAGATAAATATAGTCTAATTGAAACCTTTTCCTTCCATCATTGCTTGGGCGCAATATCTAGGGAATTGTATTACTGATAGTAAGAAGTCCGTAAGACCCTGAAAACAAAAACGATAATCCTATTAATATTATAAAGGCGAAAGTTTGTAAGTATGGATGTATGGATGTTTGTTACTCTTTCACGAAAAAACTACTGGACGGATTTGGATAAAACTTTACAGCAATATAGGTTATACATCAGAATAACACATAGGGTACTTTTTACTGGGAAAACTTCTCACTCCCACGGGATACCGACTTCCACGCGGACGAAGTCGCGGGCGTCCACTAGTTATTATATAAAACAGTATAAATCTCATTGAAAGTTATAATGAAGAATATATTTTTCAACGCTGGTTGATTTATTTAGTAACATTTCACATTTAATTTCGTCTAATTAACACAATCATAATAATAGACCGACACAGTAAGGTTGTTGCGGTAGTGAAAATTAAGCCACGAAATTGTACAAAAACTTAAATAGTAATTTTTTTTTTATATACTTCCTCATTGAGAACCGCGGGAAACTCGTTAGTGTTTCCCCTCCTTTATTTAAAACAAGCTGTTTTTCCGCGACTTCGCACGCGTAAATTATAGCTGTCAGCATCGCTGTGCAGTACTTTAATGAACATTGTGTTTATTTCAACGCTCTGCCAACGTGACGTCACAGATGGGCAAAGGTAAGTTATTATTACGTTTCTTACCGTTAAAGGTTCTATGCAGACTGTAAACGGAATGATTAGAATGTAAAGTCCAGCTGCAAATGAGGCTACCCAGAATCCAATAAATATGAGTATAAGTAGCCAAAGTATTGAAAATAATACGTTCCCCATTTTCTGAAAATAAACAAAACTGTGGGTTATAACAATACGTAATGAGTATTTGATCTAGGCGGAAGGGGCACGTGAAACTGAACAGCTCGAATCCAGTTATTACTTATGCAAGCAAATCTATTTTACCGTAATCAAATCTGAATTTACTAAATAGATTAAAAATTGATTTAATCTATTTAGTAAATTTTGTCTTTCCCTTTAAAATAACGATAATCTTTTCTTGGAAAATTGTTATACTCAAATTTTTGTAGGTATTATACTCTATACTATACGATAAAACAAAAATCGTAGAATAATAATCTCCAGTACCTACCAACTATCGATGCTAGAAGAGCCTTAATAAGTAATATTACAAAAAAAATGTTTCACTGGAGTTAAATATTTTTTGGAGAAATATTTAGAATAAGCCTTCAGGTAACATGTTAATTCGTACTAGTAATACTTATGTAATAATTTGACCTACTAATGAAATGTGTAATAGAGTACGCTAGCTGGTTCCGGTATATATACCTATAGGTATCTCAAACGGACTGTAACCACGATAAGATTAGATTGTAATATTGGTAGTAAAAAATACTTTAACGATGCAGAATATTTGACGGCTTGGTAGTCAAATATCAGATCAGAGGTATAAATAGGAAATAGGACAATATAATGTAAGAAACCGATGTAGAATTATATGGCCAGAACCACTGACGTATGACCAGATCCAAGTAAAGAAATAATTGCGTATCATTTTTGTAGGTGTGAAAGAGTAATTAAAAATTTATTGGAACAACAATATAAGGAGTGAGTAAGACTAGTGTGAGAGATGATTAAAATAAGAGCCCTTTCTGACTTGGACATAGAATCTTTATTGAATTTCTCCAAAGATAGTTTGGTAGAGAGTGCTATACATATATCTATTATGTGTTTGAACGTAAAACTGCGTATGGTAATCACTTCGTGGTACGGACATCGGAGTAACGTTAAATTTTGAAAGATTTATTGAAAAATTGAAAGATTTATTGACAGTTTAAGAAAGGTCTTAAACTGTCAATAAATCTTTCAATGTAATGTCACACTTGGTGCAAAAATTTAAAATTTTTCCGACCTTGCACCTACATTAATGAAAAAAGTGCCGATCGACTTCTCAGAGAATTGCGTAAACTATATATTAAATATAAAATCTTAATTTCTGATTTAATCTCGCAGTGAGATTCCAAGCGTAGCCCTCTCCATTAATCTTTGATTGACTTCGATCCTGTTTATGAAGATCACAATCAGCGGCCACGTCTAGTGCTCATTGTTGGCAATACACATAAGTTATGGACCCTAGAGATACAAGACGAGAAAACGCTTCGGAGTTGGACCTACACTCACAGTCACAGGCACAATTAATTGCCCACCTGTATCATTTCGACCGCAACTGATTGTTTTTGTGGTGAGAAATGTAAGTGTCAGTGAACGTACCATTAGAAGAAAACTAGCAGAAAGAAATTTGAGGGCTTTTCGTCCGGTTCGCGCTCTGTAACTGCTCCCACAACACCGTAAAGCTAGACATGGTTTTGCGCGAGAATATGCTGATTGGACTGTAGAGGAATGGAAGAACGTACTGTTTTCAGATGAGAGCAGAATAGCCTTATGAGGTCCAGATGGACGTCAGCGTGTCTATAGGCAAAATGAAAGGTTTGCTCCATGCCTTATAACTGAAACAGTTGGCTACCAGGGAGGGTCCATAATTGTATGGGAGGTATCTCTTATGAAGCTCGTAACGATCTTCTTGTGTTCGATAGAGGAAGTATAAACGCTCAAAGATACGTGGAAGAAGTTCTTCAAGACCATGTCATACTTTCACTCCGATCATTGGTAACAACTTCAGATTAATGCATGACAACGCACGTTGCCATACCACAATATCTGTCAATAAGTGCCTAAATGAGTTCGGGTCTCACTCAGTCCCGATCTTAACCCTATAGATCACATTTGGGACTACCTTAAAAGACGTGTCCGATCTAATGTATCAGTCCCTACGACTAAAGGAGATCTAAAAACGGCTGCAGTAGAGGAGTGTCACAATATCCCCCAATCGGATATTCAAGACATCATGGATGGATTGACAAACCGGCTCTAAGAAATCATAAGCGCCACACGCAACACACACTATTAATTATTATTTTTTCTTTTAATTGCACCATTATATTCAAAACTAAAATTTACAAAATATCGATTTTTAGTAAGCATACTTTAATAAAAGTCCTTTTTTTCAAAATTTGTATTGTTTCTTTTTCTTTATAGTTTTTAACATTCCTTTCATAAAATATGGTGATTTCAAAGAAATAGAAGGTTGGCGGTTAATTTTGCATGTGAGTGTATTTTGCTGGAAGTTCTGTTGTTCTGTCCTAGCTAAGTTCGACCAGTCGGCAAATTATTTTTATTTCCACTAGATCTGTCTTAGAAGGCTGATAATACATTATATGCTCGTTATGGCTTATACAATGAGGTCAGTATTTAAAACGTATCTTTGCGTTTTTTTCGATTACATAGATATATAATTATTGACAATTCATTAACAGAGATGTGGGTACCTAAGTACAATTTTGCTTCTCTTCAGACAACACCTTACTTAATAATTTTACTTTAGTTTCTTTTCCTTTCAATCGTCTTGTTACCCGACTATAGCTAAGCGAAAAGGAGGGTTATGAAGTTGTTCGATATGTATACCAACCAAAATCATAACCCTCCTTGTCGGTACCGGTTTTAATAATCAATGTTAATCTGTTCTAATCTGAACTACTTATCGTAACTGGACAAATGAGGTGTCATTAGAAGCGTCTTAGTTGTGCTAAAGGAAATAAATCGTCACTAAGACGTTACATTAAATTGCCAACAGCGCCCTCATTCCGTATAGGGTATCAAATGAAAGGGCATAATTAGCGCATTTCAAATATATGTATATATTGATAGCTTTTGGTTTTATACACCCAAAAATTAATTAAATAAAAAATAAGTTCAAAAACTAAAACCCGACAAAATCTAAATAAAGCTCTAAAAAGTTTGAAATAAGAAATTTATTTTATAGCAATAGCTATATTATTTTAGTGATGGATGACAAAAGGACGGCGTAGTCGTATGCCACAACGGAAAAGTTTCTTCGCCTTTTATATGAACATTAATAACATTTTTAATAAAGTTTATTTACATTTAACTAAAGTATATAGTTTCCATTTTGTTCGATAACTTTTTGCGATCTTGTAGGTAAGATCCCATTGCTATAGACATTTTGGGGCTTCTGACCAAAAAACCGCGACAAGTTGTTTTGGCAGTCCTCGCGTGATGTTAACCTAACACTGCCTAAAGAATTCTAAAGAGATGGAAATCTGAAGGTGCAAGATCAGGACTATACGGCAGACACATTAACACCTCCCAGCACAATTTTTTTTCGCAGCTTGCGTTGCATTTTTTACCTTTATTGTAATAAAAATTTAAAATATATCAAATTCCTTCATTGGATCCAATGACATATTAATTCGATTACATATTTTCCTAATTTGAATTCGGAGTTATCTTCTTTCAGAGTCAGTCAAAATAATCTTTATTCAAATAGACTTCTTAATAGTAGGTACTTTTGAATCGTCCAACATTTTTTTTTGTCTACCAATATAAATGGTATAGCCAGATTTTTTGCGAAAAGACCCCAACCTAATATGATCAGTGTCATACGACGCTGTCCTTTGGTCATCGCTATTATAATAAAGCTATCGATATAAAATCTTTCAGAGCGTGATTTAGCTGTAAGGTTTTAGTTTTTGAACTTATTTTTATCACATTTGAATAAAAGATAGATTAAGTGACTGTACCCACGCGTTTATGTTGTAAGTTGTAACGCACCTATGTAACGGTGAAAGTGATCACTAACACACATCAAAATATATGTCGGTTCGTCGGTCAGTGAACGCTATGTTTGTAAATATGTAAGTAAACTTTTATTTACTAACCATAATTTAAAAGAGGCATTTGAAAACATTAGAAAGAATGAACTTTAATGCCAAGAAACTTATTTAGTAGTAGGAAAGGATATAATATTGTTTGTAAGCATAGTATAGAAATGTACAGTTAAGATGAAATAGCGATTCTTCATTTTTGTACTAAACATGTTTCTAGTAAAACTTTCTAATCATCAACATTCTTGGAATTATATCTACTCCATAAAACTGAATTTAGTAAAGCGAATGATTAATAGGATAATGATATTTATTTGTAATGCTGTAGTAAAATCTTATCTTTTTTAAAATATTTGCCTTGCTTCGAAACTTACATCAAGTCTATTTCCATTGATAGACACCCACAGAACTGGCTCGTTTACTTATTAATGTAATTTAAATGATATAAACGACTTACCGGTTTTAATAATAACTTAGTAGAAAAATAACACAGTGAACCGACTCCACTCGTCACAGCTCAGTATTGTACTGCGGACGTGAAACTAAGTTTACCTCGTGCATACCCTTATCTGGGTGACGGAATGTTGAGGCTGACGCTCTGATGACGCTTGAATTGGACTCACTTGTGTGTGTACTGTGTACGAATGTATTTTACGACTATTCGTTAATGAAATTATGCGTCTAGTTCTTTACGTATCGCTGTGGTAGTAACTATTTGATACTACATTTAATATACTTTTGTAAAGTTATCGTTGTTGGTTGAAGTTCTTAATGCGAATTGAGTAGAGTAGATTAATAGGTGAGATGAAATGTTGTCTCTACTAGGAGGGCTTATATAATTTGTAGTATTATCGTTTTAGGTGGATGTTGTTAATTGAATGAAATACCTATTGAGTAGGTTCCTATGTATTTCAGAAAAATTTGGCTTTTTTTCTACCGAAGATAATAATACTAAATAGATTAGGGAGCCAGGGCAGGGCCGACTCGTCCATTGGCATACTATGCAACAGCCTAAGGCGCTCGCTTTTGGGGGGGTTGAATTTCGCAATTATTGAAACCTTAAAAATGCAGTAGTACCTTTAAAAAAAATAACTTTTGCTCATTGAACACGAGTACGTATATTCAAAAATAATAAGTACTAAGAATGGAAACTTTGTTAGATAATTTTTTTTAGCTTGCCTTAACAGATACATAAAATTAGTGACTGATGGTTCCCTGATGCTTGATTTACTACTATACAGACAATGTAAATAAAACACAATGAATAAAGTTTTCGTTGGTTGAAGTTCTAGAACATTTTGTCAATGTTTACCAATATACAGTTAATTCACATAGTGATAATACGATATTAATAACATGAAATTAAAAAATAATTCTTTTGTCTATTTTTAAGTAAACAGGTAGTGTTTTTATTTCAAAGAAATACTAAAATATTTTTTATTTTTAGTTCATAGGCCCAACGAAACATTATGTCTGATTTTAAGAATGGCAAATTCGGGCATAAATAATTTTTGCTTCAATTACTTTACTACTTAGATGTGCTCTATAGGACTCAATTTAAACAACTGTACATCTAGACACCGTTAACTGTCAAAACTCTATTCAGCGTTTCAGTAAGGTAAAAATATAGTTACTGTTTGCGGCTTCTTGGCGCAATGGAATTTATTGCGTGAAATAAACTCGGCGTCTTGAAATATATATTTATTGGTTCACAATCTTGAGGTGGATTTCGTTGTTCACCGTAAGAAGGTTGATAGGTGAATGAAAATATAAGTATTAAGATTATCGTTGCCTCCACTGGATACGTAGGCGTTACCAGTTACCTACTAAAAATCTATTTAGAACCCTTTTTAGATAGACCACAGATATTATGGTTGATAAAACCATGTCTATGGTTTTATTAGCTTATAATACATTATAAAGTTTGTAATTTAATAATGTAGAATTTTAAACATAATGAAACAGTTAACATGTGAACTGGTTTAAAATATCTTATAACTAAGACAACTCCAAAAACTAATTTGGAGGTCTGACAATACATTTGTTTACATGGCAGGAGCGCGACCACTGTTGATTCAACAAAAGAAAGCTAAAGCTATCTTGCGGCTCTTCCCTGAACTTTTTATTGAATCTGTTATGTTGGATAGATGCGTATGATCAGTGAGCATTTGAATATTGTACTACGTCAAAACTCACTCCAATTTTTGAGTTGTCTCAGTTTAGATCTAGGTGTGTGATATAGTATATTAAGTTCAATATTGTTTATTGCGTCCCTTTAAAAAAGTACGTGATGCTTTGACAATTCAAAGAAAGTTTTATTAATGATAATAATAAATACTCTTTATTGTACAAACCAAATTAAAATTACATAGACAAACATAAATCTTTACATAGAAACGTACAAAAGGCGGCCTTATCGCTAGCCAGCGATTTCTTCCAGGCAACTTTGCATTGGATGGAAAAAAATAATAGATAGCAGATTGTGCATAAACTAATAACAATTTGAATCATATAAAACAAAACGAAATAGCGTTTGCGACAGCAAAGTAACACAAAAAAAGTAAAGAAAAAGGAAAAGCAGACGAAACGTTTGAAAGGAAATGGAATTTCAATTGAGATTTGAAGGAGTTTAACGATTTCGCCCGTCTGATAGATTCAGGTAGAGAGTTCCACAGTTTTATAGCTTGTTCTGTGAAGAATTGCAGCGGCGGCCTTAGGGGGTGGCGAACGGGGCGATCGTCCGGGGCCTCGCTCTTCCGGGGCCTCGCGCAACAAGCCAAGCAAATTTAAAAATACATATATTTTTTTAAATTTAAAGCTTTTTATTATGACTCTTAATTATTTATGCAGGTTATATATTATAGCATAGCAGTTAATTTAAATAAAGTTAGCTAAATAAATCATTCATTCTAAACATAATTGAACACCCCTTCGAACCACTTGAAGATCGGTTTTTTTAATTGCATAACACTTTGTATAACTTAAGCATTTCTCCTCGAACATGACAAATACTTAACCCAAACAACCAGACCTACTTTCGAATCACATACTTTTCACGAAGGACAAAGGGCCTAGCAAAGACCTGCCACCCGGAGCCTCGCAATGGCTAAGGCCGCCGCTGAAGAATTGATTATAGGATTTAGTGAGATTGGGAGGAATGAACAATCGATAGTTATTAGAATAGCGAAGAGAGATCATGCGTATATGAGAGAAATTTAAAGCGTGATTTGAGATATGGGGGTATCATGGGATTGAACATTAACCCTTAACCAGTCTCTGGGTTATATGCTTCCCACATACATTTTTGAAGGTTTTTACCAGGTTTTGGTAAAGAATCTACCGCTAACTATCAAAAATGCTTAAATAGAAATATTGTCTATGGTCACACAAAAAAAAAGTGGAACGGAACGTAAATGTCACTTTTGGGATCATTTTTTCTGTGGTCGCTTGAAAAACCGTTGTTTTTGTGAGAAGTGCTAGTGATGTACCAACTCGGAAAAAACAAAACTCGATTTAACCCGAGTTAAAATCCACATAACTCGAGTTGAACTCGATTTACATTACTCGAGTTAACTGGATGGACAAGCAGTGGCGTAACTATAGCGATTGAGGCCCGTGGCAAATTCATCGGATATATTTTTTTTTTTTACTAATTGCGTAATAATAAATGTCAGGAGTAAGGAGTCTCCTCTGATCGGCGGTAATCTGAACTGAATTTGAACATTGTTAACACGCAACACATCCACTCACTGGCATCCACTCACATCCCAAAATAAAGATTTTCTTTTTCTCCCGGCATTTTTTAAAAACAAAACATAAAACACCAAAGTTTACAACAATAACCGGCAGTTTAAAATTAACCTCAAATCTACATAATATATTATTATGTGACACTTGTTTGTGATGAATGAATGAATGAATGAACATCATAGTCTTACTCAAATGATCGGCAAACTTCTCTCCGTGTAGGTTCCATTCGGTTAACGAACTCGAGTTAGAGAGAATTCAACTCGAGTGGGTTCGAGTTACGCCCTACTCGAGTTCACTCGAGTTGACCATCACTAAGAAGTGCACCGTTTCATTTTTATAATGGCGAATCGACGAAAGATAAGTCGTGCAATTTTTTGATATTTTGTAGGATTTGAGTTTTTCTAATGATATATGCATAATTTATAAGTAAATATTTGAAAATTATGATAATGCAACATATTAAAACATGTGGGGACCATGCAACCTTAGCCTGTCAAGACCTAGAATATTGTGGGAGTTATATGTCCATTGCCCGTTAATTGAAATCTTTGTTTTGTACTAGCGTTTTGCCGCGGGTTTTGTTTTTGATTTGGATACAGTCATTTTACATTACAAGTAAAGAGAAAATGAAGATTTTTTTTACCGAAATATAAATTGTGGGTAGTGGTGGTAACCCTTTATTATCATTTTGTCGTTCAATATTTACCTACTTCAGTATATTTTTTGTTTTACAGGTAATAAAAGATGACCAAATTGAACAAATCCTAAGTGAGATGATTTCATCAGATAATGAAAGCGATGATAATGAAGACCCAAATATGGATTATGTTCCAAAATCAATCAACGAAAGATTGAATGAAATTCAATTTACGTCAAATCGACACTTATTACATTTATTCGACGACGTTACATGTAATCCTAATCAAAAGTCACGTAATAGGGAAACTCCACCTTGTACTTCATCAGCACCATTCCCAGATTTGCCTGCTTACGCTGCATTTTTTGCTCCTGCTGAACACGAAGAAATGGCACCTACTTTTTCATTGCCTGCACCATCCTCTGACTGCTAACTTGTACTGTCAACTGCAGTCAACCCAACCAAAATGGAAGTGATTCAGAGAACTCAAAAGAACGGTCAAAAGAAAGACATGTTTTGTCCCACTGCGATTGCTGAATACACGAGGACTATGGATGGTGTGGATCACTTTGATCACTATCGGAGTTCATACTCAATTGGCCGCAAGTCAAAAAAATCCTGGCTTCGGATGTTTTGGTTCTTGTTTGAGAGTGCAGTCATAAACGCATACATTTTATACAAACTCAATAATCCAAATCGTAAAAACATACATCGCGATTTTAGATTGTGATTAGCCAGAAGTTTGAAATCGGCCCATATCTCAGAATAAAACAAAATCCGGTGGTATACAAAAATAAAAAAAAAATTGTTCCACCAAAGTCAAAATCCAATATAAGTATAAAAAACCTTTGTCATTCTTTTTTTTGTGTTACTGAAATAAAGATTAACGTTAGTTTTTTTTTATTTACTATTTTTTTTACTAAAATGCTAACAAAATAACATCCGTCCTTGTCAGATTTTTTATATATATAGATATAAAAGTCAATGTCTAACCAGGCAATGGGATTACGTATTCCCACATGTTTTTTTAAAGGATTTATACTAATTTTCTAAATGTAATTAATGAAATCTTAAACTAGGCATTGTTTTTCATATAAAACTATAAAAAAAATCGTTATTACTACAAGATTTGCCCGAGGCCTGGTTAAGGGTTAACATATTAATGGATCTTCAGTTGTTTAGTTCATTTTTTTTGTATCAAATCTTTTTTGTTTATTAAACGAAAAGCCCGTTTTTTAGGATTTAAGTCATGTAATAAGAACAATTATTTGTAAATCACAAAAAAAAATGTTCTTTGTGGGATCGAACCACAACTATCGATCCGTGGGCAGTTGCATGGAGACAACTCAACCGCTCGACCAACCGTGCAGTCAAAATCTAACCTGTATAATGCAAAATAATGATGGCAGTTCTTGCTGAAAAAATCTTTAAAATTAATGAATACTGTAATTATATAAAATACCTAATTAAGAGCAAATTGTCTTCCGCCCCGGGCGGCAGACACCCACGCTACGCCACTGGAGCGGCAACATACTACTCTTTGGCGGCAACTATTACATTGATAAATTTTGTTAGTGTGTGCGTGCGACGACGCATACGCGCGGGCGTGAGTTAAAACTTGATGAGTATAAGGCCCACACTCCACCAAAGCGGAGATGTCCAATGTGGAGACAAGAAGAGATGTTATTCGGTTCGGGTGAATCCACCGAAGCTATTTTGTCGCGGAGATGTGCGTTAGCTAGCGTTGAGAGTGTGCAAGGCATTTACTCAGTATGCGTTCTGAAAGGTAGACGTTATGTCGCTTTTATAAAAACGTACGCTCACATCTTCTCGTCTCCGCTGCGTCTCGTCAAGGCACAGCTCTCATCTCCGCTTCCATCGCACCATACAAATATAAAACATCTCCGCTTAGCGATCTCCACTAGAGCTTAGCGGAGACGAGATGTATGAATAGCGAAATTCTATCGTTTGTTTAAAAAACATCTCCTCTGCATTCATCTCGTCTCCGCTTTGGTGGAGTGTGGGCCTAAAACATAACTCAGTACACAGTGCAAAGGTAAGGCGCTGGACACCTGCTAGAGACGGCGCGAAACTAACCATGAGTTTGTTCTATTATTTTTTATGAACTACCAATAATTTAGTAATAAATTAACTTTCAACATGCTTTCAACCTTCCGAAGCTTTTTATCAGAGCGCATTATCACACAAACTTCTGAGATTTGCTGAGTTGTGCAATCTGAGAAGTTGAGTCTCCTTTTTATATTAAGAAAATAGGTTTTTCATTAATTTTATATAAATATGTGTTAATTACAATATTTCTATTATATGTGTTATTATTAAGTTTTACCCTTACTTCAATATCAAACTTTAGGAAGCTCTTGCTTTTGTTGTTTCTTAAACCGTTAAAAAAATAACAAATATATTTTTATCGCATTTTAATACACCCTTGATGTCTAATCATTGCTTTTAATTCAATTTTAAAATATATCACAATCCTTTTCAAACGTACAGCAGTTGTGATAGTGATTTATGCAATTGTGTAACTTTTAAAGTTACAATTGCCTTTGAAACAAATGATTTGAACAATATAAATATCATAGACACTTCATTTTGTTTAACATTTTGCAATAGCTTTTAAAGATATTTATAACTATCACTTAGGGAGAGATTTAAATCACAAAAAAAAAACAAGTTGAATTACTTACATATTACATGTCTATATTTAAATTAAATACAATAATAATAAACAAAGTTTAGTATGATTAAATTTACATTAAAATTAATTTTAGTATTAGTCCAAAATCATATTATACAGGGAATAACTCTACTTTTACTACCTTCTAGGAGTAAATAGTACTCCCATAGAACCTCATACTAGGTTAACCTTTGCTAAGTCTCTCTTAATTAATATGGATTTTGACTAATACTAAGCATTGTCTCAGCGTTAATTTACTCCAATGCTAAACCTTGTTTATTAATAACACCTTAAAAGATCATTTTGAGCTAGTGTGACGATATCATAAATATCATTTCTTGTTTAACTTTAATAACACTATATCTGAACTTCTATAGTTGACATGTTGCTGCTCCTCTGGGATTTTCTCAACATGAAAATTGTCTATCAACAACATGTAAAATTTGTCCCAAATCTTTTTCTGCATTTCGGTATCTCTTAGTTCTTGAGTCAAATATATTGTTGGTTTCTTTGCTAAAGTATTTATTAAACAAAGTAATGTATATATAAGGGAATCAACAGCCTGTAAAAAGATAGTTTAACATTAAATCTAAAAAGATAAGTGTTACTTATATATTGATTTTATAACCTTTGCAAAGTTAGTTATCATTACCTCTTCATAATAAACACAATCTGCCATAACAATCATATTAAACTCCTCTTTAAGTATCTCAGATGAACTGTCTCCCCATACTAATGATTCAGCAACAGCATATCCTCCCATACTACAGATTTTTGATTTATTTTCATTTATGTTTAACCGTAGAAGTGGTAATGCTTCTGGTAAATCTGTTAGGGTAACTTGTGCACTAGAAAGTAGTACAATTTGAAAGCAAAGATTATGTATTATTTAACTGTAAGGTCCAACTATTTGAATGAACTTGGCGAGCTTTGATGTTGGTTTTACATGTGAATACAGCAAATCATGTGGATACTGATTAGTTTTGGAAGTTGCTAGATATCATAGCTTCACGGTTGTAGAAATGGACTTCAAAAAATAACACATGGTTCTATTAAGTATATATTTAAATCCAATTGAGAAAAAATAAGAGGTAACTTCTTATTTTTTAATTAAAATTATTTATAATTACCCTAATGTAGCTGCTGTAAGTCCGACGACACCTAGTCCAGAACCTAACTCTAATACTTTTAGACCACTCAGAAAATCTGGTTTATTTTGACACATAGTTTCAAGATATTTTGCTAAAACTAAAGATGCATCCCAAACAACACAATTTACATCTCCTTCTATTTTTTGGAATATTTTTAGTGTCTTTAAACATATTTCAATGTCAATTTCTCTAGGGAATAAATCATTTGCTTGGCAACTACTTCTTCTATGAGACATTTCAAGTGGTCATGTCTCCATAAGTTATTTATACTATATTTTAATACACAATGTGATAAGAACTCAATGGTCTCAATTAAAAATAGCGTTTTGATTGCAATTTTATTTATAATGTTATATTTAATTATCTAAAACATTTACGTTGTTAGATTTTTTTTTTTAATATTATATGGCAGCACGGCTTGTGCATTTTGTCTGTCAAGTAAAATAGGCTTGCGAAAAAGTATCGATATTTTGTATTCAATATATCGATATTTTTAACCGATATATATTGATCTGATGTATCGAAATATAGATACAAAATATCCAGTATGGAAAATTGTATCGAAAACGATATTTTTTTTTTAATTCATATGACACTGAAGTCGCTGAAACCCGAAACTGTAGAAGATAGGATCGAACGAAAAAAAAAACTATATTGTCTATGACATATTCTCGATATTTTTGTAATTTTGTCTCATAAAAAGGAAAACCGGTAAAACATTTTCTTGTTTATTGCGTTTTAATCGATTTTTTCCTTTGATATATCGATGCTAATATTGATATTTAATAAATATCGATACAAATATATATTGATTTTTTGTTCCTTTTCGACATCCCTAAAGTAAAAGTTAGAATTTTTGTAGATTCACGTCACGACAACGAAGGGATCCCAGATGAACAAACAGTTAGGATTGGACAAAAACAAATATTCATTCATACATTTGAAAAATATCGATATTTTTTCACATTTGCCCATCCCTACAAAGAGTAATGTATGTATTATAAAAAGGGACAGTATTAGTCGTCTGTATTAGAGTTTGGCAAGCGAAACGTGACACCACCTATTTTTCCGTTTTCATATGGCAACAACATAGAACTGTCAGTTTGACACTACGTTAGACAATTCAAGAATATTGAATTTTGTTGTTTTTGCGAATTTGAACTTGTGTTTTTGGTTAAAAATTATGTCGAAGCCGATAAAAAGTTCATCGAGGAAACTTCTTTCCATCATGATTGACAAGTTTACTGAAGTGAAAACTGAATTAAATAAAAATTTCATGGAGAAATTACAACGATTAGATAACGTTGTATCTTTTTTAGGTTAGTTTTGTATTATAATTTTGATACTTTCGTTTTAATTTTCTGTAATTAACTAAACAGATATTTTTTATAAAATATTGCTCTATTTCAGATAACTGTGATGGTGATATTCAACCAATAATGGAGGAGATAAATGCAATAAAAACTTTAGAAAAACAAGAAATGCTGAATTCGGAAACGCAGTACTTACAAAAAATTTCTTCAATGACAGGTCTCTTTTCTTGTTTTGATTTAAGATAGATTGATAGTATTCCTATAATATTTACATAGGTTTTTTATGATGTATTGGTTTTTATTGTTGACATCCAATGATGTCATAAGAATGTTTTGTTTAACAAGGAAATTCACAGAATTCATGAAACTAATCAAACCATGTAATTGTTATACATGCTAAATATGCACATAAACTTAACTAAATTAAACATAAATTGCATTCATAGTTGAATAGGTATTTAAATTATTTTGATGTATGTGTCTATCATTATTTGCTTTTAAATACATTTAACATATCTTTGTTTCAAAGTGTTTAATCTTTTATAGATGTAAGTATAAGGACACTAAGAAGGATAAAAAATGAAGCATTAATTAATAAAGGAAAATGGGACACTCCTGGGAAAAAACGACCTCATCAACCAACAGTGTCTGCTTTAGATAATTTTGATTTAAGTGCAATTCGGAATAAAGTAAATGAATTTTACTGTGTGAAAAAAATTGTTCCAACATTAAGAAGCCTTCACAATGAATTAAAAGATGCAATAGGATTCAGTGGTAGCCGTGAGACTTTACGAAAAATTATGCTTAAGAATGGATTTTCTTTTAAAAGCAATGAAAATGAACATTCTATGCTTATAGAAAAATACCAGATTTCTGCATGGAGGCACAAGTATTTGAGAGAAATAAATATAAAACGAAATGAAGGAAAGCAAATTGTGTACCTTGATGAAACTTATGTACATCAGAATTATAAAGTTAAAAAGTCTTGGCAAGGACCTTCAACAACTGGTGTCACTACAAAGATATCCTCTGGAAAACGGCATATTGTTGTGCATGCTGGATCTGAGGAAGGTTTTGTGCCTGGTGCATTATTAGTGTTCAGTAGTAAATCCAAATCTGCTGATTATCATGATGATATGAACTCATCGAACTTTATGAAATGGGTCAGAGAAAAATTAATACCAAATTTAAGTAAGCCCAGTGTAATTGTTATGGATAATGCCAGCTACCATATAAAACAAATCAATAAACCGCCTATAATGTCTAATACCAAAGCAGATATCCGTAAATGGCTTGTAAATAATGGAATACATTTTGAGGAATATCAGACAAAGGCAGAGTTAATGTGTTTGGTTAATGATAAGAAAACATTGCCTGTATATGAAGCTGAAGAGATTTTAAAAGAACATAATCATGAACTTTTATTGCTGCCACCGTATCGTTGTGACTTAAACCCAATAGAGATGGTTTGGAGTCAAGCAAAAAGAAAAATTGCAAGCAGAAACATTGGAATACCAGGAAAGGAAATGGAAAACTTAATAATAGAGTGTTTTAACTTAATTACCCCTAGTGACTGGAAGAAATACACTGATCATGTTTTAAATGTCGAAAATGATTACAAATTAAAAGATGGCATTGTTGAAAACGAACTTGAAAAATTTATTATATCTGTTGGTGCAGACAGTAGTGAAGAGAGTGACTCTGATGATTCCTTGTCATTGTTATCAGGTGAAGAATATTTAGAAACAGATTTTGACTATGAATCAGACTAAAGTATTTTTAGTCTGATTCATAGTCAAAATCTTATCTTAAATTTTCTATTGTGATTAACATGATGATTTTGTGACACCTGTATTATGTAATTTATCCATGGCACTTAATTGTAACAAAAATAAATGTTTTTTTTATTGTAATCTGGTGTTTATATTGACTAATTTAATTTGATAGATAGTGGTTCTGGATCAGAGCAAAAGGTTGTGATGAAAATCCCTTAGGAGACATGTATGTGTTATGAACACATTATAAATATAAGGGCCAGAAATCAAAATTGGCTAACATCACATTTATTAAAAAAATGTGGCCAGAGTCGCCCATATTCATTACAAAAAAACAAAGAAGTCGTTGCAAAAAACACCCTTTTAATTAATGACAAATATGAATTTTTAATATTATAAGTGCTGTTAGCCAATAGGTATAACGAATGGGTTAAAAAAAAGATTCGATTTAGTCCGTCAGTCAGATAATAGAAAAATATTGGATACGTATTTTTTTTCGCTTTAATTTAACAACAAATGGCTTAAGAGGTACTATGCGACGACTTCAAATATGCTTTGCAACAATGTTACTTTAATACAGTTTATCGATACGAAATCAAGTGTCAAAATGGAGTCCAGTGGAGAATGCCGATATTGACATTTCGAAATTGCTCATCATTGATAGAGAATACGAAATAGTGATTTTGACACAATCAAAGTGTCTATTTTTTACGGTGATGACGATTCTTGGTTGTCAGTTGAGTTAGTGAATAGGCCTACTGATATGCTGTTAACTGTACAATTAAGAACAGTCACGCTTTAGTCAAATGTTCCAAAACAAATAATTTTAATTGATATCTAAATGTTAAGATTAAATATAATTAATAAAAGTATCAAAATTATTTTGCAGTACTACATTCAGTGTTTACTGCTTAAGAATTTTTGAAATTGCCGCCCTTTTCTTGTGACACGTTTCGCTTGCCAGACTCTAGTAGTAAGTAGTAATAGTGTTATTTTTTTATCTTTTAACGGCACTGGGTTCTTGCCCTTTTAAGCCATCTTGTTCTTGTCTTGTTCAATAACATTCACAGTTTTAAAACGCAGTTTAAATCACCAAATTAGTAAGTTTGCATAATTTACGTATGTATGTAACAGTTTAAAGTATCTTGAATCACTGAGAAGCGTAATTACTTTACGTAATTTATTAACAAGAGGTTGGAAGAGGTTTATATACAGCTACAGAAGTTGTTAATTTGATACAAAAATTTTCAGCAATTTTTAATCTGTGCAACATCTTTCATTCTATGGCATTTCTTGGTGTTGAACACATTGCTCCAATAACAATTCTTAGTTCCTTATTTTGGATAACATAAGGTTGTGGCGACTGATACGCAGCGACGTCTAATTCATCGCACTATCATTGCCACAACAATCGATATTTTCGGGTTTCAGTTCAAGGCTATTTTTTGATAAAATTTGTATTATTTTAGATTTTATTGCTTCTCTGTTTTCTTGGTAATCTTCGTAAAAATCCAATAAATCCGTTTGAATGCTATTCTCAAATTAGAAATATTTAATCAATAATGGAATCATTTTCAAATTACCTTTATTTACCTTGCCTTATTTTACCTTACCTTATTTTTAAATTACTAAGTAGGTATTCTTGACTAGCCGGCCCTAAAAACATTTTCGGCAATACTGCTCGCTTTTGTTTTCACATCATACTTTTTTTGCATTCTTCTAATTAGAAAACGTGACAGCTTTTAATTTGTGTCCTCAGTCTTGACTGTTATAACTGTGATGATGTTTCATCATCATCATCAACCCCTTTTACGTCCCCACTGCAGGGGCTCAAGCCTTTCTTATGGATGGTTAAGGAGGATGGGCCAAGGACCTCCACGCTGGCCCAATGCGGATTGGAGGGTATTAACGACTGCAAATGCAGCCGGGACCAACGGCTTAACGTGCCTTCCGAAGCACGAAGTAGCTCGAGATAATAATTTTTATTGCACAAATACAGACAGGAAAACAGAACGAAATTACACGGTTAAACAATACAAAGTATACAAAAGGCGGCCTTATTGCTAAAAAGCAATCTCTTCCAGGCAATCTATGGAGGAGAATAATAAAAGGAAAGGGAAGTTATGGGGAATTGGGTGCAATGGTCAGAAGGATATGCTAAGAAAAGATATATCTTTACATATTAAATAATAAAGTATAAGTAAATATCATGAGCATAGAGAAAGAAAATATTATTCAACTCGATCGCCGAAAGAATTTAGTGAGCGAGTGTGCCTGACATCCTCCGGGAGAGAATTCCATAAACACACAGCATGTATAGAAAAGGAATAGGAGAAGAAATCGGAAGTATGACGCGGGATGTCCAAAGTGAGGGTCACACGCGCTATATCTATCATTAATATGATAGCTAATGAAATAGACATATTTGATTGTGCTCTGAGTGAGTTTACAAAAACTGCAATATTTTTTTGTACATATAAAATTAATTAAGAACAATATATATTATATAAAGCTTATTTTATATATAAAAAAGTAAGGTGTTCAGTTAAGATAAGAAAAATTGTTAAGGTTTACTAGATCGCATTGGCTATAAGCTGTAATGATCGATGTAAATGTTGTTGATAATAAATAAATAAATAAAATGTTACATTTTGCTATGAACTCGTCTTTTTTCGATAAACACGTATGTTCTTTAACCACAGGTAATTGAAAGAATATAAAAAAGGAAATTCTTAAAAGTTTGTATCGTCTTTAAAATTATCTTACAGTTGGGAACACTGCACGATCCTATAATATTGTATTAGTAATGCAATGATATATCGAAAAACTAATATATATTGATCTTCAATCAACAATATTGATATATAAATTCCTAAGAGTAAATCAGTTGCATTCCTAAGTGTTGTTTTAAATATATTTATTATATTTTAGAAGTAATAATTCTGTATAAAATTGAAGAATATTTACCACATGTCCGTCTGTAGAGGCCGGTCGTCCGTATGTTTCGCTAACCTGTCAGCCTCTTCGTTTTAATTTAATCCAGTGTGATTTAGTCACTGTCTTTGACTGAAGTCAAAGACATTTACAGCTATCATGACTTTCATGAAGCTTTGCAAAAATGTTATAAGCTATCGATACACCTCTGAAATCAGAGGCGCAATGAGCTATATGTTGCAAAGCACTGTATAACAATAGTTGTGGCGTAAATATCTCTCAAATTCGTTAATATCTTTCAAATGTCAAATCGAGAGGGATTGCGATAGATATTCAATAATACATTTAAGACACAGACTTTATTGAAGTAAACTGTCCAAGCTGCTATCCCTAAATTCACTGTTACCAATTTATTGGCAGTATTTTTTAAATAAATTTACGGTAAAATGAATTTCATTTACTTGTGGTTTGGATTTACTTATACATATACTTTGTGAACGATATGTCGATATCAACTGTAATCGGTATGGATCGAAGTCTTTGTACAGATATTTTAATGAAATAGTTTTTGTTGGATGAATTTATATTTTCGCTCATGGCAAGACTTTGGTCATATGACAGACGATCACATTATCGTTCTTTGGGTAGGTCATGTTATTGATTTCTGCAAAATGGCTGTGAAAATGGTTCTGTTTTGGATTATCGCCATTTTTTCAATATCTGGTAAGAATTACTTGTGGATTTGTTTCTGTAGAATTCGATCAACTTATAGTACCCCCGTTACTTTTGTATAAAATCTCTAATTTTAAGGTACTCATGCGTCAGGAGAGTTTACTATTCTTCACAGCCCTAAGTCTCTAAAATTTTCGGGATCTATGAAAACATTAGAAAGTCAACTTAAGGAAGTGTTTTCTGCATCTTTGGGGCTCTCAGTTGAAGAGGTACCATTTCATATTTTAATTTTATTCGCATTTCTATTGTGAACGATTTAAATAATAATTACCTAATTTAATTGACAGAATTCCGAATGGAATGGGCTTTCCATTAACGATCCATTCAGTACCCCAGAAGCCGTGGTAGAAGTTTATGTTGATGGTGTGTCTACTCTAGGAAACAGTGTAAGTTGGTTTGTGAATTATTATAGATTTAAATAACCTATTTGTTTTATGTCTTATTTGTATCTCATATTTTAGGGTTTGGGAAAATCAAAAGTTTATCCGCTTACTGTTGATGAATATGAACCAGATACATTTGAGGCTGTGGAGCACCGAATCAAGCAGCATTTCACTAACGGTGGTAACAAGTTGGTTAAAATTGATCTTTCTGACATTGACCAGGTTAGTATTACTATTATATAAACCCTATTATCTGATGAGTAATTTGGCAGAGATAGTTAAAGTTAATAATAATAAAATAATTATTAATCGGTATCATAAATATTTTTATCAGTGTCTAAAAATGCCCAGCTTCCAAATTGTAACTGATGACAGGGTATAGTCATACATTATTTAGATATTTATACTTGATTACTTGTAATTTTGTGTTTTCTTAGTTAATTTCCAGATCAGATGTGTTTGGTCCCATTACTCCACCAAAGGCGACAAAAAAAAGTACTTTACAGCATATAAAGTATTCCATTGAAGAAGACTTTCAGTTTCTCACAGAGCTTGAAGCTCTGAAGACTATTACTAATCAGGTATATTGTTTGTATATCTCAACATCTCTCATAACCACTTGCAATTTTCAAATAGAGTGATTGAAGAAGATTGTTTATTATGCATAATACAGAACCATCCTGGCTAAGCCGTGTGTGAAAAAGCTAGTACTTTATGATTAGTCTTTCAATTATCTATAATTATTATTAATACTGGTTTGACTGTCCCTGTACTGCCTTCATTTTAATCACCAGTTTATTGAAATCTATGAAAAATTGGCATACATAACTATGTGATTAATATTCTGTTAATTGATAAAAAAGAAAAAGATTTTTATCTAAAACTAATAAATATGTTATTAGCTTGAGATTGGTAATTGAATGATAATTATTGTCATTCAATATTTAATAAAAGAGTCATTCTATTCTATTCTATATTTGACAATGTTTTGTTCTCTTTTAAGGTGAAGGCGATCAAACCTGATGATATAATTGATTTTTACACATTCAGATTTAGGTCATTACATGCTCTTTCCGACTTTCATGGCCCAAACTCTCTGCAAGCTAAAGAAGCAAAAAAACTCTTGAGTGAGTATGTTAATTTAAATACCTTATTTCTACACATTGATTTCTCATGCTATTCTGCTCTATGAATATGTAAGATTGTTATTAAAAATTAAATAATTATCAACAGCATATCAATATACCCACTTCTGGGGCCTTTCCTATGTAGCAAATTTTGTTTATGTAGAATCATATAGGGAAAACATAATCATAATTACTATTTGGGACAAATGGGAATACTAACAACTGCAGAAGCAGTTGGTACCAACTGCTTTTTTGTACCTTATGAGGTACAGAGAGCACTTGAAAAACTTCTGGTCATATCATTAAAATAAGTTGAATAACTCTCCTATTTTTGTCAATGACAATGACAATGTGCTAACAATGGTTACAGTATAAATATTAATTTTCAGGCCTAGATCTTAATTTGAAAAATTATGTTTTCCCAAATAGTAATAATCAAATGTCTAACATTAATCTTCATCTTTGGTCTGTGACTCATTTGGAATGCATGAAAACTTTGCACAGACATCATGTATATTTATATGCAAGATAATTAAAGTAATAACAGTTAAGAAAGGTAATTTCATTTATAACAGTCAAGAAAGATTAAAGCATGAGAGAACTTTCGATAAGGCCGACTATGTAACGACAAATTATATTCAGCCTGAGAAATGGGAACAGAAATGGAAGTGCCAGCCTTTATATGTTTTTAGGTGAAGCCTTGTTAGAACTGAGCGATGCATTTGAGAAAGCTTATGATGGGTCTGTGCTTGTGACTGTGGTAAATACCGATGTAGCACATACGCGTCGTACCATACGTTCTGTTGAATCCGCCAGGCAACTTCGAAATGGGGTAAGTGGTGAACGAAATAATGTATGTTAGATTAATACAATAATAAAGGCAATTTATAAAAAGTAAATCAATAATAGTACTTACTTAATAATAATAATACTTTGTAGTAGTAGCACCACACTCAACAATAATGATTCCGATATGAATAAAATATACATGAATTGTATATAATTGTATGGATAACGATAAAAATACTGTCAAGTTTCTTCATTTGATTTTAAACATTAATGTTTTGAAGGTCAGGTTACCACATTATGTCAAATTCCAACTATTATAATTTGACATATTGTGGCGCAGCCATGTGTACATTTTATTCATAATATAGGAATTTATGCTTGTTGTAGTTATGTGACTGAGTATCATACCAATAATTTATAGTATTCTCTCATGATATATACTTTTTATATGTGCAATTGAATAAAATAAAAAAATCCTTTTTACAGACTATAGAGCACAAAGATGATAAATATTCCTCAGAATACTCAGCTATTTTCAATATTATTTTGTGGTTTGGAATAGTATTTTCGTTTACCCTGGTTGCTATTGTATATGCAATAATGGACATGGACCCTGGCAGGGATTCTATCATCTACAGGATGACTAGCACCAGAATGAAGAAAGATAATTAAATATAAGTGCTTTAACATAGTGATCACTCTCACTTTTCAACATTACATCTGTTGTCATGGTTACTATCTTCATCTAAATATTGTTAAGCCCTGTATCGACTAGAGGCCAGTTAAGTAGTCAAAACCGCTTCACTGTAGAAATTTGCCTTGGTTTGTTGCATATCCGATGGAAGATGTGTCAAGCATTTCTTGGAACTATGTGTTAGTCCGCGACGGATAGTCGAGTATACATGGTTAAATGTCATTCCATATATTTGTCAACCGGTAATTGCGCGACTATCTTCCGTTGAGATATGCACGTCGCAGTTTCACAGTAAATGTATATATAGGATTCAATTTACTGCTTTTCATATTGACTGCTCGGCAAGCCTAGTCGGCGCCAGGCATATTAGATCAGCCTTTTTACATCTACAATCCCAAACAATATTTGATCAGGTAATTTAAACGTTTTATAGTTTTAGTTGATTGAAATGTGATTTGAATTTGTAAAACACATTACATGTTAAGTATTAGATACATTTATTTAAGTGTTTGAGTACAATACCTTCTTCTGTAAAATATATGATTATGGTATTTATATTTAGCAAGATATCAAAACTAATTTATTTCGTTAATCTATAAATATGTTTTAGAAAAAAAAACTTCGATGTTAACTCAATATATCACTAAAAATAGAATGTTTGAAAATAAATTTTGAACACATTCCTACCGATTAATTTGTTTTATTTTTCATTTACGTTTATAATACATAATTGATCTGGGTTAGTTATCTTAAATGAGCCTTATAGTCCAAGAGGCGCGACAAAATGTGCAGGAACTTTCGAAAGCTTATTTCAGTATGTTGACTCAGAAACGGCCAACTAAATAACTGCTTGGTAACTAAACTGTTCTGATTGCAGAATGGTGAAATGCGGTGACTCGGCAGATCTTAGAAATTTGTGTGAAAATGAGCTTCGAAAAATTATTTCACAATGGTTGAGAGTTAATTTATTACTAAATTATTAGTAGTCATAAAACCACTCGCTACAAGTTTGTTTCGCGTCGCCGCCACCAGATGTTCCAGCGCCTGAAACCGTATTGGGTACTGAGTGATGTATATCTTAGGTACTTCAATAAATAAGAATCGTCGTTTGTTATAAGTTAAAAACAAAACGAGAAGGGTAAATAAGACAGACAATATAATTAAATAATTTAAGGGTCGGTGCAAATGTTAGTAATATCAGTAGAGCGTATAATGAAAATATGTTTTAGGTACCTACCTACGCGACGGAACATCCGTCGAGTGTGCAAGCAAAAGTATGTGCAAGGTTGAACGTTATTTTGATGGTTTACATTTTGTGTTCACATTATAACAATATTCTAACCTCATTATTAAAGGTAAAATACTTTTTAACACATTTGCTCGTAAAGCTGATGTAATTCCACCGGTTTTAAATATAGTAAAGCGGGTCATAAAGAACGCGTGTGTTACCAAAGCAAATAGTTAAGTTATAGTCCATACAAATTCCATAACAGTATTATTTGCCATTTCGCGCGCTGTTGCTATTCAAATTTCGAACTAATCGCCGCGCGGCGCCAGTCAGTAGGCAGCGCTAGCGCACTGTTAAAATGGCGGGAAAGCAACAGTGTACATTCACAGATTGAGTTTATTTAATGTTTTTTTTTTTCTGTTTCCTCGCAAATGTGTTAAAAAACGTGCGATATACGTGCGTATTGGTTATAACATGCTCGGCTCGGACTGAAATTCCGCCTCGCATGTTATAACCATCATAACACACTAATATCGTAATGTACTATTGTGTTTGTTGGGATCATTTATGTAATTTAATTTACTCCACTTCATGGTGGAGTAAATTACATATTATAATCATCACCCTAAGAGTGTGAATACGGGTAGGTTGTCAAAAAACTCTCTGATTTATGAACTCATGCTAAAATGATTGTCCCAGACATAAAAAATACAGAGATAGTGAACGTCAAGGTAACAGGCACACCAATGTGTTTGAGGGTCTTGTGTATGTATAATAGATTGTGAATAAATTGTGACAATTAGTGGTACATAGCATACCATTAGTGACACTGTAAATTAAGAGATTGGATGATCTTAGTGTGCCTTCTAATTAGACATCTAGTAACAGGCACACTAGAAATACAATTCGTATTAGTTTGAATTAAATGTCAAAAAAATGTGACTAATTAGTGACTTTTATACCACGAATTCACTCACTTCAATAGAATTCAAGATATTTGTGTTTATTAATGAGACTGCAAAATTCATATTATTAAATAGAGACTTAGCAAAGGTTAACCTAGTACGAGGTTCTACGGGAATAATATTTATTGGTCACATTCATTTCCGTGTAGTGACGGCGTGACTGGTGAGTTTTCAGTGTTTTCATATGGAGTGTATAATGAATTAAACAGACTTGATTGATTTTTTTTAATAAATAGGTATATTACATGGCTTGCAAGTATGTGTAGGTATACATATTGCCTGAAAATGGAAGTACAACTAGTCACTCACGGGGATTCAGTGTCCTTAAATCAGAATCGTTGTCAATATGTATCAATGGAGCTCCATCTTAATTTGCGTAGAAATATTTTCCCATAAGATGTCCAATAGTAGTTAAAGCTCTACTGGGACGCGAGTTAACTAGCTAAAAAGAACAGCGGTAGTCGGCCAGTTGTTGGACAAGTGTTCAGTACTAAGCTTTTATCCTTATTTTCTCTGTTGTACTTTTTCAATGCTTTGAGAATATTCTCCTTTTGTATGACTTTGGTAGTGTTGAATTAGCGCAAACAGTTTAGTGACGTCACGCCCTTCTTACTCATATCTTAGAGAATTCGTTTCAGAGGGCCGTAATAATGAGCGACGTCATGAAAGAAGTGGCGTTGTCCTAGGAGCTTTTCAAAATTAAATTCACTTTTAGATTCTAACTTATCACATTAATTTTACTTATTTTGAATATATTTTATAAGATATAAAAAAAAATAAGAGAGATTGATATAAATAAAAAAAAAAACAGTGCAATAGTCAGTTAAATTCATTTAATCAATTAGGCACTTTTTATTTTTACTATATTATAAATTAATAAACTAAACTATAATACAAAAATAATATTTCCAATATAAGTAACAAATCATTTTTCATATGATTTATGTAATTATGTTAGTATGCTTACTGTATGCTTAAATTAAGTTATATATATATTTATTAAAACCTCTTATAATACATATTATTATTATTGTAAATTTTTATAAACTCATTTGATTTAAGCACCATAATATAGTAAATTATATTAAAGCAACATTATTGATTCAAAGGTAGTGATAGAAAAATAACTAATGGACACTACTAAAGGAGCATAGGCATTACTGAGATTTGCCAAGAACATAGTTCTGTTTATTTTAAATATCAACCATATCCTATTCACATAAGGTTCAAAATATGTAATAACTCGCAAAAGTCTGAAACATTGTGGCTATTAATTGTTTCACAAACGACGAACGAAAAAATATCCGATCTATATTAATGTCAACGTAAAATTGTAAATATGAGTTATTATCATTAAACCTAAACTAAAATCTTTTCTTACAAAGCATTGTAATCTTATATGCAGTTTCCAATCGTTTTTAAATAAAGAAATAAATTTTATAGTGAACCAATTCTTTTAGAAAAAATATACTCACCTTCAATAATTCCTTATGAATTGCATAATTAACAAATGATTATAACTTAATAAGGCTTTCACGACGTCCGGACTTTCATAAAGATGGCATGTATTTACATCTAGTACTACACTATCTTGATAAACTTAAGTTAGTATTTTTTTACTCAAATTACAGTTATATGTTAATTATTCGAGCCAAAACGCAGATATTTTTTACTGGCAACAGAGTATAAACTATACAGCCTTGTTACATAACGTCTCATTATAATAAAGTATATATTTAATAATATTAATGTTGTTAAAGAGTTAGTAAACAATGTAAAATTAAATTACATTGGTGGTTAAATTACAATAGCTTCATTTGTTGAAACAACAATAGTAACATGTATTAGTTCCGGCGCACTGTATAGTGATGCGCACGTCGTAAACGTTTACGTAGTTCCACTGGGAACTTCTCGTAGCAACGGCGACAAGCGGGACGTTCGTCATACTCGTAGAACTTGCTACGAGTACTTAGAGGTGCGTCGCATACAGAACAAGCGAAGTGGTGTACGCACCATGCTTTATTCAACGCCGTGAACACTACAATGAAATAATGTTACGAATTGTTAAAAACCGGCAAGTGCAAGTCTGACTCGCGCACGAAAGGTTCTGTACTACGAGTATTAAATACACTAGTCAACTAACCAATGTGATTTTTATGCTCTTAAATATTAATTTTATTGTTTTTTTTATATTTGTTGTTATAGCGGGAACAGCCCCTTACTCTCGAACGCAATCAACATTGCAATTGTGCCGCTTCGTACTCTTGATTGGTTCTCTACTGTAATGTTTCGCTAGTGTATCTAATCGAGAGTAATTGCAATTGCAATGTTGATCGGTCGCGATAGCGTTCGTGAGTAAGAGGGCATAAATATATAACATGTGAAAATTTTAACTGTCTGACTAACACGGTTTATGAGATATAGTCAGGTGATGGACGGACAGCAAAGTATTGGTAATAGTAGTTTGGGTTCTATACTTTGGCTGCGGAAATTTAAAGATCAATTTTTTTTTTCTTTTCATTCTGAAATACGTAACCGTTAAGAATAAGCTTTAATTTGTTCCAGAATAAAAGCTTTCAAAGCTAGAATTTACATGCGGCGAATTTTAGCTTTGTTGTTGTTGACATTGTTGTTGAACTGACTGGAATGATACTAAAATGTTCAGAATTAGTTATGGTAGCTACTTCTATATGAGCTACCTTTGAGCTTGTGATATAAATAGTATAGATAACATACCATCGCCTGCAATAACTTGGTTGCACACGTAGCACAAATTGCCGAATAACTGATGGTAATGCTGTTCGCAATACGCTAAGCCTTTCTTTTCGTAGTGACGGTGTCCATGGAATGGCTTCTCACACTTGGCGCAAACAAAATGCTGTAATATGTGAATATTATAGACAGTTAATCAACTAGTGATTTCCCTGAATCGCGTTTATAACTTATATACATAAGTTTAATTAAAAACTGCATGCAAAACGGTTCATAAGACCGCTATTTTTGCTAAAAATCGAAGTGATTGCTTGGTCGACTGTCCAAATTGAATTATTTTTTGTAAAGACAAGAACCACTAAGAATTTAATCATTCAAATATTGTTTTGTCACCATCGTCCTCAGCATATTATCGTTCCCACTACATAGAGAATAAGCCATCCCTACGGATGATAATTGTATCGAACAGGTATAATGTGTAGTGCACATCCACGGATAACTTCCAATAGATACCGCATGATGGCTATTTTGTTAATTAAACAAATATGCCAATCTTGGCGGTGGGGTAGGTGGGGTAGGTGGAGGGCGAGGTAATTGCGCCGACGCTATTGACTAGTGCAAGGAAAGGGCACGTATTTCGTAGTAACGGGAACCATAATGTTTATTAACTCACAATTAATTCACAAACAATTAATTCTCATTTAATTCTCACTATAATATGGACGAGGCATCCAACGGTAAAGTTTCAGTGAAAGCGTCTGCATAAAATCGTAACTTTCAACCAGTCGATGAAAATAACTTTCAAAAATCGATTTTGTACAAATAAAAACGTTTATATAAGTTGTAATTAAGAATGGGAAAACATAATCATATTAAAAAAAAATCAACAAAATATAATTTTTGCATTTCTTGTAGCACTGGTTTGCCTGTTGTACTTTGTACTTTAAAGCTATGATAAAAATGAGTATTACGCCACCACACTCATATAAAAATATTAAGTTAAATCTTCAAAAAGGGGTTACTTTAAACAAAAAAATGCAAAAGTTGCAAACGTTAGACTTTTAAATAACGCACAAGTATTTAAGTAGGATGAAAAGTATTAATGAAATTTAAAACTACATATGTTCTGAAATTTCTTAAACTAGTTAGGTAACGTTGGTACATGACAAATATTGTTTATTAACCTCGGAGTTATTTTTGTGTACTAATTTGCGCACTGAGTAAAATTTTTTCCTGTAATAGTAACAATATCAATCGTAACAAAGAATATACGTAAGTATGGATATATCGATATCGATCATACCTAGAAAAGGCATGCAGTATCGTTACTAGTGTAACACGTGTCTGTCAAAATGAAATAAATATAATAATTTACTAATGATAGAAAGAAATGGATTTCAAGACGACATCAACGCGTGCTGCATTTTTATAAAGTTACTTTAATTGTCCACCATAACTTGAACTCCGCGAGATAAAAATATAAATAAAATTAATATTACTGGTGAAAGTTATACGAGGGTCAAACTGAAAGTTCTTAGAACTGGCCACTTATAAACAATATAATAAAAAAATAATTCTAAAATTTGAAAATATAACTCTTTGCCAATATTACTGAGTATATATTTCATTCATTTGTCATTTGTTTTACGATTTGGCGGCAAATTGAAAATTGTCTGTGTCACGTCATCATGAATTTAACACGAGAAAATTTTCGTGCAATGATTTTTTATGACTTTCGATGTCATTTAAGTCAACAAGAAAGTTATGATACACTACGATTGGCCTTTCACGATGAAGCCCCATCTCGTGCGACTGTTTACAACTGGTTTAATGAGTTTAAACGTGGTCGCACTAATCTCACTGATGATTTACGTGAGGGACGGCCTTCTACGGCGACGACTGAAGATAACATCTGTGTTGTGCGGCGTATGATAGAGACTGACAAAAGAGTGACCTATCAACAGATTCGGACAAGCTTAGGCATCGGTATGAGTCAAGTGCACAAATCCTCCACGAACATTTAGCGGTCAGGAAGCTTTGCGCCCGGTGGATACCTCATAATTTGACTGAGGCTCAAAAACTCCATCGTGTGGATTGGTGTCGTAAAATGATTGAAAGATTTAACGGAGGTGACTCAAATGCTGTGTTCGACATACTAACAGGTGACGAAAGCTGGATTTACTGTTATGATCCTAAAACCAAAAGACAATCTGCTCAGTGGTGTTTCCTTTCGAGAGTTGCCACTAAAGTGAAGAGAGATCGAAGTGCGGGAAAAAAAATGGTGGCCTCGTTCTTTGGAAGGATAGGTCATTTTGCAACAATTGTGTTAGAGGATCAAAAAACAGTTTCTGCAGAATGGTACACTCCAATTGTTTGCACTTGTCTTGGAAAAAGTTCGAGAGAAACGACCTCGCAGTAGGATCCTCCTTCACCACGACAACGCCTCGTCGCACACCGCCAAGCGAACGATCGACTATTTGGCGACATCAAACGTTGAATTACTGGGTCACCCGCCGTATAGCCCCGACCTCGCGCCTTGTGATTTTTATTTATTTCCAAAAATTAAAGAAAAACTTAAAGGAAAGCGGTTTATGAATGCTGAAGAAGCGGTGGCTGCGTATCGCGATGCCATTGAAGAGACCCCTAAGGACGAGTGGGCAAAGTGCTTTTCCCAGTGGTTCCATCGCATGCAGCGGTGTATTGACGTGAATGGACAATATTTTGAAAAGATATAATAAAACTAATAACTGGCTAATGTAATCAGTTTTTGATTTTCTAAGAACTTTCAGTTTGACCTCGTACCATATTTCTTGAAATTATGTGTTCTAGAATTCTACATGACTTGACACTACAATTTGCCATGGTTAATATAATAACTACTTTATTACTAAGAAAAGTCTTCTCATCAAAGCATACCTATATTCACAGATCGAACACTTGGTCGTAACTGAGGATTATTACTAATTTTGTTACAACGATCTATGCAGAATCATAGATGCTTGGCTATAGCTTACTGTCTTTATGCGGCATCTATTGGAGGTTATCTGTGTGCACATAAGGCGGGTCCAGAGCGGCTCGGAGGGTAGGACTGTCATGCAGCCATATTATGAGTAGTCCTTATTAATACTAGTATTATAAGGAAGATTTCATTGTATTTTGCACCTAATGTACTTTGAAATTACTGGAAAATTTTGAAAATTCATTCACCTATGGGAAGATTTATCAGAGGCGGGTGACATAGGCTAAGCCAGTTTATATTAATCATATATGTATTATGGATATTAATTATTGAAATATAACCAACAGCTATCGATTGAAATGTTTTTAAAATCATTATCAATTACTTACTGTTAAGTGAAGAAGGATGGATGTCAAAAGTGTCTTTATATCATGAACAATGCATTTTATTACTTCGTCTAATGCCGTCAATAATTTAACCGCTTTTATCTAAAATACCGGTTTTAACTCAACCATAATATCTGGTATTATTATTCTAAATTTGACATTTGCATGTGTCTATTTAGTCTCTGACATAAAAAACAGACATTATAATAAAAAGGTAAATAAACAATTTATCTTACTTCAACATGCCAGTGTTTGCCCAGAGCAGTCACAATCCTCTCTTCGATAGGTCGACGACAAGCACCACAGATGGGAATACCCATTTTATCGTGACATCTCAAGCAGAAAAGATTGTTCTGAAAATAATCCAAAATTATTATTATTCATAATTATTATTATTCATAATCATAATTATTCACAAAATTATTATTCAATAAAATATTTGCTAATGTATTTTATATTTCACTATTTATTTTATATATTTTCTATCTATAAAATATATATATTAGGATGGTTTTATCTGATTTTCATCGATATTTAAGCCCAATTAGTTGCAGTACCGTGTTTGCGCTCACCCTTGGTAGCAGCTGAAAATCAGCGATTTGCTCGCGTATGCGCGTGAATAATTGACGCTGAGCTGGGACCATTTTTTACTGCTGTGACGCACACACACATTTTGTTTTCGAATGTTCATTTGTCTAACCTTACATACTTATTAATTATTTTTCAGTTGAATGAAATGTAATGTGTGTGTGTGTATCTAAATTAGTTTTCTGATACATTATTTAAAATATTTTAAATTACATAAAATACGGCTATATAAGAAACATGACAAATCGCTACCTGTATTTTAATATTTATCATAAAAAATCTTTAGTAAATCCACCAGTTCAAGTTGCCCCACATAGGATTTCAGGTGCCCACTTTCCCCAATTCAAGAGGCTGATCTAATCACTACAATTCTATATTTGTGCAATTTTTAAGTTCGAGAATAAAAGGTTTTATTATTATTGATTTGTATTACTGCTTATAAGTAATATTTGTTAATTATTGTATTCGTCTTGCAGATATGTAGAGTTTTTCATAAACAAATTGTTTTGATACTTACCACGTCATTTGCAGCGTAACCAGGACGATTTTTAACTTCGCGTGCAGTGTGATCTAGCTCGACGCCACATGTGGCGCACGTGAAATGGTATCCGTGATACACTTCACCACGGTATCGGAGCGGTTCACCATCAATCACACCACTGATACAAACGATATAACGTTGAATAAGGAGAGATTGGATTTAAATTTAGTTCTTAATAATATAACATAAGAGAGAAGTATTATGGATACTAACTGGCATTTATGGCACATGTAGTTTTGTAGTCCATCAGCTTTAATTCTTGCATTACAACCATGACAGAGTGCACGACCAGCATGCTTAATAAAGCCTGCGTCTGCAAGCTCTATGTTGCACTCCTCACAACGGAAACAAGCAGGGTGCCAATTGGCATTCATTGCTTTTATAACACGGCCAATTATAAATTCATCTGGAAGTTTTATAAAAAAAAAGGTAGTCAAGAGAATTCATCTTAATGGATAGTTTCAGTATAAATTTAAAAAAAGATGAAGTTTCTATGTATTCATTTGATGAACTGAACTTTTATTTGAAAAATCCTTTATATCTTAAAGCAAAGTGAAATCATCATAATAACAATATTTCTATAGGGAAATGGCTTATTTTTACTCTGCCCATGGTTCCATTGTTAATTGCATAGATCCATTAAAAAGAAATTATCTGGTTTCTAATAATAGGTAATAAAGAATTTCATTTACTTACTACATTTCCCACAGCATGGTGCAAAAAGGACTTGAAAATCTCTTTCACAATATTTCCGGCCCTCAAACTCATAAAAAATTCCTTCAGGAAATACTCGAAAGCACTGTGCACATCTGTAAAAAAAATAATCAAAACTATTGTTGTAATAATAATAATGCCTTTATTACGGATTTGTAGTTTCTAATTTACAATTTTCACAGAAAATAGCACATCATTCATCAGTGTGTCTTGCTGACACATAGACTTCCTCTAACTTTTTCCATTCTTCTTTGTTTCTGGCTGATCTTATCCATAGAGTCCTCACTGTTCAATGTAAGTCACCAGCCCATCTCTTGAGCTGTCTACCTCTTTTTCTTTTCGTGTTATAAAGCAGTATTTATTTGTTTTGGAGTTTCATAACATATAGATAAAAACTATATATAAAGAAATATAACTTACACAAAGCAATTTGTATGCCACAGTTCTCCGTTTGAATTAACAATCTTTTCATTTGCTTCAAATCCATCACCGCAACGGGTGCAAAACATGTTATCCAAAGACATAGTTGCAATGCTGAAATATAATCAATATTAATCCAAAGTTTATGATGATTGAGGTAAATAATATATCAACATGACACTATTTAACTGTCCAACAACTATTTGCTATGTTCTTCATGTAGTTCACTATTGAAGATTATGTTGGATTGGACTTCTAGTATTTTTGTTTGACTTATGTGCTGTTACAATACATTGGATTATAGTGTAAGTAACCCCAAGGTCAGAGGGCAGGAACTCATGTTTTATTAATAATGAAATGCATCAATACATTTTAATATTCCATTTTATCGAATAAATGTAGATTCCTAACTTAAAACAAGTTTCCAGTAAAGTTTAAAGCCATAAACAAAAGATTAATATAAGTTATTGGTTCATGGAGTTGATGCAGATAAATAATTTTGGCCAATTTTGATGTTAAGCCAGCAAAGTATGCAAATTAAGAAAGCTAACCAATATGTGTACCAAATCCTTCATACACAAAAAATAAAACACAATTTTAAATAATATTAAATAGTTTCAATTATAATAAATCATATAAAATGTTTTATACTGCGTATTAACCACACAATATCTCTTAGAAGTGGCATATGTGTCACCGGGGCAAAATTCATATCTTAATAGGTGTAGTAAATGGTTAACAATCTATATTTGATTATTGAATGTTGCTGTGTATATAAATTAGAGGTCAAATACTAGAAAGAATATTAGGAAATGAACATCATTATTTTCCAATATTTATTCCAGAATGTATATTTAAAATATATTTTTCTTGTATTACACTGATTGAGCATAAGATGTATGTGAGCTGAAAATTAGTAATGGATTTTTAATACAAAATAAATTGGGCTTGTTGTGATAGCTAGGACACTGTGTAGGTGCTTGTCAATATGATTAACTACATGGTGAATAAGCCTGTAAGGTTAGTCACTCCCTTCTTTATATAAATATTGCTTACCCTGGCATTTTTACTTCTAGTTTTTGTAACTTAATAAAATCCCGAAAATAAGGTCTGTCAAAAAAGAATTTCACAAAGTTATAGTAAAATGTAAAGAAATCTATAGTAACTTTACTGTAATAGGCATATATTCTACTCTACAAAACTCATCGACCCACCCACTGACACCAGTGCTGTAATGATGTAATGTAGGTACGTTTTAAAAATAGAAATCTGGTTTATTAAAAGTACTTACTGCGAATTATAAGATTTAACTCTATAAAAGTGTGTTGTAAATTAGCTTATTCTTTAAATAAATTTATACCACTTACGCAAAAATTTTAAATATATACACAGTTAATTAAATATATAAAGGAAACAAAATAATCAACGGACATTTGTACTGTTCCTCAGTTTATGTCATATTTATGGTGTATGGTGTTACACAAAATTGTCAAATGCACGTCACGTCAATAGCCTTTTAAAATCGATTTGGTAAATCGATATATTATAAAATCGATCTATTTTCCTAATGTCTTACAAATCCCTATATAAATTATTGGGGTAATATCGAATTATTACACGAATAAAATTATCAACTGATAATACTGGGAGCCCCAAAATGATCGACAAAGCCTAAAGTTACAAGTTAGGTAAAATGCAAATATTCATTTTATTTGACAACTATTTCAAAATAGTTAAGGTGTAAAAATGGAATTAAAATATTGAATTTCTAAGTGTTGACAGCTCTATAACGGAATGCGCTATATCGATTGTGTATAGATTACAACGGACCACGAAATACATTAAATTAATTTAATCATGTAACGATATCTTATGATAAGTTGATGCTGAAAATGTCCACTTCCTCTCTGCAGACTGAGCTAAGAACGCTCTTTTGCCGGTGCATGCACGTGCAAATCACATTACATTACACTCAAAACTAAACACAGTCTTCACTAAACTAAACTAAACTTTAATATGCAAGACGAATACTGTACTATCTTATTAACAAAAAAAAGATTAAAAATGCACTAAAACAAAACAAAAATTAACAAAAAGGCGCGGTGCGTCGGTGGCGATGCGGCAACGTAACTCCGGCGCAAACAGTCGATGGCGACTGAGCAAGTGGAACCATCGTTTTTGATGGCCAGAACAATGAAGCCGCCTAGCGAGAACTGAGCTCTGATAAGCTGTGATATCCAGGTACGAACTTGGGTCACCTTTTTTAATTCGTCTTTTGATATCACGCATTTTTTAAATATTTTTTTTTAATACAATTTTAATAACAAATTCCTCAATATTTTTAAAACAATGCATTTGTGTCAATGATGAACCGCTGGAAGATTTGTTAGTTTATCGAGTTTAACTAACGATCCCGTTGTTTAAGGAGTATTTTAATTTATTAATGATTCCGATTTTAGTTTCTTAATGATCAGTTGATAGCAGTTTGATTAAACTAGGACTTTTTGACTTGTGAAACATAAAAAACTTAAGTTGAAAATAATCAGTTGAGTTTTTTTTACTTTTATTTATTTATTTATGATACAAACAGTAATTTCAAGTTTATTACAATATGTACTTAAATACAATACACTTTTATATAAATATATTATTAAAGAGTCTGCTGTGCAAACGTAAACAGTAAAGTTTGTCCGACGAAAGAACTCCCGCAGCATAACACTTATTCCTTTCCAATAAAAGCGAGCATATATTAGCAAGCCCCTTCGTCACACAAGCTCACGTTGCAGAACAATATCAGATTACATTTTGATTAACTCAGTGTGGTAAACTATCTAGTACATGCTTTTTAAAATTTGATAATGTATGTTTAAATGGATCTACGTTGGAAATTTCTTTGTTAGAAAGTGTCAAGCTACGGTGAAGGAAACAATTAGTTGTGTATTTTTTTTTTGAGTTGAGGAAGCACAAACATGGCATCCAGGACGAGAAAGGCGAAATGGTCTACGATTGGCAGCGTTGAAAGGCAAAGATGATAGTAAGGCAGAGCAGTCAATTTTATTATTAATTATTTTAGAAAGAATCGCCATATCCGCCAACTTACGGTGTATTTTCTATTATCGGAAACCGGCTTTGAGTTTGTTAATTGATTAAAGCATTTTGACTGTTTCGTTTAGTGATTGGTAGAATTTGTAAGTAAGCCGTCTATCTAGTATCAATCACAAAGTAGTTTATTTAGTTTTTAGAAAATTAAGAGTCAATGACCTGTTAAAAACTTGTTCCTTAGTACGCCCCAAAACAGCTGATTAAAGGTTGAAAACACTCATTTATTTACAAAATCTTTTTTTTTATTATTATATTTTTTATTCTTAAATTTTAAGAGGGTTTTTCCTTGCGAAAATGCAGTGGCGTAGCTAGGTAATCTAGGGCCTGGGACAAATTAAAAAATGGGGCCCAGTGCTATCAAAACTGGTAAGGTTTTTTGAAGTAAAATCATTAAATATACAAAACTTTAAAAATGCTGAACAACTTTATCATCAGCTCTTTTTCGTGCATAGGCAGGTAATAAACTATTAAACACTAACAACATAAATTACAATTATTTTTATACTTGGTGTAGGAATTGGGCAATAAAACGTAATAGAAAAGATTCAAGGGTTTATTATAAATTTATTTAATCATAGATACGTTGCACCAGTTTACTGTTTATTAACCTATCGCCATGCAAGCTATTTACAAAAATTATCAATAGAAATATTTGATCCAAGTACTTGCAGAAGGCTGACTAAAAAACTTGTCAATTTTGGGCAATTTTTGTTACTTTCTCCTCTTTCTTGGCGTTGTTTGCGTTTAAATGCACCACCGGGTTTCTTTTTTTTGTCCATAATATTAGTTTTCTAATTTATTTATGCAATATTTATATAAGATTGTACTCAAGAAGATACTCACTGTTCACTGACATCGTTACAAGTAAAAGGAAAGCGAAACGTGAATGAATGAAAATGATACGATACAAGGCGTCGTTGGGGAATCCCGGCAAACACTTTATCGCCGTACATTTGACGGTTTGACGGACTACAATCAAAAAAAATTGAACTTTTGTTTGGACCAGTACAAAAAATTTATTGACATACGATTACTTACTCTGATACAATAACTTTTTAACCATTCTCGAAAAAAATCTTGACTCGAAGTTCACAATCGCGAATCACAAAAACGCATATCGATAAATAATAATATACAGATATTGATTTCCAATAAATTGATGAAAACATTAATAACACTGTCAACCCACACAATAATTTACGGGAATTCCCTTTTTACCTGACTGCGCGACGCAAAGGAGGGTACCTAATTATAACTTTGGAATTACTCACAACTGAGTTTCCATGATTAAACTCGAGTTGTCACCTGTCATTTTTATTTTGAAGATGGAGAGAAATTTTCAAAAGTTGAGTTCGATTGAGATTTTCTGGTAAAGATTCGAGGGCCCCTGAGCTTGAGGGCCCCGGGGCACTGCCCCGCCTAGCCCCTTAGTAGCTACGCCACTGCGGAAATGCCACCCCGACGGTACTACACATTCCTATAGGCTTATTCTACGTTTAAAACCTGTTTCAACCATTCTGTAAAACATTCTGGCAGCAATCGATGAAGCTTCAGCTAAGATGCTGTTACAGAGTCCCTGTTCACAATTAAATCGTACATACTGTAGGAGCTATGTCCTCTCAGACTCGTTTCTAATACATTCCATCATTATATGGTATGCATCATCTATAACACCGCATTCATCACAATTTGGTGAGTTAATTTTTTTCATTAGATACCCGAAATTGTTTAGTGGAATATGTCCGGAGTGCAGTCTAGGGGCGGTAACTATGTTTTCCCTAGTCATTTCAGCACTGTGGAACACTTATCAAACTAGGTTGTAATATTTTGTACAATATTCCTTTAGTAAGTGATCTTTCATTTAAATATTCATTCCAATTTTCTTTGCATTGGTTTTTAACAATACTAAATAAATCAGAAAAATATGCTAAAATAATATGAATAATGCCGTTTTCCGTAGCTTCCGCTGCTATTGAATCTATACTTTCGTTACCAAAAATGCCGACATGCCGACTGCAACGTTACAGTTTTATTCTCCTGTGAAAGATCAAAAACAGATTGCAAAATCGATTAGGTAATTGGGATTCCTCAAAAATTCTTGGAGCAATGATCCAAATGTCGTACTGCACTTTTAGAGTCCGTAAAGATTACAGTAATTATAATTATTTGAGCCATTATAAGATAATGCTTCAGAATACAAAATCTTTGTTATTCAATAACTCCCAAACTATTATACCTAGACATATATATTTTTTTACATCGTATAATAGACAAAAAGTACTCTTCAGGAACCTTGGTAGTGTCGGTCGGTTAGTTTCACCCAGTATATTTATGTTATAATTGCCGTTATTTTATACGTTAATGAGTAAAATTATAGATAAAATATTTATAGGTAATAATCACGAATGTCAAGTTAAACTGGATTGCGTACTGACATATTTCTTAAAATCAAACTTACACTTTATCAATTATAAAATAAGGCTTATTTTTCTATGTCACATTTCAGAGTAGAAAAACGGTCTACTAGAGATATTAGATTTGTAGTAGTAGGTCCTTGTCTAACAAGTTGCCATTGGAAAATTAAATAATCATTATTGGCAATTAGGAGATTTTATGGTTTTTTTAAAGACATCACTAGGTAATTTTAATTATTATCTAATAGTAAATATATTGAATAGACATAGTTGATATGTTTTTTAAGTAAAAATGTGAATTAATTAAAATAATAATGTAAACCGATGTCGTGTTAGTAGTTTTTCGTTACATTTAAGTGGCAATATTATAAATTAATATGGCCGCTCGATGTGACAACATAAACAATGTTTGATGTTTATTTGTGTTTTGACTTACTAATTCGATTATTTACATCAAAATGGTATATTGTTTTGCTTGGCTGATTGCGAAAATGAATGGTATCACGGATGTGACTTCACATTCCACAGGTAAGCTGTTTTCCTTATTTATTAAACAGTGATGAAATAGGGTGTCTACGATCAAGAAACAAAACTTTGATTTAAATTAATATTCATATGTTTATATTGTAAACATTTATAAGTTTTACTTACGCTACCCGTCATTCTTCGTTTTAATCTCTGTAAAATTTACTTGCTTAACATTACAGTAAAAATGTTTATTAATAAGTCATGCACTGCGAAATTAATATCATAAATTCAAGAAGCTTGAATATTTTCACGGTAGGTACAAAGTTATTTGGAAAATGAAAAACGAGAACTAGCTTATTTATGTTTTGGAAAATATCTGAATGGCCTACACATTAGTTTGTATAAATATTTATAAAGTAATAATTTTCTTATGCTGACCATGACAAAATTGCTCTTGTGTTTCTAGGATCCCAAAGGATAAAAGTCTAGCTGAAAAATGGAGGACAATAATACCAGCCAAAGTTATAAAATGATGCGTTGTATTCTAATACAATTAATAAAAAAAAAACGTTTCTATCCTTTTAATTGATTTATACATTAAAGATGATTATAATAACATTTATGTACTTGTTTTATTTCCTACAAAATAAATATCGGTAAAGCGATAAATAAAAACTAATTTATCGGTTACATTTCTAACATCATCATTCATAATATCTGTAAAAATTTATAAAATTCTATCTGTAAATGTTTAATTTAGGTCATGTAACATTATCATGTGACAAATGTTTTTAGGCATTCACCGTTGCCTCGCATTTCTGCTGCATATAATGATGTCGGTTCTTATTTGCCTAATCTAGATATATTTTTCAACTCGCAGTTAAGTTTTAAAGCTCAGATTCAGGAATTCTTTAGTTCTATTGACTAGATTGGGTTGGGTAAGGGACTGGGTTTGACGTGCTCTCTGAAAGCCTGTGATCTGTGTTACGGGTATTTTGATCTGACTTTTCACTGAGAACCGGAGAGTGCCTTAGCCTTCTTATTGGTGTTTTTATCAGTGGTTGAGTGAATTGTAGGTGTCGTCTAAAATTACACTTATATGTTAACAATGCTGTGTCAACCTATAATTGGTATATATATTAGATTTAAACCTAACTGTAATTTACTGAAGTAAGTTGAAATATGTATGCTGTTGGTTGTCCATATGAAATAAATAAATAAATTATTAAATATTACCTATTTATGAAATTATTAAAAACGCGTGGACATCCTACAAAACTACTAAGACAGAGATGAAGAGTTACTAATTTACTCTCTCACTCTGCCCGTTTTTAATGAAACACTGCACAATCCAGTTTATTTTGACATTCGTGGTAATAATAGTCAAGATCGATTTTTAATGTGTTCAATATTCGATGATCTTCATATCAATTTAAGTCATAAAAAATCGATTTACAATGAAATTGTATCGAGATCGGTTATTTGGAATCTCTATTTTACAACTATATTTTACTCTTTGTCCATTTTTTTTTTGTAATGAATGTAGTTCAAAGAGTACTTTATATGTAGTTTTTATTAATTTGCTGGAAAGGAAGGTTGAGCGAGCGAAACGAAATATTCTACACCTAAATATTTCTTAATTTTATTACAATGAAACATATAGGTACTAACAATTTGAGTACAGTGAAGGAAATGTTGCTTGATGAACGCCGATTAGTTACATACGTATCCCTCAGTAAAGAACTTTGTATTCATGTGAACGAAAGCAAGTCTTTACTTACAGAAATTCTGAAAGAACTTCGACAAAATCCTAAGAAAATAGATCTTAGTGTTAACCACATAATATCTGGACTGCTTGATGATAACAGAGCACATACAGCCGTTTGTAATGAAACTGAATTATCAGAACTTCAAGCAAAATTTAAAAAAGTTTTCTTCCAGCATTTGTACAGTTTATGTGTGGGGAATCCATCAGTAGACAATGTGTCTTTAATGATGGTAAATAAATTTGAAGATTTTCCTTTATGTACCGGTTTAATAAAAAGTAACCTGTGTCAAAGAAAATCTGCCGAAGAAACACGAAACTCGAAAATAAATAACCAAGATATAATACCAGAAGAAAAGTCTTCTATCGTTGTAAAGACATATGTTAAGCAAGAAATAAAAAATGAAAGAAATTCCAGTTCTGAAGGTAATACAATTATTAAAACTAATCACACAACTGAACTTAAAAGTAAAACGGAGTTACAACAATCACCCAAGAAAAGTATATCAAATGGTAGTTCACAAAAGATTCAAAGTAAAAATACTAATAAGAACCAAAAAGGGATAGCAGGATTCTTTAATAAAGGTGCTAATACTTCAGCTAAAAAATCTATGAATGGCACTCAAGAAAATACTATCAACAAAACCAATAATATCATTAAAACAGAGAAAATGGATGTTGATGAAGAAGCAGATAAATTTAAAAAGAATGGAGAAGACAACACTTCTAAATTAGAATTTAATAATGTTGAGCAGATAAAAAAGACTGCTAAAGTAGATAAGAAACGAAAGAGAATACAACATGTCTCAGATAGTGAAAGTGAGGAGGAGAAAAAAGATCCTCTTGATGAGGATCTTTTTATTGAACCAGACTCTGAAGATGAGATTCCACCTACTCCATTAGTAAATACTGTTAAAATTAATTCAGGGTTTGTGAACCCTAAAAAAAGGCGAAAGATTGTGGATAAGACTTACACTGATGAGGATGGCTATATATTAACCAAAAAAGAAGAAATCTATGAAAGTTGCTCAGATAATGACGAAGAAATTAATGTTAAAGAAAATATTCAAAATGTTAGAGTTGTTCCTAAAACAATTGAAACTTCTCCCAAGGAGAAAAATAATGGTATTAAAAATAGTAAGAAAAAAACTAATTCTCCACAGAAAGGGAAACAAGTAACATTAATGAACTTTTTTAAAAAAGTGTAATCTGTTTCTGTAAATCAGTTGATAGTGGTTTTAAAATATGGAATGATGTACATGCATAGATGAAAATGAGTTAAAATTTTTGTTTGAGGAATTATTATTGATATATGTGCAAGTGGCAATATGGTTCTTACTTACATTTTGGAAAAAAAGAACAATATTAATCAATAGAAAATAAAATTATATCAACTGTTTTTATAAAAATGAATATTAAGTATTGATGTTTGAATTAAAATTAGACATAGGCAAGCAAGAATGTAGTAACCTGCAAAACCAATATTGTTCTTCAGAGCAGAATAACTTTGTATTTCTTATAAATAAAGATCCCAAGAACATCTATGGTAACAAATATAATCTTAAGTCAATTAACCCGTCACGCGATTAAGTCACAAAACGCACTTGAAGCGTTTGCACACCTGTGTGTTCAAAAAATCGCGAGACGGGTTAATACGAAAATAAGACTTATTATCAAAAAATAAGAAACAGAAACACTGTTAGTTTCTACCACATACATATTAAATAATTTTTGTTCCAGCAGTTCAAAAAAATCTTGTTCAGAAGGCAAATTACTACAAACTCCTCTCCTTATAGGCATTTTCCATGTCTGAATTTCATTATTCTCGTGTAAAATATTATAGAATCTATATCCTGGTTTTGGAAAGATCAAATTAAGTTGTTTTTTTTTGTCAATAAATGCGTAATAATATTATTTTATTATGTGAAAGCCTAAACTGGTCAAGAGCCAACTGGAGGTAATCATGTTAATTTTGTATTATTGAAATAAATAATGCTGCATGTAATTTGAATTTTATTTATGAAATAAAGTTAACAAATCTGATTATATAGACTTTCATCTTATCCATAAGATATAATAAAGTCCGGGGCCAAGCGCTTACTGCAGATAAAAAGTTATTCAAAATGTTAGATATGGATTATTCTGTTTATCTTTTAGTTCCAATGGCCACAACCCAGTCAGGATGAACTTGTACATCCACTAAGTATGAGCATTTTGTATTATAAGTTGAAGACTGCACATCTTGACTTGATACTTGCCTGTAAATAGATATACAATACATGTTAGAATGTGTTGTTCGAGAGTCACGTTTCGTGTGTCGCAATGCCTAAAATAAATCTATTTTACTAAAATATGCAGATTTTGAAAATATTTCTAAAACTAGGTTTATTTAGAGTTATTTGGTACAGTGCAATTTAAACAAATACTCCTAAGTCAGATGTAATCTTTGAGTGTCAACATATCATAATGAAGATACACGAAAACTTACTTGTTTTTGGCTTGATTGTCCCACAAAACTTTTACTATACCGTCCATGCCCGCTGAGCATAAAAGAGAATTTTCTATTGATAAATCACTTGGGTCGGATCGAATTCTATTAGTCAAACTAGCTTTCCCCACTGCAGACCAGTCCAGTGCCGTCACCTTTCCGTGGTGTCCACGATGCTCATGAACACATGTGCAAGCTGCCAAGTCCCACACTTTTATCTTTTTGTCATCACCTATTAACAAAAAATAGCAAACCTTTTTATAATTTTTAATGTGACTTTTTATTTATGTAACAGTTCACGTGCGTAAATTATAGCCTATCTTATAAAATCGGTCCTGTAGTTTTGGAGCTTATTCAATGCAAACCATTAGATGATAGAATCTTTCCTTACTAATGAAGTAAAATATCCAATAAAAATGTTATTCTTTAAATCATTAGCAAAATAGGGAAGGCACACAGTTCAAAAACCGTGGTGGAAAGACAACATCGTTACCATGACACCGTCATCTTAATTGGGGCGTGCAAGTGGCGCGATTTCAACACGTCAATATCAACGGAGAAACAAGACTAACGGAGCGCGTGTTGCTGACCGCTGATATGAGTGTAAAGTGTGTGTATCATCATCACCAGCACATTAATGATCCCACTACTGTGGCTCAGGCCTTCCCTCTGAATGAACTCGATTAGGGAGAATGTGCTATCAGGGCCCAGTGCGGATTGGTGGGTGTTAACGACTAGATGCAGCCGGGGCCAATAGCTTTACATGCTTTCCGAAGCACAGGATTTCGAGATAGTAAATTTTCGGTCACCCATCCTATGACCGGCAATTGCAAAATTCTATACTTATATTATAAAGAGGAAAGATTTAATTGTTTAGTTGTTTGTTTGCATCGAATAGGCTCAGAAACTGCTAACCGATTTTTTAAAATTCTTTCACCTACGGAAGGCTGCATCATGTGCGGTGAACATATGCTATGCTTTATCCCGAAAAACAGCAAACGATGGGAGTGGAAGTTAATAAGGTACGAAAATGGGAGTAGAAGTTTGTATGGTGAAATTAAAACGTCACCATGGTAACCGTTGTTTACATTTCCGTTTGTCACTGTGTTTATATCCATGTCACGATATGAATCAACATCAAAATGAAAAGTTCCCTAGGAACTTATTATAATGAGTAACCTATATACCTGCACTGGCTAAATAATCGCCAGATGGTGCAAAAGCTAGTGTTCGAACAATTCCACGATGACCGCAGAGCACTCTCACTAACCGCGCGTCACATACGCTCCACAACCTTACACTGCGATCGGCACCGCCAGTCGCTATGTACGCCTCATTAGGGTGGAATTTCACACACTAAAATTACAAGAAATATAAGAAAAATCTCCAATGATTACATATGGCAGCACAGAACGACCGCCTAACACTACGCATAGCATGTTATCTTATCGATGTTATGCCAATATTTCGTTTCATTTTACTACTCTGACATGTAAGTTAAAGATGACGAAGAAACTATAAAGCATGAGGATTGTGAAATTGATAGCAGTGTTACCAATTTAGTAATTTATTCCAAATTTATCCAAAAGACATGACATGTCATGTCAAAAACATGTCAAAGTAGTAACATGAAACGAAATATAGTCATAACATCGCTAAGACGTCATATCCTATGGCTAGAATGAAGTCTAGAGTGTTAGGCGGCCGTAAACCAGGTTTTGTTTAAACACAAAATTATTTTATAGATAATAAAACAGTTTATTTATTCCTTCACCTAAAGTATTTATCTACTGCCCGAGAAAATAAATAAGACTTCTGCTATATAAGTAACAGTTACATCACAGGTAGAGAATAATGGCCAGTTTCTGTATTGAGAAAAGCATACAATCTCAACTGTTATTCTCAATGAGTTAAGTTTTTTAGGTTTCATATGGCAAATAGTCCTAGTTTTATCAAATTGCTGTTAACTGATCATTAAAACACTATAAATCAGCAATGAAAACCTGTTTAATTGATGTTTATAATGGCTTAAGCACGATTTAAGACATGCTCAACTTCAAATTCTCAATTCAGAAACACTATCAAGGCACGGGTGTACGTGAGCATGTGACCTCTGTCTAGTATTTAACTTGCAACTTTGTACTTACAGTGACATCAGACATGTGCCCCACAAATACCCTTACAGGAAAGGTTCTATCTAAGGACCAAAGCTTTGCAGTCCTGTCATGAGATCCAGTTACAATGAAAAGTCCATTTTTTGACACATCCATACACCATATAGGATAATTGTGACCTCTGGAAAATAATTATATTATTTTTGTAATTTTTTATGTCAAATTATACCAATTCTTTCTTAGCATTTTCTAAGCATGTCTTAAAAATATGATAGTATTTATCCATATCTTTTACAGAATAGATGAAATAATTAATTGTATATATATAATATGACTAACCTGTATATGGAAGCACATGAATAATCATATAATCGCCACGCTCTCATTGTACTATCATGTGAAGCTGATAGAACTAACTGTTCCTGGGCAAGAACACTAACTGCTTGTATAGGTCCTGTGTGACCTCTCAATGGCAATCCCGCACCTACTTGTCTGTAGAAACATAATTACTATGTATTAGAAAACATTAGTCTAAGATCCATTAGTAGTGAACTTTAACTTCATCAATACTACAAGAATTGAAAAAATTACAATAAATATATTATACTAAAGGGTACAAATAAATTATACCGTGTAAACATTTCTTACAATGTGTTGTCTTCAGGTGGTGGCTCTGGAGGCATGTTGCATGCTAATTCCACTTCAGATATATTACGATTCATTCGACGTTTTACGTTGTTTTGACCCAAGTCCCATAATCTTATTTCAGAGTTACTAAATCCTCCACACAGCAAATTGCAATATGAATCTGTTTTGGCGCAAACCAAGCTGCAAAAAGAAAGAAATATTATCTATAGGTGGAGACTACAAAGTACCCACATGGCATGATCCTTACATAAACCATGCTCGCCAGTTTTTATGGCTTCTGAAATAACCTTCCAACAGCATGTGATGGATTTGATTGTGAATGGTGTGTCTTGGCCTTCCACAGCTTCTACATACTTCCACTTTCATATTTTGTCATTCTTTCTGTGTCCATTACATTTATCTATGTCTTTAAATATTTGAATTACGGCATTAAAATATATTTTCAAAATATACAACACTATTTTTGTGACTGAGATAGAAATAACAATTAACTCACTGTGTATCTGGAGCTGCTATTTTGTATAATTTTAAAGGTGCCATAGATTCCCTCACCCCTTTAATTGCATCTTGTAAATCTTTTAATTCTTTATCAACACTTTGGTAGTCAGCATGGCCATTACATTTTGAGAATATATCTAGAAATTTAATAAGTTAAGTTTTTGTGATATACAGGTTAAAATTAATAAAGGTATGTGTTTTAATTAATATATGAATTTATTTTTACCGTTTATGTCCATGGTTTTATGTTCAGTGGTCATCTTAGGTGCACATTTATCATCATCTATTTGATCTTCATCATCCTTTAAATTAAAATAGTTGTAATTAATTATGGATATTGAGGAATTTGTGGATGACACAATTAATATTTTATTTAAAAAAAAAACCAAATTGTTATTTCTTCAAGTTACATTTTTACTTTTAAAGAGCACACTTACTGAACTTTTCTTGTTAGTATCATTGTTGATATCAATGTGAAACCAAGTCTGCAAAACTTGAATTAACAACACATGACTGTGCTTAGCAAGATATGCCTTAAGTATATTCAGAGCATCTTGAGATAAATAGATATCATATTTACAGGACCTGTAAATATAAAGTAATATAAGAATTGAAACAAATCGTTTGCCGTTTTTGTGGGTACTTGGAACGGAATATGAAGCCACCCGCGCATCGCGTCATGCCAGCGGCGTGTGTAGGAGCTAAAAAATCTTTTCAAAAAGTAAAACAAAGTCAGTATGTCACTGGCACTGATAATTAACCCTCGCAAAGGGCAATCATTGAATAGGTGTCCAAAATTTTTTTATTTAAAGCTGTAAAAAGGTTCAGAAGGAAAATTAAACATTTGGTCCCAGCTGCATCTGTAGTTTCTAACATTCTTTTTATTTGATTCAATATAACTACCCACATGTGTAAGAGAAATTCGTAATCTTTTTTTAAGAGAAATAAAGACATTACCTAAATGCAGCTATAGATGGTCTAGTTTCAACTTCTTGTAAAGTATATATTGAGCCAATGTCATCCAGTATTTGATTCAAGTAATCTTTTTCAGGTGTTTCATTGTCTATTGTGCCATTTTGTAGAGAGTTAAAGAGTTGCTCCAAACTATTTGGCCGATATAAAGCTGAAGGTAAATTCCCATCGATAGGCTGATGATAAGACATGTCTTTTTGGGGTAATGTTGTTGAATGTCTTTTGAGAAACATCTGTGCTTGGCCACCATGACCACCTCTCAGCATCTCCAAGTATAGATGACATAATAAAGGGCTTAATAAACCTAATAATTCATTTTTAACTTTCTCTACTTTTAGATCTTTGATGAAATTAGCCAACCTAAACAAAAATTCAAATGAGATATTGGTACATGGGTGGTTCTCAGATAACAAGTTTTAGCTTGTCTGGGCTTGGAAGGCATTAAAACTTTAGGATATACAAATTAAAGTATATTTTTGCGAAACACTATGTAAGTGTACATATGCAGTTATCATGCATTTAACATTGTCATATAAATCACAATAACTTTATGAATTCCAAAATCCATAGTTTTTTGGCCTGTCCATTGCATACTTATTATTTTGTTAAGCGTTAAACTCGATGTCCAAATAAAAAAGGCATACTATTTTAAGATTTAAAGTAATAAAAGATATATTTTATTCTTAATTAAAACCAACACATTTTAAATACTACAGAACAATTGTTTCACCATCCCCCCATCTTTCAAACACACTTCATTGAGTCATCAGAGAGTAGACATGCATATGTGTTAGGACTGATGAGAAATATTTATTGTTCTCTCCACATTTGGACCTTGTCACATAATTACCTAATTACTTTGTTAAATGTTTTTATACCAATGTATTTATTGCTTGGATACTTTTGGACACATTTCCGTAATTTCAAATATGATTGTACCTATACATATTACTAAATAATGTTTGTTACATTCATCAGGTTTCTTTTTAAAAAACTATGACCAGTGATTTTTAATTTATTTGCCACTTATTTCAATGGATTTCATCTAATTTCTTGGGCCAGTTGCACCAAAGAAATTACATTTGAAGTAAATAAATTAGATAATTACTTATACCAGCAAATTGAGAATATAAAATAGGTGGATATAAAGTGGTAAAGTTATTATTTAACATGTAAAGCAGCTAGAGCTTATTGCTAACAAGCCTGATTTATGATAAATAAATTCTATGTTTATGTACACATTTTAATTTACTTCATAACTTGTAAAAGTTCTTTAGTCAATTTTTTAAGTTCTTTAGGCAATTTTCTAATGTTTTGAACAAAACATATTTTTTGGGCTATATCTCATTTCTATAAATATTTTTAAATCGCTAAAACTTCTATAATATCAGATTTTATAATAATCTTCGAAGGTGCCTATTTCAAATAATTATAGATTTTGAAATGGTAAATAATGAATGTTGGAAGTAGTTTACATTAAATTGTATATGCCCTAATAAAACATGCTTAAGATGTCAATATATTTTCTATGTATTCATTCCAATATCATCTTATTTTAAAATACTTTGATTACTATTCTGTTTCATTTACAATGATATAATTATAGAAGTAGTTTACAACTTACTTGGTATACTGAGCGTCATACTGTGCTGGGTCGTTGTTTATACATGAAAATAGAATAGAATTAGTGCGACTCGCTTCACATTGAACGATGGTAGCGACAGCCATTTGTTCAGCACTTCTGCTTAAAGAGTTGTTGCTATTAAAAATATTAACGTCCTGAAAGCGTAAATAGAAAGAATATTCAACCACATAAGAGTAATTAGCTAACAGTTCTAAGAAAATCTTTATTACATACAGGATAATTGCGACGTTCTAAGTAGGAAGTGACTGCAGCCTTAACTGCATCATTTCGTGTTTTTTTGATTAAAGACATTGATTGTTAACATAAGATTAGTAATCTAAATTTAATTAAGCTTTTGTTATCAAGCGGTGCCTTCAATGCATTTCCACGTATATTTTAGACAATGGAAAACCTATATAGTTGTTATTTAAAACCAATTACAAACTGGTGGGAAAATTATCCACCACCACTCCATCCAATAATAGTAGGTGTTTTAAATGGAATTGAAAACAAGTATGGTCTAAATAATGCAACTAACGAAACCAAACCACAACATAAATTACTATTTATTTTGACAGATGACAGTATAGTCATAAACGACAAGTCAAAAAGTGCTAAGCATCGATAGGTTAAAAATATCGATATGCATCGATATGTTCATTCATTCATTCATTCATCAGCCCTTTTTATGTCCCCACTGCAGGGGCTCAGGCCTTCCTTATGGATGGTTAAGGAGGATGGGCCATGACCCTCCACGCTGGTCCAATGCGGATTGGAGGGTATTAACGACTGCAAATGCAGCCGGGACCAACGGTTTAACGTGCCTTCGGAAGCACGGATTAGCTCGAGATAATAATTTTTTGGTCACCCATCCCGTGATCGACCCCTGAGAAAGTTGCTTAACGACAACGATCGCGGGTCGCGGCGCTTAACCACTACGCCACCGAGCTACTCATCGATATGTAGACGCTTAAAAATATCGATATACACCGATATGTAGACGCTTAAAAATATCGATCGATCGAATATCGTTTGAGTATTGTTATGACAAAGATACTTATATGTAACACACCCATCATCTTAATATAACATGAAGTAAGTTATTTGGTTACAGTGCCTTAGAGGGGCTGAATCGTAGATAATACATAAGGTTGAATGAAAGGTAAAATTTTCGTTACAATACATTTCACGGGGTCCCTGTAGCCCAGGGCCCCGTTTCATAGCATAGATATGGCTGATACGGCACAAGCTACGCTAATTTTCTCAAATATTTAATTATATTCGTATAATAGTTGTTGTTGTTCTGTTTGTATAATAAATGTTTTAGAAGCGAAATTATTTTTCTTATTCATCAAATAAGATCGAACTTTCCGAGTGATTTTATTTCTTTTATTTATTTCGGATAACCAAACCTCAATTTACATTACTAAATATTTGCTCTACTTATAAATTGTAACAACAACAAAACTGTCAACTTCGGTGGAGAGTAAAAATATATAAACATTGTCACAAAACAATGATGAACAGATAAGAATTACATATTTGTAACATTACATAAGAATTACATATTTTATCAATCATAGGTACCTATTTACAGATTGATCCGCTCACGCTAACAATGTTTCATTGTACGAGTATTATTAAAAGCAGTCAATTCCAATTTTAAGCCTTAACCTGTTGTTGATAACTTTATTATAAACATTTGGCGAACCTAACGGGTTGTTATTTTAACCCATTCGATATGTATACGCAACAAGATGTCTCTGAACGCGGTTGTGTTACTGTTGTTAGCTTGTTGCATTGTCAGTATTTTTTGCTGTGGAAATAAATTAAATAATTTATTATTCGATGGTGATTATGAGTTTATAGATTTGACTCATTCATTTGATAATAATACTGTCTATTGGCCAGATAGTCGACAATTCATTTTTATAAAGAAAACCGAAGATGTTGGGCCTGGTGACTCATGGTATGTTTTTAAAGTAACGGTGTTACACGTTTTGTCATTTTTTTTATTGGATTTATAGTTTTCATCATTATCATATCAACCATTGCTTTTATAGTTTTAAGGCTTGTCAATTTAAATTTTAATTAAGTAAGCTAAGAGTTACTGACCTATTCAAATACTTCTTTATGTTTGGAAATATTACAAATATAATATTTTTTATTTGCAACCCTACAGGCTTCGCAATCGGCAATCGAAATCACGTGTATTCCCAACGAGTCACATTCAGTAAAAAGAGTACCTAATAAATATATTTCACACGTTGGGAAAACAAACTAACGGTGTTATATGTTTTGTCAATATTTATAATTCTGGGTAACAAAGTAATTTCAAAAATTACCGTCTCTGTAATGCTAGAAATGTAATTTCGAATTGGTACGCACTTATTTATTAGATGCACTTTCCGAGTTTTTCATCTTGTACCACTATTGCGCATTCATTGATCTATTATGTTTATTTAACATGTAATGTACCTTCAATGACTAAAATAGTAGTTATTCTTATTTTACACATTTTCAAAATCATTAGTTGCTTTGACTATTGTTCAGCCCTTCGTTTGCCATGTAATATGACCTTAGTACCTAGTTATAAAATCCTGCTAAAATTATGATTTTAGCCATAAAAAACTTCACGAAATTATATTTTATTAAATAACATGTATAGCTTTTGTCCGCGCCTCCGTCCGCGTCGTATAGTTACTTTGGGCAGCGTTTCTATAAGCGCTAAAACAAACACATTTTCTATATATCGTGTGAAATATCTGAATTATATTCAGATTTAATTATAAATAATGACGAACTTCTATACAAACTTTAATGACCTATCTCAAGTCAATTCTGTACAGTGGTTTATGTGTGAGAGCGTAACAGACATATATTTAATATATTATATGGAAACTATGGAATAATGAAACGTTTCTTCTTGTCGCTCATTACATAATATAATGAGATAACCAGACAGTTATCTAAATAAATACTTAGACTAAAAACAATATAAATAAAGTTAATTTATAATGAATATTTTGTACCCGACTGGGTAACACATCCATCCAATACATTAAACGTAGACATTAGTGTAGACATTAAGAGCCCTATTACAAATTTGCACTATGTGAGTTTAGGTATTTGAAGCTTTTCGACCACGTGTCTACGGTTACTTGTTTGACATAGAAAACATCAACATCAATTATTTCATGAGGTGAAAAAAAATTTAATTACGTCGTGTGATCTACGTCTATTTCTTTCAATTCACAGAAATCGCCAAACTTAGACCATATTTTATGAAAGAAATGTTAAAAATACACTTAAAGAAAAAGAAACAACAAAAATATTGGAAATAGAGTCTTTTATTAAAGGATGTTTACCAAATATCATTTTTTTGTAAATCTTCAATGAAAATTTTAAAAATAAAACTTAATAGTGAGTGTTACTACCTCTGGCCCTCGACGAAAAGCCCTCAAATGACTTTCTGCTAATCTTATTCTAATGGCACTGAGTTTTCTTGCTTAAAAGACGCGTATGAGTTTCAGTAGCGGTCGAAAAGCGATTTCTCAACACATTGGTAACAACGAAAGATCATCTCGAGTCGAAAGCCTCTTTCCCGAAATCATCTGATGGCATCTCGTACGTTGTTCGAGGTACAGTGTGTGCGAGCGATGCAGTGCTGGCTATACCCCGCATCAGTCACTGCCCCAGCTACATTATTGAAAATTGTATTTATAATTGTTATAATACGTACTATTTTGGTATTGTCATGATTTATGTAAATGTCATTACTTATAATAAAGAGCTGGGAAGTTTCTTTCGCTTGTTCTTCTTATCAGCTAAAAGATGTCCTGAACGAATTGTAGGGGAAAAAATTTTTTTTTGACGGTTCTTAAGTGCTTGTAATATGCTTAATTGAATAATGACATTTTTATTTCATTTCATCAGTTGCATCAAGTGGCATTTTTTACAATCACAAATAATGAGCAAACACTATGATTGATAAGCCACAGTTGACGATACCAAACAGGTCGATGAATGATACAGGGTAGTTAATTGTGCCTGTGAGTGTATATTACATATTTTTTTCTGGTAGTGTTTGATAAACATTATCGATAATCACACTTTTATGCTTATTATTTATAATATTGCTTAAATTAATTGTGATTTTTTTTTTTACTCAAACAGCTCGTGATGTCACACCTCTTTTACTCATCTTAGAACTTAGAGAATTCATCCTTATGTATTCATACATATAACGATATAAGTTTCAGAGGGCCGTGACATCATAGCGACGCCATGAAGAAGTGGAGCTTTCGCGGGAAATTTTGTACTTTTTTTTTTGGATTTTAACTTATTTTTTTGATATCCATATCTATAAAATAAAAACATTAAAAAAAACGTTGTACACCTCCATTAGGCGGCTAGCCCTATAATAGAATAGCGCCATTCATTTGTAAGGCTAAACGACGATTAGCCGATAACAATTACAACGTACTTTTAATACTTCAACACACTGAAATATTAAGTTTTAGAAATCTCTTGAATTTTTTTGACACGAGCTCTCCGTCTATTAATATTGGAGTCTATTATATAGATTGAACCATTCCGGCTGACAATGTCGGGTGTCATTTATTATCGCATTCATATCATAAGTACTTATTGCGTCTATCTTACTACAAGATGTCTGTGAAAGCGGTCGTGTTACTGTTGTTAGCTTGTTTTATTGTCAGTATTTATACCCGTGGAAATGAATTAAATAATTTGTTATTTAATGGTGATTATGAGTTCATTGATTTAACTCATCCGTTTGACAATAATACCGTCTATTGGCCAAATAGTCAGCAATTCATTTTTATAAAGAAAACTGAAGACTTGGGTAACGATGATTCATGGTTTGTCTATCCTCATTTAAAATTTATTTTTGTACCACTGACCACATCAATTAATTTTGACTATGTAACTAGTAGGTACTAGGCAGTAGGTATTAGAAGTTTTTATTCCGATGTCCTTTTATATTGAAAATAAAACATAATAACATAAAGTTTTATAAAACATAAAATAAAATATTGAATATAATACAATTAATAAAAATAGTTACGCGTGATAAACGAAATCACTAGCCTTCATTTGGTTTTGTGTAAACAAAAAACGTAAGTAAAGTTTCTGTTATAGTGAAACGTGATCTCAATCAGGATTTTATAAACTGTAATCTATAATCCAGTATTTTTTAATTACTTCGTTGTAATATATGTTTTTTATAGGAAATATTTCCTGATGAATACGTAAGTCATTTTGTAGCTATTGCCGAGCATAATGAGATGATAGTGACAGCTTTTGGGTTTCCGTCCCCTCATAATGTGTACGATCTTTTACAGCTCAGTCGATCATAATCTGGGGACCAATTCTACTAAATAAATTTTGTTTAAATCGAATCGAAAACGGATCGAAACCGAACGAAACTACAGTTTTTAATGGTTTTTCTATTCTACTAAGTGACATACGATACAATTCCAGCTAAAATAGAACTGGAATTGTATCGTATGTCACAAAAAAAAAATATTTAGTAGAATTGGCCCCCTGGTATTGTCGTTCACTTGTTACTCGTTTATGTACAGACGTCATATAGGCCTATCCCCTATCCATTGTCAATACAAAGTCAATACTATGTCATACAGGCGGATTCAGAATTGAGAAAGGTACAAAATCTCAAACGATTATTTTACAAAACTGAACTTTTTTACATTTCACAAGTTAAAAAGTCCTATTTTTATCAAACTGTTTCATCAACTGGGCGCTTAGTGTAAATTTTGTATGGAATCCGCTACAGCGCCCTTAGCGGTAATTACCAAGAACTACAAATCTCCATACATATAATTATACAAACGCGTTAGCGAAAAAATGAAAATCAGAAACGAAAACCAGTTTATTGTTATGTACAATTTGAGACGTTTAGAAACCGGATTTTAGTCTATGTCCATGCCCATATTATTAAAGTTAATTTTAGAATAAGACAACAATTATATTTAAACAGTTTTGGATTTACAATGTTGTTATACTGGAAAACTTTGTGTCTGGTACTTATTAATTGAATGACATCTCTCAGTGCAGCAGTTAAAGATATTGTTGTGACTTTTTAATTATAGATTTACTTAAACTTATGTGAGCCATATCATCAATATTTTTGGTTGATGACCTCTGTGGCCGAGTGGCTCTTACGCAGATTTCAAGACGTCGCAATCATCGGTCCTGAATTCGATTCCCGGTCGGCTCAGTGTGGAAAATTATATTTTCTATATTTTATCGGGTTTTAATCTGGGTCTCTTATTCAAAAGATGTTTATTATGGACGTTCAAATTACTTAAAACAATCGGAACGATGTTGAGGAAGTGTTGCTGTGTGTTGCATATAGCCCTCAGCATAGATAAATAAGTAAACTCGGTTACAAAATTACTCACAGTGGAAGTTTCATGATACTATCATATTTAAAATAAAAATATAGGTACAAAACTAAAATTAATCTGAAAACGAAATTAAAGTTCGTTAAGTATTAAACAAAACGCAACTAAGATGCAGGCGATGCTCAAAAACGAACTTATAATGTTACTGAGCCGTGTCCTCGTAAGACATTAAGGAAATTCAATTTCTTTGATTATGCTTATTATTTTCTTTTTAAAAGAATAAAATAGTAAGCTTTTTCATTACAAGAACAAAATAGAAACTTAAAATAGTTTATATATAATAGTTTATATTATAAGAAAAATGCATAAAACACCCATTTGTCCCTGGTTGTTGCCTGGTTGTTTTGGCCCGGATTGCGAAGGTCGTGAGTTCGAATCCTATCTCAGAGTACCAAGGACAAAGCGGATTTTTTTAAAATTTTCAATAAAATATTTTCCAGTATAGCACTGACAATGCAAAATTGATCAAATACAATAGTTTTTATTTTTTTATTATCTGTGTTTTTGTAACTATACCTACTAATACTATAAGAAAAAAAATGTTATTGTTTGTTTGCATTGTATAGATTCCGAAAATACTGAATCGATTTTTTTTCGATTTTTTTTTCGATTTTTTTTTGTTGTTTTGGCTTTGACAAAATTGTTTTGGCTTTTTTTGGAGTCGGTTCATCACGTTTTTGTCCACTGTTTTGACTCTGGGGTGTAATGGTGTACCCAAGTTTCATCCATTGTTACAAATCTGGTTAAAAAATCTTGTGGATCAGCCTTTCCAAACAGTCGCGAGAAATCGTCAGGCGTATTCGTTTTTGTTCGGCTGAAAGGAATCTGGATACCCACCGCGCAGAAACCTTAGAAAAATGATGTTTTGTGTTCTTTCATACGAGATGCAAATAGTGTCTGCAATCTCCCTGATGGTCAATCTCCGATCTCTCAATATCAGATCACAGATTTTCCCGATGTTTTCTTCAGTCGTAAACGCCACAGGCCGGCCAGAGCGAGGGTCATCTTCAATACTCTCTCGTCTGCGTTTAAATTCAGCAACCCACTTTTTCACAGTCGTATACGACGGAGCAGATTCCGCCAATGTTGTTGACATATCTTCGTGAATCTCTTTTGGAGTTAGTTTTTTTAAACAGGTATTTGATGACCGTATGTTGCTCAATTTTCTCCATTCTTTAAAAACGCTTCACAAACGCTCACAAAATTCACTCTAATTTAAATACAGTTAATGCTATTGTGATAGAATTTTACAATTTGATAACCAGAGAGTAAACTAATCGAATGGGGTCACAGTTACATTAAAATAGTTTAAGTATTTATGTGTTAGGCCGCGAAGTTTTCAATCCACCTAGTATTTCTGATTGAGGACGACGACTTCTTATGACAATTTTACTTTTTGTATTTCAAATATTAAAAGAATATTTTTAAAAAACAATCCTTTTTTTGAAAAATTAATATTTCTTCATATTTCTTCATTAATATTAATATTTCTGTTTACCGATCGTGTTACCTATATCTACGGTATCTACAAAGATCTTTCGGAGGGCCTACAGTTTACATCGCGCCCACGAGTAATATAGGTTTTTCTTATAAGGTAGCAATTATAAAAAGGTAGAAACCACCGCAATAAAGTAGTTGTATTCATTCTATATTACTTAAAAATTGGTAAAATGATCATCTGTCGATGTCTCATAGAAAGAATCGAGCATTTGGATATTGCATAATATTATTTTATCTTTATATACTTATACTTTTAGGTATGCTGCAAACGATTTTGCAGCCGGAGAGCACGGAGGCACACATATTGATGCACCATACCATTTCTACAAAGACGGTCTACACGTTGAAGAATTACCATTAGACAAACTTATAGTACCATGTACGTAGCATCATTTAAATTATATATATACATATATATATTAAAAAATAAAAAAATTATAGTTTTAAATCGCCTGTGTTAAGTAAACGGCTTTATTTTAATTTCAAACTGTCTTCTATAACGAATTTCAAAAACCTTACAAAATTGAATAATGTCCGCGTATAACTTAAAAATATTTATATAGAATTAAATAAATACAGATATGTTTATTAAATCCATGCTTGAAAAACCGGCTAAGTTCGAGTCAGACTCGCAAACGAGGGGTTCCGTTACTGTAAATGAGTAAAATATCACGTTTGTTATATGGGAGCCCCTTTGAATATTTATTTTATTATGTTTTTTTAAAAGTGTGTGTAACTATGTTTGTTCGGGTGGAATTTTGAAGTAAATATCTTCATCCGATTGAGCTGAAATTTTGTATACTTATTTAGTTTGGATGACAGTGCATGATAAGATGTGTGACATCATTCTAAATCCAATATGGCGGACCATCCAAGATGGCGGAATAGGTAGTTATTTTTAATGCACTTCTACAATATGGGTATTAAATGAAAGGACTGGTAACTAGAAAAATGAAGTGACGTAATTCTAAATCCAATAGAAATACATCATCTGTGAAAATTTCAACTGTCTAACTTTTACGGTTAATAAGTGACAGCTTGGTGTCAAACAGACAGACAGCGAAGTCTTAGTGATAGGTTCCCGTTTTACCCTTTTCTACGGAACCCTAAAAATCACTTTTGTTGTATTTATTTATTGATTTTATTTGATTATTGTTTTTATTACATTTTTTAGTACGCGGTGTACGGGGCAATGGAAATACATTACCTATCTGTGAAAATTTCAAATGTCTATTGTAGTTCATGACTGATACAGCCCGTTGATAGACAGACAATCAGCCTTAGTAATTACAAGTAATACAAGTCTTAGTAATAGGGTTCTCGTTTTTCTCTTTGGGTACGGAATCCTAAGAAATAAGTAGCTACTCAACCGATTTGAATGAGTCTAGGGAGCTGGGGATAGTCACAACATTTTGTAACTGCTCCATAATTTCTATTTATTATTTTCAGTAATAGTAGCAGACGTTAGCTCGAAGGTTAATGGTGATCCAAATTTTGTACTTCATAAAGGAGACTTGGATTTTATGATAAATGACAATATGGGAAAGCCCTGTGTTATTATATTTAAGTTCGGATGGAGCAAATATTTCAACGATAGGAAAAAATATTTAGGTCATGTAGACAACAGCGATAAATTGAACTTTCCTGGTAAGTCGTTTTATGCACATTAAATTGTACTGAAATTTTACAAACATATTTTCTAAATTCTCGTAACAATGTACACGATCAATTTAAGGGTTAGATTATATCTGACACCACGATAACGCCTTTTACCGTTGTCGCCTTATCCTTTTCTGACACTCAGAACTGTTATTTACTAGAGTGAAAGAGAGCGTGTTGGCCGTGTTGACTATCGCCTCGATGATTCCGCGGCGATGTGGTGGGCTGACATTTATATCCAAAACAATTTAAGCTAACAAACTTTATTGGAATCCTCCATCTGCTTTGGCATGATTGAAAGTCCACGCGAACTAAGTCGCCGGCACCAGCAAGCATTTAATATGTTTGTGGTTATCCATGAGTTTTTCAAGTAATAGTGATGAACTTTAATATTTAACTATCAATCAAACATATTATAATCTTCAGGTCTAAGTGGTGAAGTAGCTGAATGGATAACATCTGCTTATAAAAATATTGTGGGCATCGGCGTGGACGTGGCTTCAATCGATCCTGGCTCTAGTAAAGATTTTCCTGTTCATAAAACAACTTCACGAAATGGGCTTTACGTTATAGAAAATGTTAATTTCAGCAGGGATATTCCAGGTATGCATTACTACTTTCTAATACGTAAGGTAGGTATTAGTGATTGACATTTAAAATTTTCATAGGTATCATAAATATTTAAGTACCTACATTATATGCGCACATTGTCATTCTATATTGCAGAATTCTGCACCATTTTTGAACAAAAGCTGTTATTAGTTTGTGTATCTATTAGTGCTGATCACGACGTATGTGTGACAACACTTTGCAAGTATATGTCACACATACGTTGTAAGGAAATATGTATGGTTGTACAATACAACTAAAGCAGTATATGAGAAATAGAAGATACCTTAACATATTGAGGGCAGAGTTCAAAACCGACTATTGACAAATAGTGATGAATAAACTGCGGCACTGCAAGCAGCTTAGAGTCACTTTGAATGTTGCAGTTAGTAGCTTCCATAGAACAATGATACGTAGCTTCCTACTAGCGGCTCCGCCATCATTATTATAGAAACATTCTATCTATATATAAAATCCGTTGTGTAGTTTGAAACATTTCATCGTTTAAACAACAGTGGGAAGCGCCTTTGTTTTATACTATGTAATTATAGATTCATAGTAAGATCTTTTAAAACAAATATCAGAAGTTAAAAAGAAATAAAATAATTTATTGCTTTAATTTCAGATAACGGATGCACAGCATTGGTATTGCCGATGAAAATAAAGTCTGGTACTGGAGCACCGCTACGTTTAGTAGCCATATGCCCTAAGCAGAGGAAATAGTAGTTAATATGATATTTAAGTTCTTAATCTATTATTATTTTTACTTGATCGGTTGAATATTATTTAAGTTTCAGTTTTATAGTGTATAAAGCTGGTCACATATCGTGATTCATTTTTGAAGTAATGTAAATTTTTCTGTAAAAATAGTTTAGATTGGCAATAAGGTATGTTGACGAAATCTAATGTTAGTTCTTATTCTTTTTTGAAGATAAAAAATCTGAAATAATGATTTCGTTAGAGAATTAAAGTTCAAACTAACCGTACTCCACGGGACTATACGTCATAGTACACCTATGTTCGCACACTTCCGTACTGCCATCGTAAGTTTCTGGTGTCCACAATGCACGCGTTTAGAAAAAAAAAACCATAAAATCGCAAAAAAACATGTTTTTGCCTACATACCTACATAGCTTGGCGACAGACGGATGGACAGCGGAGTCATAGTAAAAGGGTGCCGTTTCACCCGTTGGGTACGGACCCTTAAACAATGAAACTATGAGGCGGTTTTTGCGTGATCCAAAATTCACGCTACAAAGCGAGCTGGACCGCTGCGTGGACCCGGCTCATGAGATTATGTGTGGATATGTGTGATAGTGTAGGTGGACAAAATCTGATGTAGTATATTATATAATACATTGCTGCATTCATATTGACAAATAAAATAATACAACAAACTAAATCAACGTATTTTATTTCGAACAGAAAAACTTACAAGTATTTTAAATAATGAAAAGATAAAGGGTAATGAGCCATACGACTTTGATCTTATAACAAAATAAAATGCTGAGTTATTTTAGAATACATTTTTTTGTGAATATATTCACATGATAAAGAAAACAAAAAATGATAGCTTAGAGCTCAAAGGAACATAAAATTACTAGAATCATTGTCTTGTGTGACTAAAAACACATATTACAATATTAAAAAAATAATCATATCTTATTAGTTTCAATGAAAATTCCCTTTTCAATGAGATTTTTATAAACTAAATCATTATTCTCATAAGTAATTGTTACGATTGGTATTAAATCATCGTAATCAATTATTTTAGCATAAAATATATCATTATTTTGTAGGAAAGTCTCATTATATTCTTGACATAATAAATTCACATCAATATCAGGGTTAATTTTCACACCATGCAATCTTACTTGTAGTGATGCTGGAGGAAGTTTCACATATTCATCTGGTATTTCTCTAACATCAGCCAAAGAAATCGTTTCTATGTTGCCATAATCAACATACCGAACTTTAACTTGATTCTTACTTTCACTGTACTGTAAAATAGATGCTCTGTACCACTGATTGTCCTCAGGGAAAAGTGCTATACAGGCTTTATTTTCAAAGATACCATCCATTGGATGCATCAACTCTGCTTCTTTTTGGAGATTTCCGAACATTTCTTCATATAGTAAATTTGTTTCATCGTCATGGATAACGTTTAGTTCTAATGTTTCAGTATCATTGATTACAGTAATCTTACATAAGAATTCTTTCTTGGTGACTTTAGGATAAGCCATGTAACGGTCTTCTGATTGTTTATTATTATCTTCGTCTACAATCTCATTCCAGTCTTTACCAATCATTGCTTCTAATTGGAATGAATCTTGGGATATAGAGTTTTCTATAGTTTCAGTATCATCTTCGATTATGTAATCAGGTCCTGAGTCTGACTCTGCTACATTATTATCTTGAAGATCTTCAGGTGCAGGTGGTGGCGCATATTTGCGAACGATAGGCTTACTTCCGTCAGTGTAACAGGCCATTTCAAAATCAACTAAGTGATCGTTTATCCACAGTTTATCATATTTCATTTCTATAGGTAAAACACCATCAACTTTTTCACCAGTAATCTTTATAAAACATTGTTTTTCAACCACCGATTTATGGATGTAATCTAAAGTCTGCCTATCCCATTGTGCGCCTATTGGTCTTATACGATCCAAGATGCACTTATGCGCTTGTATCGGTATTTGATATAAAGCAATGCTTTTTCTTAAATTTGTGAATGTGCAGGTCTCCTCATTGCCGTAATCTACATAATGTATGAGACAAGTTGAGGTCTCCTCATTTACCTCTAAGATTCTACCTCTGTAAAAGCGATTGTCCAAAAAGAACATAGCTATGCATGGTTCACCCACCGTCCATTTAGCATATTTCGCTTTCGGATCTGGATCCTTAAAACGGACATCAAGAGCTTTACGAATTAAATCAAGTGTATCCTGTTGTGAAACATCATGTAGATATATGATGCCATCATTGTCAATGTATCTGTAACAGAAAAATATGTTTCGGTAATTTTTTATAAATTTAAAATTTGTATCAAGGTGATTTATATTTTCTAAGGTTTGAACTTACGTCGGCATTCCAGTGAATTCTTTACTTTGTAATGGTTCTGGTGGCAACCAATCTGATATGAAAACTGTATTGGACAGTGGCAATATATCTTCAATTTTTCCAGAAGATTCTTCATAATAATCTGGTGATGGAGTATTACTTTCGGAATCTGACTTAGTGGATTTGGAAATCAATGGGTTAACAGGAAGTGGTTCCAATTGGAGCCATTCGCGAACCGAACCAGTAATGTTTAGAAAAGATAACATTTCACTGTCGGTGCTAACTGGTTCAGTGGGTGTATTCTGAAACAAAATATGTAACTATATAAGCGAGAACAATACTAACTACACGTTGGTATGCTCTAAAAACTATAGTTTCTTAATTTTATTTATTGATTAATAATAGTCAGTAATTTAGAACCCATAGGCATACCAAATAACATGAAATACATAAGGCAATTTATTATAACGTCACGAGGCTATAATCAAAGCGATAGTTAGTTATCTCAAAAGATTCAGTGAATATTAATTGCGTGCTTTAACATATTGATTGATTGTGTATTATAGTTGTAATGTATTGATAAATCGGGTGGTACAAAGGGCAAAATGATGTTTCACTTTCTATTAGAAATAAATACTGACCATCTCATTCGTTTTATCCGGAATACCCAAGCCTTGTTCAATTATTTTGTCATTCAAACAGCGCCATTCTGATTTGTTTGGTTCCAAAGCACCACCTTGAATCGTATGGTACACCCAAATTTCGACGGGCATACTTTTGTTCTTAAAATTGCCATGTTTGGTTATGAACACTCTTTTGTAGGCATCTAGCAATTCCTTCAAATATTCTTTAGTGAGCGACGGCCATTCTTCTCCAACAGCTGGTATTACACCATACAGATGACATTTGATGGCCGCGTCACCGATAGATAAAAATTCTGGAGCCAATTCTTTCAGATTAGCAATAGGTACAGTTTCAATGCAAGCAAAATCAGAATAAAATACTTTTGCGTTTTCTTTTTCGAATTCTATAATAACAGCACGGCGCCAAGTTTGCGATTGGTTACAGAGGCAGCAACACCTGTCACCTATATTCCAATCATTCTTTCCTTGAGCTTTCCTTGTTGTGTAGAATTTTTGAATTTTTTCATAAAGCTCATTAAATACTTTTTGTTGGTGAATCACCGCCACATATAAAAGAGACGGTGACTGATATTGCAAGACTTTGACCTCTAATCTCAATGGTCCTTTATCTTTCGCCTCTAAGTCTTCTTCCTTGATTTTCTTCTTAGTTGTATGTTCATTTTTTAATATTTTAATATGGTCTTTCTTCTCTTGGTTGTTGATTTTGTCTAGTGGTGTTTTATTAGTAATGACTTGTTCCTCTATGTCGTTCTTGTTAAATCTGAAAAGACTGAAAAAAAATGGGATTAGAATTGTTTATTTTTTTCTAATTTAACTGTAGGCTTTTCCTAGGGAATAACATACTGAAAATGGACCATAACCTATCACGCCGGCACAATGTGGGTTAGTGGGTGTTGATTGCAAACTCGGATCAGCTCGAGATAATAAATTTTGGTCTCCCGTTTTATGACCTTCAAAAAAATCTAAAACCTCCGCACTATAGATTGAATGCGCTAACCACTACATTGTGGAGCTCAATTAATACTTGTTTCAGTTAATATTTTCAAGTAATGACAACATTATTACGATTTTCTTGTAATTACCCAAATGTGACCGCAAATTTATATTTGATCATTTCTTTGTTGATGCAAATTTCGTTATCAGGATCAGCCTTGTCGTAGAGCGTGACGCCGAGGCCACCACGGTTACGACAGTCTTCCACGTGTAGCTCTAGTAGCCGGTCTTCAAACTTTTGTAGTAACGCAACAGAACCTGGACTCCATTTCTTATTTTGAGGGGTCACGCCAGCCAAGTAGCATTCAGTCGCCTAAGAAAAAAAATTGAGCATTAATGCACAATGACGATCCGTCGGTACAACGAGCATACTTCCGTTATCTCTACGGATCTTCTGAAATATCAATTCTTAATATAAAAAAACTGAACTTAAAACTAATTACGATAGCGTAATCCATGATTCGATCTTGGAAGGCTTTGAGCTGAGAAGCATTGATGAGTTTCTTCTTGGTTCTTTTAAGCTCAAAGCAGATTCAACTTGATTAGTCTTTGGGCATACTTTCTAATACATAAAACAGTATACTCACGAGAGCGCGCTGGGTGGTGAAGCGCGGCTGGGTGTGTAGTGTGGCAGCGGCGGGTAGTATACTCACTAGAGCGCGCTGGGTGGTGAAGTGCGGCTGGGTGTGTAGTGTGGCAGCGGCGGGTAGTATACTCACTAGAGCGCGCTGGGTGGTGAAGTGCGGCTGGGTGTGTAGTGTGGCAGCGGCGGGTAGTATACTTACTAGAGCGCGCTGGGTGGTGAAGCGCGGCTGGGTGTGTAGTGTGGCAGCGGCGGGTAGTATACTCACTAGAGCGCGCTGGGTGGTGAAGCGCGGCTGGGTGTGTAGTGTGGCAGCGGCGGGTAGTATACTCACTAGAGCGCGCTGGGTAGTGAAGCGCAGCTGGATGTATAGTGTGGCAGCAGCGGGTAGTATACTCACTAAAGCGCGCTGGGTGGTGAAGCGCGGCTGGGTGTGTAGTGTGGCAGCGGCGGGTAGTATACTCACTAAAGCGCGCTGGGTGGTGAAGCGCGGCTGGATGTGTAGTGTGGCAGCAGCGAGTAGTATACTCACTAAAGCGCGCTGGGTGGTGAAGCGCGGCTGGGTGTGTAGTGTGGCAGCGGCGGGTAGTATACTCACTAAAGCGCGCTGGGTGGTGAAGCGTGGCTGGGTGTGTAGTGTGGCAGCGGCGGGTAGTATACTCACTAGAGCGCGCTGAGTAGTGAAGCGCGGCTGGATGTGTAGTGTGGCAGCAGCGGGTAGTATACTCACTAAAGCGCGCTGGGTGGTGAAGCGCGGCTGGGTGTGTAGTGTGGCAGCGGCGGGTAGTATACTCACTAAAGCGCGCTGGGTGGTGAAGCGCGGCTGGATGTGTAGTGTGGCAGCAGCGGGTAGTATACTCACTAAAGCGCGCTGGGTGGTGAAGCGCGGCTGGGTGTGTAGTGTGGCAGCGGCGGGTAGTATACTCACTAAAGCGCGCTGGGTGGTGAAGCGCGGCTGGATGTGTCGCAGCGCGCTGCAGTGAGCCAACAGCGTAGCGCCGGTGTCCGGAAGCAGAAGTCTAACGCGAGCTCGGCCGGGCAACTCGGTGATGATAGCGCGGGCCCATGTGCCTGCTACGCCTTCCACGTGGTATTTCTCAGTATTCACCACGCATACCATATCTGATTGTATAAAAAAATAAAATCTCACATTTTCAAACTTAACAGCAGGTAATTAAAAAAGTTATATAAAATTCAACATTGAGTGACAATGTCTTTTTATGATAACCCATAATAATTAAAGTCTTACTTATTTCGGGAAGATATATTGTTCCAGTGTTGACACTAAGACTATATTCTTGTTCAAGCTCTTCGCACATTTTCTCATACAGATTTTGCAAGTGACACTAAAAAAAAATAACAAATGTTTAAAGAGTTACTATTAAAATAACAAACACATTTGCAATACAAATTATATTACACTGACCTTTCGTACAAAGAATTTGTCTGGGCTTACAATGTGTGTGATATACACTTCTTCTATAGACTTTGGTTTATAATCGTTGTTGCTGAAAAACAATTTTGGCCTTTCGACGATTCCCAGTAATTTCGGATACTAAAATAATAAAGTTATAAGTTTACATCTCAAAGAAAAAAAAAACATAAATATTTTTTTCTAAAACTTGTTAAAGTATTTTAAAAATTAAATGTACCGGCAGTTTAGGGTTTGGCATTTTGGCTCGGTCGTGGAAGACTAGGGCGTGCGCGATACTAACACCATCTTCAAAAGTTGTCACATCACATTCAAGCTTGACAGTGTAGTCGCTCGTAGACTGAATGCGGCGTATATGAATCACAGCTTGTTTGCTACATAAATTCGAATGGATTATTTAAAAATGCTTAAGCGTTTGATTAACAATTAAACAGTGTTTAGACAGTGTGGATATTTGAGATTGGACAGCAAAATCATTAATAATTGGCTGGACTTTTGTCTAATCAATACCCACGTGACTATAAAAAGTACAGACAACATCGCTAGCTATACTTTTAGCTAGCAGGCACTCTTAAGATATTCCTGTCTTTTAATTTACAGTGTCACTTTTTAAATGCTATGTATTATTATTCAGTCACATTTTTCGTGATATTTAAGACCTTAAACTCTTTAGTGTGCCTGCTCACTGGTCACAAAATGTTTAAGATTCTGTCGGTAGGCAAAGGTCAACGTACGAATTAGACTGCATTTAAACAAGAACTAAAATTTTCGTGCAGTCATCAAGTGGGGACCGCGTGCTAGCAGCCTACCCATGTTAATTCATAGCAACTTTGATCTCTATCAACTAGGCTAACATATTCAAATTCTTTGAAACTAGTAGCGTCGGAGCGGTTAAGGTACAAAAATTGCTAGCATTTTGACTCTGCATCGTGTCGGCGGAGAATTAATTATGCGTTGTATAAACGCACCCTAACGGTTAAAGTGCCTGCTCTTATAGTTGAGTCTCAAAAATCTAGTCTGTGTATCTTGACATCTAAATATAAATCACAAACATTATTATTATAATATCTCTTAAATCTATCTTATTCTGCAAGAGTTTTGGTGTTACAACTAACCAAGTTTACTTACTTATCAATAATGTTTTGGATAAGTATAGCGTCATCACTTGTCCAAACTCCAGTTTTTGGTACACAGTTGGCCAATGAACAATTAATAGCCAGTGGGAATGGTGACTGCAGCCTAGCCGGAGGCAGAAGTCGCAATCTATAAAAACAATAATATGCATTCTTCCACAAGTGTATATATATTTGCTTTAATTACAGGACTTAAGAGTTATATGAAGTAAATTAGGTATTCAAAAGAATTGTTTACGAATATATAATATTTACTATAATATAATAAAAATGAACTCTAAACCTTCAACTTTTCAACTACAATTTCAATGAATTACAATTGAACAGTATATGTTTGTAATCTATTAACTCACTTGTCTATATTGACCACTTCAGTACTACCGAAGTCAATGCAAAAAACATGGTACAATGGTTTATCAATATTACTTCGGTCTATACTGACAACGCGGCAGCGTTGCCACATGTTATCAGCCTTGTTGAACATAAGGTACACTTTGCCTGTGAACAATTTATGTAAACAATTCCATGAAATGCTTAACTAACAATAAGCGTTTCATATTTCACCACCATAAACTTGTTATTAGAATATGACTTTTAAAAATTTACTTGCTGTATTCAGAGACATGGTCTGACTTTATTTTCAATATGTTACTTTAAAATTCCTGTTTCTGTCTAGTACGGATTTATAATATCTATGAATTAAGTAAAATAAAAAATATACCTTCTGCTACATGGCTGATAGAAGGCTTTGGCAATGAAGTCGCATTCCGGAATTCTCGTAACATATCTTTTACCAACTTTTGATGGCATGCCCTTTGCACGAAGAAGTTGTGTGGATCAACGATATGCGATATGTAGATTATTTCTTGTGATCCTAAATGGAAAAAGTCAAATAATACCATTGAGATATTTGTTATCGCCTGTTATCATTAAAGTTGATTATGGAATAAAAAAAAACCTTCATGTAACTGCTTTGGATGTTGGCTTTCTGCAAAGGGCGACACCGGCTGGACTACAACTCCATGAAATTTATCACCTATTAATTGGAATAAAGATAAAATAAAGATTATTTTGTATTCTTTTTATTTATGTAACCTACGACAAATTTCTGATAGCGACACTCACCTTGCTTAAAAGAGTTTTTAGAAGAATCACTGTCTAACGAGTTGAGTGATGAAACAGATCCACTTTTGGTATGATACTTAGGGACTGCTTTGTAAAAGCCAGATTTAGAATTGTCCTTCTTTATATTCTTGTTTTTACTCTGCTGCCTAACATCTATAAAGTAGAAGATTTGGTATAAGGCTTAAGTATGTATAAATGAAATAGTTTAATTTTCAATAAACCTACTAGGTATAAGTAATAAATGTCCTCACAGTAACCAGGTATTGTAATGTACAGTACGTATTTTAAATTATGTTGAGTAGTGTTGAGAGAGGATAATGACGATTTTTTATTATATTACACATTTTATTTATCATTTCTTTTCACTTCATTCTCATTTTTTTTTGTAGATAATTCTCCTTTTCTTTTCGGGTATTATTATTATTAGTCAAAATGAGCGTCAGTTAAGGGCATCAAAGATCACTCTTTCTAAAAATCTACAGAGACACTCACTCTTTGTCTCTGTATATTTAAAAAAAAGCGTTCATATATTGGTTTTCGATAAATAATATAATAAATCTGCTGGGTGAAAGCATCTACAATGAGTCTATTATATTTTTATTAAAGTTGACATTGATTAGATATAAACAGTTTAGGTATGTGGTTCACTTATTTGCTCGACTTGGCGGGGACACTTCTGTGCTTCCAGATAAAGATAACTTAAAAAGTATTTTACATATTTTATCAAAAAGATATTTTGGCATATAAACAAGAAAACAACCTAAATGAAAAATACTTAAAAAAATCACTTTGTCCTTGGCACTCTAAGATGGGATTCGAACCTATTATTCTTCGCATTCCAGGCAACTGCTCTAACCACTGAGCTACACAAGATCTAACAGAACTGACGGAATTTTTCAAGCTCTTGTTATTTTTGTGCTACTACAGAGCGAATTTTTTACAACAGCAATCAGCCGAAATAAATATTTTTACAAATATTTAAACTTTTGATGAAAATTGTTCTAAAAGTATAGCATTGTGAATGCGAAATTTATCAAATATAATCATAAGCCATTTAAAAATGCTAATGAATGTGTTTCACTAACCCTTAGGCAAATCAGGCGGAAAAACGGGTGCCACTGGTGGCGGTGGTAGTTCAAAATCTTGTCCTAGATCTGAAGTAGACTGTAACCTATAGACTGACTTCACATTTCCTTCTAAATGTATATAGTCTGTGACTAATGCACACAGGTCTTCATTGACTTTTACCCTGTAACATTTACCTTATTGTGTTATGGAGCCTGGTTAAATAAATTTAACTTATAATAGATTTAACTTATAATTATTATAATAGATTTAACTTATAATTATTATAATAGATTTAACTTATAAGTCATACTTTAGAGGACTTGCAGTATTTTTTTCATCTCTACTTAAATACCATGGTGTTTCAAGAATCTGCTTTGCACTCTCCAAAAGTGTTGCTAGGTTCAGCTGAAATAAAGGGAATTTATAAATAGGCAAGGCTTTAATTTTATTAAATTCGTCAATTTAATTATAAGTATACCTGTTTTGATTTATTTGCATCCGAAGTTGACTTTATGATGTTCAACATTTTGTGGGATACTTTAATAGAATTCTCAATATCATTTTTGGCTTTATGCAATGAATCTTTTTCAGCAGATTTCAACTTGACAATTATACCTATAACTTCTTGCTTATGTTTTTGTATTTGTGAAGACAGCTTAGAGAAATGTTGTTCAATATCATTAATCATGTTTGTGAGTTCTGATGCTGACCCTGTATCATTTTCAATATTGTGAAGCAAGTTGCCAATATCCTGTAATTATAATATTAATTGAAAACTTATTTTTAGTGACTTTTGCATTCACATTACCTCTTGCAATTCTAAAATAGGTTTTCAAGTCTTCTTCAAAAATAATTTGAAGAACATTCAAATAAATTTATGTTTGGAATATTCTGTAATTTATAATTATATTAAATTTAAGTATTTTATTGTAGATGTCTGAAAACTTACTACTGCAGTTTTAGTAAGTCTTTTGAAAGTCTCATCAACTTTTGGTGACAACTGTGACAATTCTTCTAAGAAGTCATTATTCTGTAATAAAAGGGATTTTATGTTAGTTAAAAGTATTATTTATATCAATAAAAATGTTAACATTAATTACTTACTATTTCTTGTATGGACACAACATTATGGTTTTTGCATGATTTCTCCCCAACCATCATACAATCCATACATAAACTCTTGGAACAATCTTTGCAATAATAGTCTAATGGTCTATCTTTGTGTATTTTACAAACATTTGGTTCCATTGCTGGTTCTAAAATAAATATTGTAAGTTATATGATGTAAGCTTATTAGGTCAATTAATAAAAGAGCAAAATGCTTATTATTATTTTAATTTTATATCTTTTTTTTAAAGTATTATCATACACCTCTGTGTGCAATGAATTCATAAAAAAAAATGCAAAGCTTACCAATATTTGTCAAGAGATGATTTCTAAAGATGACGAAATTTTTATGTGATTTATTAAAGCATGTGTCACACAAAATTGTAGCACACTGTTGACACATTTTAGTTGTTAGTTTGTGACACTCCAAACATTCACCTGGGGGATAGATTTTGTTTAATTTTTTATTCTAGTATTTGATAGTTATTTATGTAATTGCACAGTCACCAAACAGAGAGAATTTCATATGTTGACCTTTGTGCACATATGTGATGCTGAGCCATTGTGCAAAATTCTTTCTTTTCGGTGTCTATGCTATAATAGCAAATACCTTGTGTATTTTCAGTACTTTTGATTATTGATTGTAAGTCAACATAAAAGTCATCAGTTTCTGCACATTTACGTGTTTGTTCATTGGATTCCTATAAATAAAATTTTATATTCAAAATAGTATTTCCTCTTTTAATATATATTTATTTAATCAATATTATTGTAGAATGAAATCTTACCTCCATGGATTGTAAAGTAAGTTCACCAAGCATGAAGACATTGACAGGAAATATGTCATATAGTTTGATTTTATTTTGTGACAATAGTGTTAGGTTTGATGGCTTAACTTCCATATCTCGATGACATATTTTGCATTCAATGGGTTCTACAAACCTGACAATATTCTTGATACAATTTTCACACATGGAATGCCCACATGTCAAAAGCAATGGTATATTCCCTCTTGGGTGTGAGGCTAAGAATAAATAAAAAAATTGTTTCTTTATTGTAGTTTTAGTGGTAATATGTTACAGATAACCTCTTTAACACAAGTTTTACCATTAAATTTGCACTATTCTTTCGAGCCACTATCATCAGCTCATGCTGTTCATTAAAGTCAACAGTGGCAAACTTTAAATAAGTCCCTAACATTTGACATTTAGTTAATTATTAATTGATATAGGAATCATTGCAGTTAAACAACATGTAATTGCTTATAAAATAAAATAAATTGTCTTTGAATTAAAATGAGTTAATAATTAGTAGTAATGGTTATTATTAACAATTGATCAATCGTTAATGTTTATTTGTCCATATAATTTGAATTTGCCCAATATTGATTCAAATTTTTATTATTATTATAATACAAAGTGACTTCAATCTATTGAAGTTATTTTGCAATTGGTCTCTTCAGTAGGTATGAAAAACAGGAAGAAAATCTAGCCCTTTGCCAATTTCTTGATAGTTCTTCTCAGTAGTCTTGTGTAGTTTGAGAACAAACTAGTTCGAAAGAACAGCTCCCACAGAAAAACTAATTCTCACATTTCTCATTCTGCATTACGTTAATAAGTAAAAGCGAAGTTAGCTACACTAATTTTGTCTCACTCACGGTTACTTTATTCAGATATTTTTAAAATTATACAATAATTTTCACTATGGGAAATTGATTGTTTGTTTTATTTAAAATACAAAGGCGAAATAAAATATAAAGTATTTTAATCAATGTCTAAACAATAAACCTTTTTAATAACATAAAAAATTTGAACATTAAAAAAAATATATGCTAATTTACAGTTGCAAAGAGCGAAACGTATCATCTAGGCTTGTTTCCACTTTGAAAACTTGAAGAGAGTATGTAGAAATAATTATAGGGTAGGTAGGAACCTTCTGCAAATTGGTGATTTATCCAAAATATTCAACCACTCTCAGTTGTTGATGATTCGATGGCCTTCTTTGAATTATGCTATTATAACATCTAACATGAGAAGTAAAAAGTACTTACGTTTTAGTTGATAAAATTGACTGCAATTAGGACAACATTTCTTTGTTTTCGCAGCCATCGTAGCCATTTTTGCATAGGATGAAAATTTAGAGCATATCTCAAGACACTAATCATATACAGTAGTTATTTAACTTAAATTTATTTTACGGATATAGATGTGACGACTTTTTTGAGTTGGAATTGTAATATCAGTAAAATATTACAAAAAGTTTCTATCGACGTCGCCCAAAGAGAATTTGCGGCGACAAACAAAACAACCAAAGCACAGAACACCCTATATACAATATTAATCTATGGCACAGAAATCACAGAGTAACAATATGTACCTAGTATAGTGTGCTATGGATGTTATTCGCGATAAACAGGTATTCAACTAGTTTTTTGCCTAAATCGCGATCACTCGTGATTCAGTGATACAATAACTATGTGTTTTCCACAACGCTTTTAAAGTAAAGCTGAATTCATTTTTAAATTAATAACTTATGGTTGATGTTTGTTCGATTTGCCACATAATAACCGCGATCACCAAGAAGCAGCGATCACAGTTCGCAGCGATATGTAGTTATCTTTATGAGATCAACGCTTTACATTTAATAACCAAATAGAACGTAACGCGTCATTTAAATAATATATATAATTTAAATAATATAGAGAATTTAAATAGTCCATTAAAACCTAAGATAAAAACAATGCAACCCGTCATGTAAGAATGAAACAACAACAGAATGAAATGTGTGTGAATGAAATAGCCACATGTTTGTATGTTCGGCTTTCGGAGTGATCAAGTAACCAACCCAAAATTGAGCTTTATCGCCTTTGCATAAGAGTAAAATTTGTTTGACTTTATAGCGTTGAGGAAATAACTAGTTATCAAAAATAGACAGTTTTGATATCGGCGATTGGCGATCAGATAGCGGTTGCGTTACGTGATTTAAAAAATGGATAACGAGCCATCGCTTAGTGTAGTAAGCTAATCTTAGCTAGCTAACAGAAAAGACAAACCTTTTTTTAGTATTTTTTTTCCGTAAAGGCGAAGGGAGCTTAGCCCATACAGCCATTGTCTGTTGTAAAAAAAAAATCTTCGATAAGTACACAAACCAGACAAAGTAGTAGTAGTTTAGTCCATAGGACAGGCGAAGGAACTAACCCTGAAGCCACATATCAGAAATAAAATAAAGTTACAGGTATTTTTTGGTAATTTGTTTGTTAGTTTGTTTCATTCTGGTTATTAGTATTTATTGTTGAAGTGGCAAGATTTAGCCTGCTGAAAGACAGACAGAAAGCGACGTTTTAGTAATAAACAGCATGGGGAGCGGACTACTAAGTACTAACTAGAAGGCGTGCGCGCAGTAGGCAGTTAGTAGGCTCGCTGGAAAACTGACCTTTGTTCGAGTTGAGTAACTCAACGACGCACAGGAGAGTCCAACTAGGAATCTCGGTGGCGTCGAGATTCTTGGTACCTAAAGTTGGGGCATAAATGTGGTTTATGTTAGCGAGATGATCGCGAGGGCAAATAACGTTTCGCTACAATCTCAACGTTTTAGAAATTTGTAATAAATATAATTAATGATAATTTATAAACACACCAACGAAAGTATCAAAATTCTTTTGAAAGTGCTTCAACTATAACCCTTATCCCATCTTTTTCTATATTTTAAAGTACTCTTTGTACAACCCATTATGAACAGTTCTTGTTAAAATAAGAATTATTTATTTTTATTTATTTATTATTGTGATAAAAACGACGTACATCAGTTACAATTATCTGTCACAATATATCTGTCACAATGCTATCACCATTGATTTGTGTGGGGGACGTTGACATATAGGAAATTTTTGGATGTTACACTAATATTAAGGAACAAAAAAAAATTGAAAGTTTTATATGTGACTAGCTTTTGCCCGCGACTTCGTCCGCATGGTACAGTTATTTTGGGCAGCATATATTTTTCAAAAACGCTGTTGTTTCTCGAGCTGATGATGAAATTACCTTAATGTTTAAGTTCGAGGATATTACAACAAATATTCAATATCTTTGAAAACTTTAGAGATATTAATTCAATCCAATCCAATTTGAAATAAGCCCTTGCAGTAGGGAGTTAAAAGGGCTCATGATGAAAAAATATTTCTATTTACAGCGCAACATATATTTTTTTCAATAAACGACGTATTACATTACATATATATGTCATGGCCATATCGTTGAATTGATGATTTTATGATCCGGCAGGCCATTTGATCATATCATATAATTTAAGCGTCAAAGTTAAATGATATGTAAATCCATGTTTTTGTACAAAAAAAGAAATCTAATTATTTGCTGAAATACCTTGTTTATTCATTAGAGTTATGATTTTGTGGTCTGCAAAACCTCGTAATATAATACGATCGCTACGCGACGCTTCTTGATTGTCTTAAAATTCTAACCTATCACGTGACCTAAAGTAGTTAATCTTATAGGAACTTAAGTTCAGTTCATATCTCAAAAGCTTTTATATTTTCCAATATATTTTTATTAGCCTCTGGAGCTACAATACGATACAATTCGGTCTTCATCAGAACCTGCGACCTATCCATAAAACTGTAGAAATAGCCTTTGCTGCTGCACTTCGCACTGCACTCCTACATTTGTCTCACTGAACTTAATCAAGTAATTATTTTCCGTTGCTTATTCACCCTACTTCCTTTAATTTGTTGTATTAACTAAAAATTAAAATAAATAATGTATCACAAAAACAATGCGACATCAGCGCCTCTTACTGAGACTTACGTAATTATTTACGATATGATCACTTACTCTTGGTCACATCATGAAGAAGTCATAGTATCAACCGCTCATATCATTAAACGCAAATCATTCTTGATTTGGCCAGTCCACAACTTGCTGGCCGCATCATGAATTGGTCAATTTTAAGATATGGCCACGAAATTTATACCTACTTGGAAACCTATACTTAAGTACAAACATAATGTGAATGAAAAAGTGTAATAAAATAGGATTTGTAAAAATTATCAACTTGAAAATTTTAGTTTAAGACCTATTAATCCTCAATAAATTAATTACCGATGAAACGAAAAACACAAATAATTGCAATTTCTTTAATCTAAACTTGAAGCAACATTTTAATGTTTTTTATTTAAATCCTGTGGAAAATGCTTTAATCAAAATAATAGAGTGATATAGAATATACTCGCCACCAGATGGCTGAAAAGTAATTCCAGGTAAGTTTTCTAGGCAAAAAAATCTGCGATTTAGAATTCATTTAACGCCATCATTGAATTTGAATATTTTTATTCATTAAAATTTCAAAAATGTAATATTTCCTCTAATACCAGTTTTCATCGCTATAAAATAAAACATTTTGTTAATAATATTACTACAATGATAAATCAGATTGTAAACAATGGTTGCTATGGTAACACTTTGATTCCCCATAAAATCTTTTACTCCCATTTTTATTCCATTAAGTGCTAGTTTTCGCGATAAAATATAACTTATTACCTTCTTAGGGTCATAAACTACCCAAATAATAATTTTCATCGACATAGGTCCATAAACAAAGAAGTTTCGTACAAACTTTTTCACCCTTTTTGACCCCCTTCGGGATGGAATTTACAAAAATCCGTTCTTAGTACACCTCTACGTATTAAGGGGAATGTTCCTTCCAAATTTCAAGTTTCTACGAGCTGCGGTTTAGGCTGTGCGTTGTCTGTCAGTCAGTAAGTCAGGACATGTCCTTTTATATATGTATAGATTATGTAGAGTGAAAAATATATGTTAACTTACTAAACTAGTTATTCAAAGTGTCCACCCTTAGCTTTAACGCACGCTTTTAAACGGTAGTGCCATTCGTCGATGGATTTACGAACGGTTTCTATTGGAAACTTTGTCACTCCTGCCTTCAAAGATTTCTTATTATAAAAAAGTAATATTTGGGTGATACCTAGAGCAGGCCATGTCATCTAGTACAGACCACAATTTATAGTCCAAAGGCTTTAAGTCCGGACTAGCCGAAGGCGAATCATCAGTCTTTATGAAGTCTGGAACATTTTGCCCAAGCCTTTGAGAAGTGCGCGCCTTATAACCTGGAGCTGAATTCTATTGGAATGTTCACATTTCTTTTTTGACTAAGGCATTGTTGAGAGGTTTTACCGCTTCTAACGCGGTATCTTGATACACTTTGGCTGAAGTTTTCATTCCTTTTTCGCAAAAATGGAGTTTTGTAACCCATTGGTAGGAGACATCCCTCCAAAACAAGCATGGATGATGGCCTCGCTGAACTTTGACCTCAACATGGCGTGTGCAAACTCGATCATTTTCTTTGTTGTAGTGCTTCTCGATTGTATTTTTTTTTTCATGGATAAAAATATTTTTCTGTATTTTTCGTCCGCGTATCGAAGTAAGCTGTTTTGATCTTTCGATTCTCTTTTTTAGTGTCTGATTTAATGTATGTCCTGTGTATATCCGGTAAGCCCCTAGGCCTAAGTCTTGTTTGATAATCCGAGAAAGTGTTCTCGGTGGGATTCTCATTCCTCTGGAAAGGATTTTCTTCTTCTTTATGGGATTTCGACGAATTCTGGCCTAGACTGCATTAAAGGCCTAAAATAGAAGCTAATTATAGAAATTTAAATAAATGTTTTTTTTTTTAAATGTATGTAAACAGCCAGTAACAGAATTTATCGCTAGACTTGTTTTTAATTTTAAAACAAGAGCGTGTTACGTACCATTCTATGTATTATTATGACTTTGACTGACGGAAGAATTCGTCGTTGCGCTTGAATTAGCGGACCATCGCCAAAGCAGTTGCCCCCACATGCTCACTTTAGTAATTTTATTTTAGGGCTGTGGTAATATTAGCCAAATACCTGCAGCGTATGTTGCGCCGTATCGTCTGGCGCACTAAATTCCTGGCAATGTCTGGTAGTTGTTCTAACTTAATTCTACCCACTCTTGTTGAAACAATTCATTTTTATTGAGGTCCCTGTTCTAATATAACAAAATACTATTCTGCTAACAGTTCGTTTCTTAAGTAATTTAGTACATTATTTTGTTCCTTGATGAAAATAGTTTATCAAACAAAAAAGCATAATTTCAATCCAATGTGTACCTAATTTACGAGAAATACGTTGTCAAACATATAAATTAAATTAAATATTAAATAACATCATATACATTGCTCAGATTCCAAGATGAGTAGCTAAAGCACCCGTATTATGGAGTATCTGAGATACCACACCCAGACCCGAGACAATATAAAGAAAAACTACATTGACTGGGAATCGAACCCGGGACCTCAGAGATGACGACACCTTGAAACCGGCATGCGAACCAACAGGCTACGGAGGCCGTCAAACAATATAGACACACATACATACATATTATATATCTACTAAATGTAGCACACGTGTTTAGAAGCGCATATAAAAATATATGAATATTGCGCCATATTCCATCAAAATTACATACATCGCTTACTGGATACTACAGTGGCACAACTCAAAAACCATATTTCGAGAAACGCTCTCCGAAGTTATGAAAATTTAATATATTAATAATTATGAAAATCATTTTTTTAGCATAACAGTTAAATCGTTTGTAATATATTATTACTGTTAAGTTTTTTATTTTTTCTTTAAATTATCTATGGGATGCCACCACAATGTTGTGGCGTTTTCTAGAAATAATGGTTTTGAGTTGTGCCATGTTGATTACCTATTTCTTTTAACGTCGGTTATAAACCTATAGGTCAAATTGAGAACCTCTTTTTTATGACGATAAATGATGTACATACTTAGGTATAATGACGGCCTCCTTTTTTGAAGTTGGTTAAAAATAACGTAATCCATTTTAACTCCTTTATAGGCCGGTTAATTTTTACTCTTTTTATAAGTAACTTAAATTTTAATAGATTATATATTCTAAACGTTCGAACCGATTTTCATGAAACTTGTAGTGTACCCTAAGCAATCAAATAATCATTACAATCCGACGTCCACTTTGCGAGATATCCATGGACAAATATATAGACATACATACATACATACACATACATCTATAAAATTTTGTAAACGTGTTTAGAAGTCCACATAAATCAACGTACAGGTATAAATATTACGCCATTCCAACGAAATTACATACATCCACAAATTGATAACCTCCTTTATTTGAAGTCAGTTAAAAATGAAAAACATAAAAAATGGAATAAGTAACAAGAAATAATTGATTTGATTTAATCTAAACTTTCACGATTATTAACATCAGAATGATTGCAAATGAAAACGGGATTACTACCATTTTGTACTTTATATTTAGGGTTCCCGATATTTCAGCGTTGTTGCAAGCGCCATGATCACTCAATATATGGTAGATAGCAATCCCGTATTTAGCAATCATTTTGAAAAATACAAAAAGTATTCCAAGGTAGTTTAATGAATTTAAATTGAACGGAAGAATAAGTGTAAAGTTGTATTAACTTTGAAATGTTATATTATTTATTATATGTATCGATAATTGTTTAGGACAATAGAGGTCATTTAGTAGCCTCACCTCTTAGTTAAGAGGCTTTCGTGTTAGGCGCGAGTGAACATTGCTCGCGTAGCTGTCTCCGTAAGCGCACGCGACTACGCGACTGACGCAGTGTGACGCAACTATAGTCGCGGCCGGCGCGCGGTAACTTATCAACTCGAGCCATAAGCCACCAATTACGAAATTCGTCAATCCTTTTTCTGAGACCTTCAGCTGACTTCAATGCCGGAGTTAGACTTTATGATTGTGACACGATCGTATTGAGTATGTGTTATGGTGATTGAATTTGAATGTAACGGTATACAAGCACAAAATGAATAGGCCTGGAGCTTTGGGATTTTTGTTGTTGACAGTGTTGCTTTCACTGTTAGCTGATACCGGTAAGATAATAAATTTGTATTTATATGTTTTTACGAAGTACCAAATTTTTGTTTTCCAAAATTTGTGTTGATTTCCAGTTGAGTGGTTTAAATAGTTTTATTCTTAGATGATATACAGAAATGGAAGCTGCTTTGAGTTTTTCTATAGTACGACCGAATAAGTCTCTAGCCTAGATACGACATCTTAGCATTATAATGGCGATATTTCGTTTAATCTTACTACTGTTGGTGAATAATTTTGAATTAAATGGCTTAAGTTGGTCAAACTGCTATCAAATCCATAATTTTCATTAATAGTAAATAAAGACCATGTCAAAATAGTTAAATGAAATGACATATTGCCATAATATCGCTAATATTATGTCCTATCCTATGGTTAGTCACTGCGAGAATTAGGAGGTCGCTCCGCTGATCTGACAAATGATCAATAACTTTTTATTTAACTTAATTATTTTTTAGATTCCTTAGTAAAGTTAATTGTGTTCTTGGTTATAATATTACTCAAACCTACTTAAATAATAATAAAGACTACAATCGAGTATTTTACAAATGCGAAATGACTATCCAATAACATCTCATAGTCGTTAAAAAACGATATTAAGTTGCAAAAATTGTGCTAGACGTTGGTAATTTACGTCTGGTCGATATGTAATTATAAGACACTTTGTTATGTATGTTCCATTATGGAAAACTGTCAGTCATGTATGCAATAATTTGCACAACTTCTTCCAAACATATGATGTAAAATAACTCTTCTTTATAATTTTTTTGGAAAAAGTAAATCTATGAAAATGTGATAATTTATTAATGGAATAAAGATTCTGATCCATTTAACTCACACTTAACTATTATTATACTACAATGTATATGTTAGATGTGTACACTAAAGCTAAAAAAAGTATATAAAACCCATGATACTTGCGGGTGACAGAGCTTCCTGCAGGCGCAGAATTTTTAAAATAGATCCAGAAGTTTCGCAGCCTACTCAATGCAAATAGGTAAACATTCAATTTTTCCTTTATTTTATTTTTTTCTTCTGGCTTCGCACGGCTTGTGTTTTTTCCTTTTATAATATTTGTAATTATAGATAGACTTTATCTAATATCATATTGGTTACCTTTACTAAGAAAGTGGAAGGTATTCGGACTCGGAAAACTGTATTGTTGGAGATATTTGTAGAAAGTAGTATCTTCTTATATCTAATTCTTTTCATAACTAGATATTTTCCCGCGACTTCGCCCAAATAAATAAATGGTCTACATCACCCGCGTATCTTCCCGTACTGTCGTAGGTGAAAGAATATTCATGATCAGACCAGTATTTACGAGTTTTACATATACAATAAACATATCAACCGCCTTTAAGATGAATGTTATTTTCCATGTTTTTGATGTCTGTTATTGTAGTGACATAATTTTTTTATGTTAGTTTACAAAAATCTTGATCTATCGAAAATCTTGTCCAGTCTAATGATTCAAAATATTTTACCAAAATGAAATTAAATAATTATAATATTGATGTCCTAATTACTGAGGCTCAGGATTTTTCTGAAATCGTATCAAATCGAATAATGGGCTATGACCCACCACGCGAGCCCAGTGCGTATTGTGGATGTAAACGACTGCAGATACAGCCAGGACCAATGGTTTAACGTGCCTTACGAAGCACGAATTAGTTCGAGTTAATAAATTTTTGGTCACGCATCTTATGACAAGCCATCGTGAAAGATGCTAACCGAACGTATTAAACACTACGCCATCGAGAAATTAAATATGTAATTGACAATATAACGTTTATATATTTCTCTACCAAGAAATTAAAATTATAATCAAATATACTTAGTAAGATAGAATGTTTTTTTTCATAATTATTGCTTTGCGAAATTATTTGGTTTGTTTTGACTGCATGTGTCTTATGAAGAAATAATGAGCTATGCTATTCTCTACCTTTATTATTTTTTGAATAGGTTTATCTCTATGATACTATGACATAGATGCTGTAATAAATCGAGTATAAATGAATTAATTGTTGTTTTGCTTATTTATGCAGGAGGATCAGAAGAGCGTAGTCGCGTGAAGCGGTTACGTGCTGACAGTACTCCTGTAGCGCGAGAGCCCGCGCAGGCGCTGGATGCACCGGAACCAGAGCCGGCTGCTGCACCCGCTCCATCAGCTTTCCTTAGCCCCTCTGTTAAAGAATACCTTGAACTGGGCATGGCTATACCTGGTGTGTAACAGTTCATAATATATTTATTTTGTTTGTACAGAACTGGGATTGTAGAGACCTTTTTACTTTACAATTTGGTTTATAAATGAAAAGATAATCGGAAACGGATCACGATTTTCTAGAAATAAAATCTGACCCAGTGGTTTATATTGATATTCATGTACGCTTTTGGAAGTAATAGTCTTATTTCGCAAACTCAAACTCTATCAAATAATTCCGTGACGTCCCTGTGGATCTGCGACATTACTTTTTTCTTGATTTAAGTGATCCATAGCTATATAAAATATCCACTGTTGAGTATTCTCAACCCGCAGAGTAATATAATGAACTTATGAAAAATTGACCTTTCTAAAAAAATATCGCTTTCACTTTATTTCTCATAGAAAATTACAATTTATTTGGACATACAAAATCCTCCTTTCGGATTTAGAATGAATTCAAAATACGCAATCTTTTGTTACTCGCAGCAATTAACATATCATCTAAATATTTAGATGATATCTGGTGAAAAACGTATTTTGTTTTGTTATAAAATGAAAAGTACTGATTCGATTTCGATAGATTTTAAATGGGACCACCTCGGACTATTAAGCTGCCGAATAATAAGATAATTTTGTAAATCGGTCCACAATTGGCGGAAATATCGGTGAATATAATAAACATAACCTCCTTCCATCCGAACCATCTATAACCTCCTTCTTTTCGATCTCTACATTTATACTTGCTATTTAAGGGTATTCAACTATTTATATTGAAAATTTTGTAAGTTTTTACCTGTTATTTTAGTATTTATTATATATTTAGTTAAGTTAATATTTTTTTGAGGTCAGATATGTCGATGTATGCGTTTTAGACCAAATTTTTTCCCACGACTTTGCCTGCATATGATGTAGCTTTCCGTAGGTGAAGGTATTTTTGAAACCAGGTCAACTTTTGGGCCTGCAAACTAACAATTAAACGTTTCCTCTTTTTAATATTAGTATAGAATTGCAGTCGGCGTAATTTATGTGAACATTTTAATCGAAAGCTGTGGCTTTCGATTAAAATTGTTTTTCGGCTCGACCGTAAATGTTTTCTAAGAAAATAGTAAAAAAACGTTTAGTAGGTATGTAGTCAACAAAACAATTATCGCTAACTATTTTAACTATTAAATGAGTATTCGAAGTATTTAAATTGAAATAAGTATGGATCTAAAGATCGAAATAAATCTCATCGATAACTAAAAAATATATTAGGTATTTTCACATGCGTGTTATAACTAACTAATAGTTGTAGTATTTGATCAAGTTTAATACATAGATTTAAGTTTAATTGAAAAATAATAGTATAATAAGTATCCACAATCCGAATTTTGGAGATTTAATTACAGAATCTAGTTTTCTTCAAATGCTATGTAGAAGGAACCACCTACTCAATTCTTCTTGTGGTATCTGTAGGGGGGCCCTAGTGACCTGTGTCTACAGGTTTCTTACGAAACCTACTTCAGGCACTAGTCTCCACTCAGGACTCTATATTATAGTTTTATTTTCCACTTATCTGTTTAAAGATCCTGTATGTGGAGAGAAATAAATGTTTATTATATTATAAGGTTTTTATTTGAGTAAAAAGCAATAGAATTATGTGTAAGTGGCTGTTTTCTCGCGACTTCTCCTGTGAATCATAGTTTATATCACCTGCTCATGATATAGCTTCCAGTAAATGAAATATTTTTTTAAATCGGTCCACTATTCAATGCAAACAAACAAGCAAAAGAATCAAATCTTTCCTTTTCATAATATCAGCAGTATACAAAAAAAAATCATACCATAATTAATTGCAATCTGAAAAAACAAGCTAACAAATTTTCCTATTTGTAGATAATAGTATGATTTTTCAGACACGTACTTTTCCATTCTATGTAATACACTCTCATTTCTTTAATTAATTAAATAACTTATTATAATAGCGATGACCAAAGGAGAGCGTAGTCGTATGCCATTGATCATAACAAAACAAACTGTTGTGGCATACGACTACTTTTCCGTATGTCTGGCTGGTCATCGTTATTATAATATAGCTATCGGTGTAAAATAAATTTCTTGTTTTAAACTTACTAGAGCGTAATTAAACTGTAGTCGGATTTTGGTTTTGAATTTATTGTTTTATTTAATTAATTTTCGGGTATATCAAAACAAAATGGCAAACAAATACTATTTTGCTTTAATAATATATTTTTTTAGTTTCTTACTTTATGCTCTCTAAAGAGCGCTGTTGGCAATTTAATGTAAATTTTGTGAAGTTGCCTATATCACGTGGTCAACTAAGCCGCTTCTAATGATATCTCATTTGTCGAGTTACGATGAGTAGTTTCGAAGTTATTATAATACATACCGGCCAAAATTATAACCCTCCTCTTCGCTTCGCCACCGTAGTCGGGTAAGGTAGGTGAAGGATACTTGTTTAATTAAGTAAAGTAATGATTATTTCACTTTATAATAATTGCAATCATTCTAGTTACATTATTTAAATTGATTCTCGATCGCTGTAATGATTTAGTTTCGTCTTAATGTTCAAGGTGATGCCATGGTGCGCACAGGCAGCCTTGCTATCGGGTTTTGTTTTAAACAGATAGTCTTAATTGTGCCAACAATCGTGATTGGGCAAGGTCATGAATATGTGCGTGAGTGTACGCTTACTTATTTAATTTTCACGTTGGAAGAAAGCAATACAATTAGTACTATAGATCCCTTATTTCAAAGTAACCTTAAAAATAAAAAGACGCGTTCCTATTAATTGTAAATTGTCATGAGTCATGAATTTTATACAATAAATTATTAAATTTATGTTTTAAATCAATTTTTAACAAAAATAAGATTATAAGAACATTTTAGAACATTTTTTTTTTTAAGTTACAGCCTAATTACATTCACCGATGAACGCTTTTTTACTTATATACCTATATATAATTTTGGAACTATCATTAAATAATTAATACCATAGAGGTAATATAAAAACCTCATCATAACACAAGTCTATATCTATAAAAAAAGATTCAATTTTCTGCACTAGAACCTCGTTTAGAATAATTGCGAGGCTATGATTTAAATAATAAATTAATTTTAAAATTTTGTTATTTGGCACTTGGAGGTCATTGGGTATTATTAACCTTTTTGAAATTAATATCAAATATTATGATTCGTTCCAGTTTTTAAAAAACCGTGTTATGAATTAGAATGGAACTAAGCTTCGTAATATAACGTAACGTATATCTGTAATATTATATGCCTATTAGGTATATATACTGCAATAAGTACGATCATAATAACATTGAAGTGTCAAGGTCTTGTGAAATGGTAACATAAACTATCCAACTTCAAAATTGACTATGATTGATTGATTTTTGGTACATGAAATAATACATATGTATCGGGATTTGCTAAACATTATTAACGGATGATTAATTAAATAAGTTTAAACAAATCGATATTCATAAGTGCATATTGTATGCAGGTAAACGTTAACTTGATTTATAAACGTTTTTAATTATTAACTAAATTATATTTAAGTTAATTATGCATTTAGCAACGTGGGATTAACGTAATATATAAGAATTAAATTGAAGAAATATATATTTACATTTCCAAATCCTACTTATATAGTAGGTATTATATTTCCACGTACACTAATTAAATACACTTTGTCCTTTTCTTATTGATGATTACAATCAAGAAAATTTTAAGATAATATTAAAAAGTCTTGTAAAGTCAAATCAAACAAGCAAAAGCTCGACAGGGTTGAGTTATTTTATTGCAATGTTCCCATATCTTTGGCTGTAATAAGGTTCTGGATATTATCTTGGATTAAAATTGTCGTGTAGTCAAATCAAACCCAAAACGTATCGAAAACCATAACTCGATGCGATTGCTTTAATTAGAGAGGTTTCTTGTCTACCTTCTAGCTAGAATAGATCATCTCCAGCTCCTTTTCCTATTAATATTACATTGTCAGCAAAATTTGCACTGTATTTAAAACAGCTCATTCGAAAACAAAAAAGTTAACTAACTCCACGGCAAATTAAATAAAAGCTCTTAAAATATCGTTAAATATTATCCTTGAATATAAAATACAGTTTTCTTTTGCAGTTGATGTTTAGCATAATTTGAAATATTTGCGTGCATTGAATAGTGATTAACCAACAAGTAATTTATTGGTAAGCAATTTGCACATTGTGTCTCCAGCAGCACTGAAATGGGTCATTCGTGTGTGTAATGTAGGCACATTTAATAATTACTCGATTGTTAAAGTTAATTGAGTGTGAAGGCGATAATTATTTTCAGATAGGAACTTTTTTTGAGTCTACTTGGGTTATGTCCTAGTCGTCCCTGCGTTAACAGAAAAATGGACGTCATGGAATTTACAACGCAAAATATTTCTCATTTTTATACGGTAACATGAAATAGGCTTCAATCAATATCGAGTGATCTAGTTTGCTTTGAAATGGTGTTTTTATTTTTGTGTAAGTTTTAAGCAAATTAGATTAGCGTAATTACGTAAGCACTTTTATGACCGCGGAATGTATATTGTATGTATATCAATCATGTTCAAAATGAAATTATAATTTTCATCATTCATCATCATCAGCCCTTTTACGTCCCCACTGCAGGGGCTCAGGCCTTCTTTATGGATGGTTAAGGAGGATGGGCCATGACCCTCCACGCTGGCCCAATGCTGATTGGAGGATATTAACAACTGCATGCAACTGCAACAACAAAGTTGCTTAACGACAACGATCACGGGCCACGGCGCTTATCCACTACGCTACCGAGCTCTTACGAACTGAATTATAATATTAGTCAAATATAAAAAAAATTGCTACTAATGTATTAAAATAAGGCGCACTGAATTTTTGCTATGAAATTCTTATTAAAATCTCAGGCCTTCGAATGAACCTTTCATTCGGAGACCATTCATGTGGGCTTGCAATAAGTTTTCGAGTTAATTGGTCTACTAGATTTGTGATG